CACCAAGCGTTCGGCGCATGCGTGGCGTCGCCATAACTACATACTAGCATACAAGACATACATACATGCATACATAACTACATACTAGCATACATGACATAACTAGCATACAAGACGCAAATGGCAATGCAGGCAAGATTGGCTGGCGTAGCCAAGATTGGCAGGTGATATCGGTTTCTATTCTAGGGGTTCACTGTTGACCCTAGGAATATATCTTTGATGTCAAATTCTAACAGCACTGGAAGCAAGGTTGAGTGGAAGTGAATTATACAGATTGCTTTAGAAAATGCCTTCCTCAGTTGCACGGAGGTCTAAAAATTTCCTTCTTTTTTTTTTTTTTTTTCAGAACGTTTTAGTGGATTGTTTAACGAAAACAAAGCTTACAAATGATGGAAACTATAACTGTTCAACTTGAACTGTTTCAAGAACCATACTTCAGAAAACGAATTTCTTGGTTGCAGAGCGGGCCATGTATTGGCTTCTTCGGCCGTTTTCAGAAATACTTTAACGTGTATTTCCCGAAAAAATAAAAAAGCTCTCCCAAAACAAAATAAAAACTTAAAGCTTTCCATTGTATTTTATTTTGTCGTTATTAAGATTACCACAACAGACTTCTTGCAGTGAAAAAAAGAAAAAAAGTTTTTTCGGCCACTAAAGCGCGCACGACCAGTTCGCGTCAAGGTTTGGCAGCCTTCTAAACATGCAGACAGTCTAGCAACCACAGCTCAGGGTCTGGCAACCAGGAAACGGTATTTTTCGGTGGTATTTTCCGCCTCCATTTTGTGTTTTTGACGCATAACAAAGCGTGACCGTATCTCGAAGAGCTAGCACGCCATTGCTCTATCTGCATGTGCAGTTGTGGCCCAACGGCTGTGGTTAAATTTGGCATAAATTCCTCTATTTTCTCACGAGAAAGAACGATACCAATTAAATTGGTCTATAGCAGGGTGTTTTCTACTGACTGGACAGACGAAGGAACGAAAGATCCGAAATGTCGTCTGCCGCGCGAAGCGCACACGGACTGGAACAGCAGATCAATAAAAACTCATCGCCTTCAATCTAGCGCCACCTGTCGGAACGAAGATAGACTAGCATCAAATATGGCCTTCACTTTTACCTCGTTTTCGTGTTATTTCTTGCTCTGCGGCGTTTACCTTTTGCTTCACCATAACGTCGTTTTAATGGGCGCTGCACCAGAAAACTGTACAGCCTCACGAGACGCGAAGCCATGGTGTGGAGGGTGTCAGCAAATATCGACGACGTCATCGCTTTTCAGGAAGACGACCCGCCGAAGGCACCGAAGGATGATCGATTCGCGGGGTGGGGGAGAGAAACTAAAAGAGAGGTGCTGGGACGACGCGTTATAAATAGAAGCACTGCAGAAATGTCTCCGGTCGCTTGAGACAACAAGCTTCGAAGGGATCGCATCGGAGATTGGGTTCATTCGACGAATGCGTACGAAGTAATAAATCGACAGAGCAGTCCACTTTCTATCTTACTCTATTGTCGCCGTTCTTTGCTTTTCCTTTTTTTTCTTTTTTTTTGTGTGGCTATTATTAGCCGATTGTATTTGAAGAGAAATTCTACGTTCCGTAGGTAAGGTTGTTTTCGCCAGATCTCTCAAAGCCCAGCGCTTGTTATTTTTACCGCTTTCTGTTTGATTGTGCGTGCTTTAGTTGTGTTCGTTACTTAAAATAAAGTCCATCTCAGGATAGAAATAAGTTTATCTTAATACAATTCTTGAAGAAATGTTATGCAATTTAAACAGGATTTAAATATGATGTTCGTAGAAAACTCGAGATCATGTTATTTCGCCAGGCACGCGTAGCCAGGATTTTGTTTCAGAAAGGGGGGGGGGGGGCCATGCCCCCCCCCTTCCCCCCCTTTCTCCCCCCCCCCCCCCCCTTGGCTACGTGCCTGCATTTCGCATAATATCAAAGCTGTGGCGTCGAGTAGTTTGGTGTGAACGTAGTTTTTAAAGCGCTACACAAGCTAGAAAAGTTGACGCCTTTTACAAAAGCGGTATAAAGTGCTAAAAAAAAAAAAAACACTAGGATCCCGCGGTGTTTTGTAAGGAACAGGTTGTGTATGACATTCCCTATGTTGTGGTTTTTCAAACATAGGACAGAGTGACCGTTGCCTAAACGATCGCAATTTAGATGAAATGACTGTGAAAGGTAATGCACCAAATTCTGAAATTGCAAAACATGTAAGACGAATGTACCAACTGCGAACCCGAGTGGGAGAGCACTGAGGTCTTGCACTGAGGTATTGCAGAGAATAATGGAGCAGGTGAGTTCTAAGAGATACTATGCATAAGCCCCGGCAATTGTATTAGCCAACACTCTTTATCTCTTGATAAGAGAGTGAAAAGTTTCCTGGGTCTATAGCAGGGGTGGCCAAACCGCGGCTCGCGAGCCGCATGCGGCTCTTTGGTGGTCCAAGTGCGGCTCGCGGGTCCCTCGTAAGGGGACACCCCCCCCCCCCCCCCTTTCGCCCCTTTCCCCGTTTCCCCAGGAAAAAAAAAAAAAGAAAGGATTTCAGAATAAAGCACACTGCAGCTTGCACTCTGGCAGCCTTGTACTCCCATACGTACAGTCGTACAGTCTTGTGCCCCCATACGTACAGTCAGACTCTGAACAAAAGTTACGTTTCCCCCCCTCCCCCCCCCCCCCCCCCCCCGCGGCTCTTAGAAGTTCCGTGGTTTTGTGTGCGGCTCTTAGGCCAGGCCAGCCTGGCCACCCCTGGTCTATAGCTTATACGTGTAAACAACGTGTTCTATTTTTATTTTATATTTGTATTTTGCAAGGTTTGACGTCGTTAAATGTGGGGAGATGTTCGTGGTTTGCATTTATCATTTTGTGTTTCGGTATTCCTGTGCGAGGATGTGTTTTTGAATCTGTGAAGGAGGTATGAACGTGTATATAAGGCGATTTTTTGTTGAATAGACTTCAAAGCTGTGTTTAAGACTTCGTTGTTCTGTCCATCTTTTTTGTGTTGTTTTTTATCCCTGTGCTTTGGGTTTACTATATGGATTTCATTCACCAGCTAGCCCGCGTTTTTTTGTTTTTTTTTTTCCCCATCTTTGTCAGACTTTGTCATCGAAGTCCTGCTACTGGCTCAGAAACAATATCATAACTATACTTGTATTGCATAAACTGCAAACATGTCAATGACTTAAATTGACATAGTACCGTTTGAGTTCTAGTACGTAACCCAGTGACATTTACGTATATTAAAATGTCGATAATAAAAATATCTTCCGCGGTACGCGCAAGAGGTGGTTTTCTCCGCATGCACCAGTGTCGAGTGGAAAAGCCAACTATGCAAGGCGCCTCTCGCCTGCAATGTTATAGAGCACAGAACAGATGCTTTGTTCCAAGTAAATCTCCTGATAACATTGTCTAATTGGCGGGTAGGAAAAGCGTACAATCACATATATATATATATATATATATATATATATTAAATACGTATAATGTAAAATGTTCAGCATTAGCTTTTGCGATGCGACACTGAAACATATGAAAATATAGATCATGACCTCAAAATGTTAAATAGCATTGAAAAAAAAGATAAAATTGTTCCATCGAAGTACGTTGTAGCTTATGAAGGCAGACCAAAGTTTAAACAATGCGTCACACTTAAAGTTGCTCATTAACTGTCACTCCTTCAATACATGCATAGGTGCTTAACTTTAAAAGACAACATAAATAATGCGGGAACGTGTAAGCTGGGATTTAATCGTCAGTATTAAAACAAAACCGCAATGCAACAAATAAAAAGAAGTGATGAATCTGGTTGCGCAAGTTGTTATCTCACCGCAAGACTGAATTTGAAGGCATGAAACGCAATTCCCTTAAATATTTGATGCAATCGGGCGTATTGATCGAACCACAAACACGAAGGAACGATTTCAGTACGCTGTCAGCCAATAACGCTTTCTACGCTGAAGTACCTATACGTACGTGCAGAAGAGTTTGTATCAGTTTCGGCATCGACACCTCCAGCGCAAACTACACAGCTCAGTGCAATAGTTGAGGCGACAAAACCCGCTAATCACAATCTACTAAATAGACTGGGGATAATCGAAATAAACTCTCACCTGAAAATTGGGGCACTTTCGCCGGTGATTCACGAGAGGGGTCAATCCTATAGGTCAAACTCCGAAGCGAACACTCTTTGACCTTTGCCGACGAATATTGCCCTGCCAAGCTCCCTCTATCCTCCAACCAGCCGAAAATACCCGAAACTAGTCAACATTGGACCTGCCAGTCGACGACATCTAGTTTAAACCTAGGTTCTACCTCTCAACGCTTCTCCACGAGTAACTGCGCCGCTGCGAGTCCGAAGGCATCACATTCCTTCGAGAGATGAAACGGCTGCTCTTCCCACCAAGTAAAAAAGATGCGGAGCGCGGTGTGACGTCAGGGATGACGACACACGCGACGCCGATGCTTCATGACGTCATAGCCTCGTTGACGTCAGAAGGTGACGTCACAGTCTAGGGGGCGTTAACGGGCGCGGGTTGTCCAAAATCAAAACTAGAAGACATTCAACGAATGGCACTGATTGTAGCTAAGAATTCCGGAAGTCGATAATAATGCTCCATCACGGTGCCATTGTTCTTGCGGTCTGCCGTCTCGGCATACCGTTTGAATATACGCCACTTGTCCTTAATACGTCATACCGCAATTTGCGAGGTGTGATCAATTGAAGCGGGAGCCAACTTTTTAAAGCAAAAAATAATTCAAGCTTGATGCCAGCCAGAACTGTTTCTAAAAGCCATGTAAACATGTAAACGTAATGAACACAAACCGAAAACTAAAGTAGCCAACACAGGCCATTGTCACAGTCGACGAAGTAGGTTAACACTTTCATATATTCATTATATGTGTAATCATTCAACGATGAGGTTTACTATAATATTTGTCGCCGCAACGTATAAACTCAGATTTTATTTGTGATATTTTCACAAATTCTTTTAACTCGCAGGTATCGCGGTTAGACCGAGCAACCCGCATCGCCAAACGCATCAAAGCAAAATTTCGCGCGAAACAGCCAGAGCCTTTCCAGAGCGGCCGTGGTACCCGTGGGTGCCTCATTTCGTAAACGTTTACAAAATTCTCTCGTGCATCCCCGTGCCAAGCAAAGACATGGGTCTACTGGCGGACTGTGAGCGCATTTTCGGGTCGACCGACATATACAAACTCCTGGACGTACCGAAGGACGCCTCTCCAACCGCCATCAAAAAGGCCTACCGTCGACTGTCATTGCTGATGCACCCAGACCGCGTCAACGCCGTGCAGAAACAAGCTGCCACGCAGAAATTTCAGGTACTGTCGAAAGTCTACGTACTTCTTTCGGACAGCGAGAAGCGAGCTGTCTACGACGAGACGGGCTGTGTCGACGACGACGAAGACCTGTCCAACAACAAGGATTGGGATGCGTATTGGAGGCTCGTCTTCCCAAACATCACGGTGGCCGACATCGACAGGTTCATGCTGACGTACAGGGGGTCGCCGGAGGAGATCGAGGATCTTAAGAAGCGCTACGAGGAACATGAAGGAGACTTTGATGCCATCAGCGAGTGCCTCATAGGTATGGATATGTGTTTCGTTATCTCCGGGGGGTCCCCTCACTTTCGGTGCTGTGGGGCAGGCGGCCATTTTGAAAGTTTCGGAAAGTTCGCGGTAGACGACAAAATAATGCGCAAACGGGCTTCGCGAGTTTACTGGAAGGAAACTTGTGGCAATACTCGCTTGTCATTGTCATGTAGCTCCCAAAATGTTCACAAAATGGGTTCACTGGGGTGGCCAAAAAAAGACGTGTGCTGATGCAAGCTGGTCATTGGCTGCCTCCAGACCTCAAAAACAAGCTCTTGCAATGTGCTGTACCTTTTGTCTGACTTATTTAAGCACCAAGACGCATGCGGCGAGTGTAGCTGCACGCGCTGGACATCCTGGAATCTGCAGCAGTAACAGTCCAAAAGCAAACGCCTATAACAAATGGCGCATTTTATCTGTTGCATTCCAAGCCTCTTGATTTTGGCAATTTACTTCACATCTTTTATAATGTCCAAGCGAGCATGTCTTTATGTTCCCAGAATTCCCTTTGGTGCTCGAGTTATTAAACAAAATGTCTATTGCAAGCATGCCGCTGCGACCTTCACACACACTCACTTTAAAGGGGCCCTGCAATGACTTTTTGACTGGTTTTTAATTTGCACTGAACCTGAGCGTACTGAACGTAGTAACTTAATCAAAATTTTCTTTTCTCAAATTTCGCTTTATTTTAAAAGTTATAGGCAAATTAGAATTACAAAAACAAGCAAAAAATAACCTGCTTCATGACGTCATAGGTCCTGGCTTGAGTGGCCTTGAGCTAGAGGAGGAGTAAACTCGTCGAGCGCACACGGCTGCCGCACTCCGTGTCGACGGCTCGAGAGGGCGCCACTAAAGCACGTGTTGGATAGGCTGTATGAAGCGGGCGGCCAGGGCAGCTCGCATTGCATTTGCAGTGCGACTAAACACTAATTTGGCATAACATTTCATTGGCCACAAACGACAGCAAACACAGAGTAAAGATCAGTTCAGAACGGGAGCCACTTTGCGCTGACGCATCGCCAAATGGCCAAATCGCCAGCAGGGCCCGCGCCGAAGGCCTTCGGAACGCTCGGAACCGGTCGGATTCTTGAGCCGGTAAACGACCACAGCACCGCCGCGTACATCCGGGACCTTTCTACGCTCCTCGTTTGTTGTAGCCTCATCCCACTAGCCTTTTCTAGTATGCGTCGTTTTTTTCCGCCGCTTGGTGGCGGGTATGTCGACGGGTCATTTCTCGTTTCCCTACTTTCTAAACTGCATTTGTCTCTTTTCTGATCTAAAATAGTGAACAAAAACTACTTTCATACATAATTTAAACGGTTTGCGACACTTATATTTTGTATCTCGACTAAAAAAAGGCTCTTAGCGGCTTTGACCAGTAGCAAGCCCAGGACCAAAGACAACACATTTTCTGCGCTTTCGGTACCACGGGTCGCCCTCGTCGGTGGAGGAGGTTTCCGCGTCGTCCGGTTAAAATATGACGCACTGATATTTAGTTGCTCTCTCCGTGCCCGCTGGCTTGCCTCAACCGCAAGAGACGTGGTAACTGCAAAAAAGGTAGACACTTAAATTTTATGATTGCAGGGCCCCTTTAAAGGGACATTGACAGCTCCCCCCAAAAAATTGCTATTTTTTGACAGGCGATATATTATGGTGTCTAAAGACTACCCAATGAATATTTTTGTTATATATCGGAACCGAACCTGGGCTGGGGAGGAAGAAGAAATATAGAGGTGGAGAAAGTTACCTGGAGTCACGTGGCTGTACAACTTTTATTTTTTTTTTTAAATCGACGTATTTGCAGTTTTTTTAGAAGGTACAAAAAAATGTGCATCATATTTTTTGTCTATTTTTAGTACTGAGTGTTTGCTTTCAATGATTCACGACTTTGATTATGTTTGGTGGTTGTGTCTAAACCATAGAAAGCGGAACATGACCACGAAGAAGAGAGTGAGTGCGACTCCAACCGCCCAACTCTCGATCAGCGGTTTTCGGGCAGAAAGAAAACGAATTTCGAGCTGCAAATTGCATTCTGTGTAGTTGGGCTCTCATATGTCATGTACAAATAAAAACCTTGGCGACTATAAATACCCTGTCCATGACCCTCTAAGAGCGAGCTTTTGGGGCTTTTAGCATCCCTGCCTAGCATGTGCACTTGTGCAAAACAAGCATTGATCAGGGCAACATGCTCGTGCTTGTAGCTTCGCTCGCACGGAAAGCAACACAAACTATAGCCGGAGTAACTTAAGCACTTTCGATTAACTACTTTATACCCCGTTCGTTCCAACATCGCAATAGGCCGATCTCACCGGCCAGTTTGACTACACCACCGCTGCTGCAATGCATGGAGGGAACTTTAGTATTTCTGCACGTGGGACAACCTCTCTGGAGCTCTACGCGTGTAGCGCACAAGAAGGCACGAGTCGCTCGTGCACGGCAGCCTGTCTCCTGTGAACTAAAGTTATGGCGGCGTCACGCATGCGCCGATCGCTTTGTGACATCAGTCTATTGCAGTTACTTGAACTTTTTCAATGAACTACCTTGCACCCCGTTTGTTCACACGGTAACCACCTCTTTTCTGCTCTATTCCTTGCAGGGTACCAGTTCGACGAGGAGGATCGCTACCGCGAAATTCTCAACGACCTCATCGCCAAAGAGGAGATTGAGGCATACCCCAAGTTTACAAAAGAGCCAAAGAAGAAGCGGAATGCACGCCGTGACCGCTTCCTCGCGGAGGCAAAGGAGGTCGCGGACAGCGGCGCGATGGAAGACCTCGCGAAGGCCCTCAGCAAGCGACAGCGTGCGCGGGAGGAGAGCTTCAACAGCCTCATTGACAACATCGAAGCGCGGTACTGCAAACCCAAGAAGAAGAAGGTGACGAAGTGAAGACGCTGTCCGCCCACCTCCCTCGGCTTCCTGACATTGCATTCCTCCGTTTTGTTTACGCCCGGGTTTCTACGGTCTGTTCCCGTTTCATGCATCATTGTTGGCGTTGAGGCCGTGAATAACCTTCGTGTCGTTGCGTGTAACAACAAAGCGTTTTTCTGTAACCTCGTTTCTGCAGTGCTTTCCTCGGTATGAAAGTAGTGTTCCTTGCATTGAGTGGAGTGAACCTTTTCGAAAAACCCCACGAGGTCTCTTGTTCGTCTGGCATTGCACCACGCAGCGTGGGGCCGGTCCGCTCAGCATTCATTCATTCATTTATTTTCACCTCAAGGGCCCGGTTAGGGCATTACATAAGGGGGGGGGGGGGGGGCAGTAAAACGAAGAATACAATAGCAGATGCAGTAGTAGAACAATAACAGTAACTATAAACAAGAACATGAGAAATTATACATAATGGGCTAGTAAATTATCGTAAAACACTGTTCCATCAGAGGTGTTGACGATGGAGGATGGCAACTGGTTCCACTGTGTGATGGCATATGGGAGGAATGATTCATTGAATAGTTTTACCAGAAATATGTTTTATTGCACAAGAGTTGTTTAGGCGGGAGGATATTCTATCGGGGGGGGGCGAGAGAAGGGCGTTCTTTAGTTCTGGGAAATGATAATAAATTTTATGAAGAAGGCATAAACAAGAGAGTTTCCTTTGAATGAGTAAGGGTATAAGCCCGAGTTGACTTTTGAGAGAAGAAACACTAGTGAAGTGGTCATACGATGATAAGATAAATCGGGCGGCTCGGTTTTGTGCTGACTCCAGGTGATTGATTAGATAGACTTAATGAGAACTCCAGAATGCAGATGCGTATTCTAATTTTGGCCTTACACAAGTTTCACATGCCAACTTTCGGACTTGGGGGGGGGCATCTCGCAGATTACATCTGATGAATCCGAGAGTCTGGGAAACCTCTGCAGAAACGGCTTCGATGTGAGGTTTCCATGAGAGGTCAGGCGTTAGTCTAAGGCCAAGATAGTTATACATTGAAACTGATTCGATGACGTCTTTGTCTAGGGCAGGGGTGGCCAGGCTGACCCGGCCTAAGGACCGCAAACGAAATTTCTAAGAGCTGCGAAAAAGGGGGGGGGGGGGGGGGGGGCAAACTTAAATTTTGTTTAGAGTCTGACTGTATGTATGGGGGCACAGGTTGCACGACTGTATGTATGGGGGTACAAGGGTGCCAAACCGCGAGCCGTGCTTTATTCTGAAATCCTTTCTTTTCTTTTCCTGAGGAAACGCAGAATGGGGCGGGGGGGGGGGGGAACTTACACGGGATCCGCGAGCCGCACTTGGACCAGCAAAGAGCCGCATGCGGCTCGCGAGCCGCGGTTTGGCCACCCCTGGTCTAGGGTATACTGAAAGGGTAAATGAGTTTTCTTGCGGGTAAAATGGATTAGCTTGCACTTCGATTTTGTTAAGCGACATGAACCATTTTCCGCACCAGTCGTTAATTTTTATGAGATCATTTTGAAGCAAAAGATTATCAGTGTTTGTTGAGATGGTGTTATAGATGACGCAGTCATCGGCGAAAAGTCGTATTTTGCGGGAGATGTCATGTGGGAGGTCGTTAATAAAAATAAGAAAAAGCAGTGGGCCAAGGACGGAACCCTGAGGTACACCTGAAGTGACGTTTGTTAGCTTTGATTCATGCTCGTTAACAACCGTGTATTGCATACGAGACGCGAGAAAGCTGGTAATCCGTGAATATGCAAGGGGATCTAAATTTAGGGATGATAGTTTAGAAAGCAGACGTCTATGGGGAACACGGTCAAATGCCTTCGAAAAGTCGAGAAATATGGCGTCGGTTTGTATATGGCGTTCTAGGTTAGTCTGCAGTTCATGAACAAATTCACATAGTTGGGTCTCGCAGGAGAACCCCCTACGAAAACCGTGCTGGTGCCTGGAGAACAAATTGTTTGACGTTAGGTGAGTCATGATGTTAGAATATAAGAAGTGCTCAAAAAGTTTTGACGCAATGCAGGTTAGAGAGATGGGACGATAGTTCGAGGCGGAAGATCGAGTTCTCTGTTTGTGGACTGGGGCGATCCATCCAATATTCCAGTCGGAAGGCAGACGACTCTCGGAAACACGTGCTGGAAGTACCTCAATTCCTTCTCTCTTACCACCGCGGATGTAGAATGCACAGTAAATAGTGCGAACGTATCACAAAGTCGACATGTACCTCTCTTTGTTATCGCCGTGCTTTCTGAGTGTTCTGAAATTGCAAAATGCTACACAAACATGAACCACTGCTATTTATGGGACTCCGTCATGTGCTGCACGCCGGATTGCCTGTAGTAGTGCGTCGTAGAGACAGTGGCAGGTGCTGCATATTTCAGGATCAGTCTACAGAACCCTTAGAACATCATGGCCCTTTCTTGAAGATCTGTAAGTTCTGCACAGTGGCACGTGGGAGACACCTACAGGCCGACACATCATGGTCGCTTCCAAGCAACTAAACCAATGTTTCACAGTGTTGCCTGTTTCCCCCTATTCAAAGCGTTGAGGAGAGGAGTGCAATTTGTTGAAAAGATTCTATAGATCTTTTCTGCTCACCCTCATCCCTGCTACAAAGTTCACATGTGGGACTAACAAAAAAAAAAGAATGACATCACAACCAGGAACAATTCAAGAATATCTGGAAGAGGTGAGACAAGGGCGACAGGCAGTTGAGACATGAACACCTTCCGGGGGTGTGGCAAGAGCAAGAAAAGTTATTGCATGCCAGAAGCTCAACCATTCAAGATCACAATAGTCACATAGAAGTAGTTTTTATATCATTTACAGAATTCAGTGCCATATGGTAGCTCAAACAGCCACATGTTTGCTATGCCAGAGCTCTAGTTATGCTAAAAGCTCCAATAGAAAATATAGTACTTTGTTGGCACCATCCCTTTCATACAATAAAAAACAGGAATGTTCCATTTTCAGTGGCAATAAAAAAACTAGCTATTGGCACGACGTGCTTACCTGATTAAAGCCCTTGACTACATCACGGAGCATTAACGCCAGATATTTTCCAACAGACCGACTAGCCCCGAATCCAAATGAAGGAATGCTCGCATCAAAGCAGTGCGTTGCATCGAGCTGCTGTCTAAAACGCACAGGGCTGTCATTTGCTCGGGTGCATGTCTTCCAGCTTCTTTTCTCGACGATCGCCAAAATGCTATTATTAGACTCCTCTCCACCTTAACATGCACCATAGCGAGAGCTAGAAGCTCGTAGTTTTGGCAGCTGTGAGAGTTTGTCCAGCCAAGGCCCATCCTGGAGTAAGGAGCTTGCGCTTGTAGCCTTCGCTGCAATGCACTTTAAAGGCCGATGTACTCATTGCACTATTCACTCTTGCCCACCTCCTTTCCCATACCCTCTCCACTTTTTACTTTGCCCCAACTTGGCTCCTCTTGCAGCTTAGGAGAGGAGACCGCTAAGAGGATTATCTTCCCTGCAGAAAACCTTGGTTGTACGTCAGCCCTTTAAAGGGCCACTGACGGGGTATTTGCATACCTCGGCAAACCTCACTCATGAGGGCCCTCACTCACCCTCATCTTCACAGGTGAGGTGAGGGTGAGTGAGTTTCTGAACCAGGAAAATTCATGAGTGTGAGGGTGAGTGAGGGCCGTGAGGGCCGTGAGGGCGGTGAGGGCCGTGAGGGCCGTGAGGGTGGTGAGGGCCGTGAGGGCGGTGAGGGCCGTGAGGGTGGTGAGGGCCATGCAACTCGGAGCAATTCGAATGCGTTTGAAGCGGCTGCATCCAATCAGGGACGCAAAATTTTCACGTGATACCTCGTGCCGGTGATGATGACACCGAAAGACTTGGTTCTGGTTTGAAATCGATCGTTTTTTTTTTGGAAATAAACTGTTTCAGAAAGGTGCATTAGTATTCTTAACGAGATTTATATGCATAAAAACACGTTTATAACGCGTAATTGTGTCTAAATAGTGCAAGAAAAATAAAATTTTATGATGACGATGGCAAATTGCAGCAATTCGTTGCTGCGTGTGATCGCGGGCGGCCCGTGTTGCTGGTGTTGCGGCGTACAGTTTCTGGGCGAAATTGCCCCATCTGAAGCTGGCCTGAGTGGCGTGAGGGCCATCAGTGCGTGAGGGGCGTGAGGGGTGTGAGGGCCGCAAGGGCAGTGAGGCGCGTGAGGGCGGTGAGTGGCGTGAGGGCGGTGAGTGGCGTGAGGGCGGTGAGTGGCGTGAGGGCCGTGAGGGCGGTGAGTGGCGTGAGGGCCGTGAGTGCGTGAGGGCGGTGAGGGCGGTGAGGGCGGTGAGGGCGGTGAAGGCGGTGAGGGCCGTGAGGGCGGTGAGTGGCGTGAGGGCCATGAGTGAGTGAGGGCCGTGAGGGCCGTGAGGGCGGTGAGTGCGTGAGGGCCGTGAGGCTCAGTGAGGGTGAGTGAAGGGCTGAAGGTGAGTGTGACTGTGAGGGTGAGGGTGAGTGAGGGGCTGAAGGTGAGTGTAGCTGTGAGGGTGAGGGTGAGTGAGAGGCTTAGGTGAGTGTGGCTGTGAGGGTGAGTGAGGGCGACCTAAAATGCCGACCTCTGGGTATTTGTGCTCGCCAAGTTTTTTTTTGTACATGACATACGAGAGTCCAACAACCCAGAACACAATTTGCGGCTCAAAGTTTGTTTTCTTCCCACCCGAGAACTGGCTGGTTTGAGTCGCACTCATTCTCTTCATGCTCGTGTGCCCTTTTCTACGGTTTAGACACAACCACCAAAGGTAACAAAAGTCATGGGTCATCAAATGAACACACTCAATACTAGAACATAAAATATACCTATTTTTAAAAAAACTGAAAATACGTTGATCAAAAAAGAAAAAAAAAGTTGCACAGCCACGTGACGTCCAGTATCTTTCTCTTTCAGTAAATTTCTTCTTCCTCCCCAGTCCAGTTTCGGTTTCGAGCAGTTGCGTTTTTCTACTTTATTAAAAATGCATGTGACACTGTAGCAGAATATTGATTGGGTAGTGTTCCGACACCATAATCAATCGCCTGGCAAAAAATAAAAAAAATTTGGGGAGTGTTAATGTCCTTTTAAGGCGAAATGAAATATAGAGTGGATCAGGTGCCTTACATTAGAATGATAACAGTGATTGACATCAGCATGACACATCAACTGAATGCTTATGTGGTTTTGGAGGCCTATTGGTAAACCTCTTTAACATGATTGTGACTGATGGGGGAAAAACTGGAATAAGCGAGGGTTTCCCCGCGTTCCCGAATTAGAAGTTTCGTCGGCGGGCCCACTTAGAGCTGAACCAGCCGACGAAACTTCTGAATCTAGGATTCGAGATGTACCAAAACCCCAAGCGATGCAAATAAACAATGGTCGACGTGCAAAGCGATGGAGATAACGATGAAGCAAATTCGCCAGCATGGCTTCCCCGGCTTGCTTGGAACCTAAGGCCGGTTCATAAAACCAATTTATATTGGGTGTGCAAATAGCGGGTCAAAACGAACAGCACTGCATCATTCGTATCTTTCACGGTACAAGGAAAACCTAGGAAGGACTTGCCGACTCTGTGGTGTTGGAGGAGCTAAGGATGACGCTGCAGTATTTAATTCGAAGAAATATTCGCACATCCCCACATCGTACAGCTCGCGAGAGAACGTCCAGCACGACTGTACACGTGGCTGGGAAGAACCGCTGCCATAAGGGGACCTGTGGCCGAGCGTTGGTGCATGCATTTGAGAGAATGTGGAGCTAAAGCTCGTGCTGCCGCGCCCAGGGATCCCGGTTCCACTGTGGACGAGGATCATCATGCCAGCAATCAGTCGTGCGAGTCGTATACCGCTACTGCCCAAGGTAGGTTACAGACCCCAGGCTGGTGTCGCAATGCGCGGGATAAAATTTCTCGCGGACGGAGTGAGCTGGGTTTGCCATACTACGACAGACGAACATAGCTCCGTCCGAAGTCGCTTCGCTTTTCGAGTGCCGCATCGCATTCCGCTTGGTCCCAAGTCGTTCGGAACCCGAGGTACTACTTCCCATAACAGCCAAGACCAGTCTGCAATGTGTTGGAGATAATTTATTCATTTGTCAATGTAGCTCCCTCCCCCACCCAGAAATCCTGGATAACAGGGTGCCGTATGTGCGAAGAAGGTGGAGGGGGGGGCAGACAAATAATCTCTGCCACAGACAAGCTCCTCAACGCTAGTATGAAGTGGGAAGTGTGACAACAGGCAAACGACAAGTGGCGAGTCTCAAATGCCATCTTAATGCGAGCAAAAGCAGACTCCAAAACTGTGACGCGGGAGCAAGGAAACATTTCAACACTCTGAAGTCGCCCAATGTGTGAAAAAGCCACGTACGCACGCTCTGGTCGTGTGACAAACAATGATCCAAAAAGATGTCTCCATCTCTTACATTCAAATGCCCTTCGAGTAAGAGGGCGCAGAAAACATCCACTCGTGGCACCAGGGCCCAACAATGCAATTCCTCTCTCGCAACCCTTTTGTCTACACTCTGTACCTGCGCCAAGAGTGCGGTGATTCTAGATCGGCTCGATCGTATCCAAGTGGTACACAAAAACTAAGTGCGTCGTCTCCGCAAAACGTTCTCCTCCGACAGTAGCCAGTAGCACTTTTAAAGCGCGACTGCTTGCAAACGTGTACGGAGAGAAGTTGTGCAGCACGTCAGAATTCAACGTGGCAACCACCACGGTAACACCGTCTACCTCTACACACCATCCGACGCTAACCAGACAGGGCGACAGAAGCTGCATGTTCGTCGATTCCCCGTCGCGCGATCGCTCTTCCGCCCATACCCCCGCGCAGAAAGCGGGTCCGGGCCGACTGGTCCGGAGTGTGCACAGCTTCCATCGCCCTGTAAGCTTATACTCACTCACTCGCTAAGACAGGTGAGAAAAGCTGGGAATCCCAGCCTCCCTCCTGTTCCTCCTTTCCCTCCTCTTGAAAACGTTGGGACACGCTCTCTTGCCCGTCAGCCTTAGCTGTGCTGCATCGTTTTAGTGAGACGAAGTATAGGGATATACACTGAGGAAGAGGAGGAGATTTTAAGTGCACAGCAACGTCCGAGCACCAGGCCGTGGTTGGAATGATTAGGGGCAGACTCAACACGAGCTGCCTTTCTCCCCGCTCGCTGTTTTAACGCGTTTCAACGATGAACATCGGTGTTCACGTTCGAACAGCGAGTGGAGCCAAATTCAGCTATCTTTGCATCTGCCTGCTAATCAATCCAACCAGAGCTCCGTGCTCACAAATTCCTGCACACTGTCGTCTCCTCTCTCCGTTTCTACCCATATTTTCCCTCGCTCGCGCGAGTTGAGATGCCGTGGCGTCGGAGTGAAAAAGCCCTCTGAAACACTTCGGTCCCCAAAGGGGCGGTAGTGTTTGCGGTATTTGCGAGGTCAAACCTACGCGCCACCTTTCGGGAGACGGTCGTTGATGGCACCGGCCGACGTAACTCCCTTTTACGTAGAAAGAACGACGCGTAACAAAATTAGAAAGCCCACGCGCGGACCGGAAGTGTGCTGGGGCTACACGATGGACGGCGCCCGGAGCGCATCCGCTCAGACGCTGATAGTCCTGAACACGTTGAAGCCGTTCTGGGCCGTGCTGACGATGACGCCGGGCATTTGGGGGTGCCAGTGTCCCTCCTTGATCTCCTTCTGTCCCTGGTGGATGAAGAGGAGCTGCGGCGGCAGACCCCTCAGCGCCGCGTCCTCCTCCGCGTCCCCGGACGCGCCCGTCGCCTCCGCGTCCCCGTCCCTCTCCACGGCCAGGTCCCAGAGCGTGAGCTGGTCGTCGCTGCCGCTCGCCAGGAACACCGTGCCGTCCGTCGGGTGCCACTCCACCGACGTGATGGGCGCCAGGTGGTGCTTGAAGGTCGCCACAGGCTTCCCGCTCTGCTGGAAGAGACGCCGAGTTTCTGGGGTCAATCTCGACGTTACATCTTTTTGCTGCCGAATATGTTAACCTTAATACATTCGCTGCCAAAGATTGTTAGTCTGGCGACGCATTACAACGCGTCGGCAATTCTAAGAAAGTAGCGAGTGCAAGGGCATAGCTTCGTATTCCCTGGTTTGGCTAACGGAGGTAGGGGAGCAAGGGCTATGTCACTGGTGCCTTGCTTTAAAATGTGTTTCGACTGTACGATACGACAACCAGCTAGAGCCGTAGCCTCGGTTACGCAAGTACATACATTAAAAGTAAAGCAAAGTATGTAAAGTGCTCACACAAGCACAGAGCGGGATTGTCGCCAAAGGGATAGTGAACCGAAATTTGGATTTAAAAAAAACCAATGCAGGAGCTGTAGGCGGGAAGCTACAATCCCTACGACACTACTCGTAAGGCAACATCTCGAATGGACGGCCGTATTTTTGGAAAAGGAGGTCGAGATTGAACCAGGCCAACGAGGCGCGTGACGTCGAGATACCTAGTTTCCTCCTCTCTTCTTTTCGCCCCCTCAAGGCGGCGAGGTGGAGAAGACGCGAGGCCGTTCCCTCTACTTCTCAGAGAAACAAGACATAAACATATCTGTCAAATGCGCCTCCTTTTTTTTAAAAATAGGGTCATCCGTTCGAGACATCGCTGTATGAGTGATGTTTTGGTGTTTGTAGCATCCCGTTGCACGCTTTTGCGGCGTGTTTTGTGGAATCCAAATTTCGGTTCAGCATCCCTTTAAGATGTGTCTATTCCCACTCGGCGCTGTTGCTGGCACATTGACGAAACATGTTCAGACCCCGGACTTATACAACAGTCAAAGCATAAATGTAAAACTCATTTTACAACCATGCTCCAACAGCATCACTTTTCAATGCGGAATGTGTCGTGTAAGCTCGTATTGGCTCTTTGAGCACGTAGTTTTACAAAAAATTGTTAAATTGCAGCTATATCTATAGTCCGTTGCAACTCGAGAAGGTAGGGCAAGGGAAAGGAACGCCGGGGAGGAGGAAGCGGATGGAATACTGGAGTGGAGAGGGAGAAATCTCCTCCTCTCTTTAGCGATTTGTCAGCCTCCTCCTCCTCCCCGGCCTTCCTTTCCCTGGCCCTACCTTGTTGAGTTTCAACGGACTAGTAGCCCCGAGAAGTTCGCATGGCGCCCCCTTACGGCGAACCGGGGTGACGTCACGGCGAGGAGAGAATTTTTCCCCGACTCGCTCCGCTCGCCCTGTGGAGGCTGTGACGACGCTAGCTGTCGGCGCGCTCGTTTCTATTTCATTTTTTTAGGCGTATTTTCTGTAGGAAGTGTAAATTTTTATGAGTTTTTATTTAGGTATGGCCTGTAGCTACAGGCGAAACTTCAACCAACATTTTAAGCATGCTTGACAGGGCAGGCAACGCATGAATCGCAGCTGGTATATGAAAATAAAGAAATATGGCCACAATTGCAGGAGCATCGTTATAGATTTACATCTCGCACAATAAATGCTGTTGATGGTCTGAATAAATTGGCAGGCTATGTATACTATTTTTCTTTTGTATCTCTGTTTTTAAACAAGATCGCCGAAGCAGAAAAGCTGCATGCTCCTCGAGCAACATGCTAAATACACTCTGAGCCATGGGGAGAGAATCACAAGTAAGACAGCCAAAGTGCAGGAGCAAAGTAAAAAAAAAACAAGGAACATTTATTATATACATTGCTCGCATTTAACCTTTGCTGGATTCGGATCGTATTTCAAAGGACTACACGGGTGTTATTTGTGGACTTGTTTATATGAACCCTTAAGTAATGTATAACAAACGTAAGCGAAGGTGTCTAGCTCGTTATTAGTCCCTTAAGCCCTAAAATTCAGATATTACTTAAATCGAAGTGTCCTGAAGCTAAAATACGAGAAGCTTTTCTCACGCAGGCTGTTGCCCTTCACAGGTTCCACATTTTCTGCTACTAGTGCTGCATCTACCGCTGGACAGACGTTCTAATGCTTGCTTTTACTCCTGTTTTGCTCTGTTAGGGAGTCCAGCTGTAGGGAGTTTGAAGGCTGAGGAAGCTTTTGGGGACCTGTAGCAGTCTCTTTTAATTGGAAATGACAATTCAGACTAAACCGTGTATTTTTTAATACCCAAGGCTGGAATAAAGAATGTCAGGAAAAAGTATAAACATCCCAAATTACAGCACTACTGCTGTGCATATTTTGGGCAGTTCAATACATATCATACAGGCACCTGGGGACAATTCGGCCGTTTTTGCTGCTACCATACAAACTAATTTTCAGAAATTGTGCATCTTCTAAGAAATATGCCTGCATACGTGTATAAACTATAAACTACTACGTGTATAAACTATATAATTAATTCACGAAGAAGCTACATTTACGTAAAACAGCCCTGCTCCACGAGCACTTCAAAGATCATCAGACGCAGGGCCTTTAAAACATCTGCGTACTAGCGCATGCAGAGTGGAAGCGCAGAGTCGGGGTCGCGAGCTAATTTGCCGACCACCCGAAGGCCCATGATATAAATGCCACTTCAAATGCCTTGAAAGCGGGATGTAATATCGTCTTAAATCATGAACAGGCAAGGAACAGAATTCCAGCGTCTGAAACACTTGCGCCACCGCTTCACCGACCCCTCGCAAGATTGCGTTGTGTCGTGTGGACGGGCGGGAAGGTTCATTGGCGGAATAGCCTCCTCCCATAGCTTTCGGGATTTGTAACCCAATTTTAAAGGTAAAAGGGACAAGCAGGCTTATAAAATGTACGGAAGCACGTCAATATCGGCCTAACTCAACGTCTCGTACACCGGGTAAACGAAGTCCAGCTCCTCGAAGAGCTTGCGGCACACAACGCCAAATCAGGAAACCGGTGCTGGGAAGCGAGCCGATGCGAGATCGCGGAGCGGAGTCCTCCCCCTGACGTCACGGTACACCTCACCCAATCAGGGCGCGGCGACCGCAGCGACGCTTGTGTTCGCTCTCGGGGCTAATAGCGTGAAAACGTCCCGCTAAACTTTGCGCACATATATCGTCCGTGTTTGCTATTTTCGTCTTTGGTTTTTGGTACATACTTGCTTATCTATACATGTACCGAGCTAATGTACCGGACAATTACGAGACAAGAGAATGGCGCTTTTTGGACCACATAAATGAACTGTGCATTGCAAAAAGCTCGAACTCCGTGAGAATGTGACGCTAGCTGCTGGAACAGAGTGGCAAAATTTTAGAACATGACGTTGCTTGTATCAAAAGATAAGGAAAAGACGACCACCTAAGCCTAATATTGTCGAAACAAGAAATGACACGGTGGGCATCCTCAAGAATTATTCATGCAAAAAAAACTCGTCGGCAAGAAAACAATCTCCTTCCTGCTCACGAGCGTTTTTCACCAATATAAATTGTATAAACTAGGCTTAGGTGGACGTCGGCTCGTAGATAAATTTTGTTTTTCTTAATTATCTTTCGACACAGATAACATCACGTTTTCAAACTTTCACGTTCCATCCCAACTTCCAACATCACATTCTCACGGAGTTCCAAGATTCCGCGATGAACATTTTACTTACGCGGGCCAGAAAACACGGTTCCTTCTTCTCGGTGACGCCCAGCATATCTCCAGTGATTATGACTTTATATGTAGAATTAGGGTGTCCACGATGTCCTTCTCTTTAACCGATCCCAAAGGAAAGGCAGCGGCTACTTGCCTGAAACGTGCGCAGGTCCCAGACCTTGACCGAGCCGTCGTCTCCACCGGACAGCAGGAACGGTTCCAGCCGGTTCCAGCTGATCACGTTGACGTCTGCCTCGTGGGCGTCTGCCGTCGTCAGCATGCACGCCTTGTTGGGTGCCGCCCTGACGTCCCATATCCGGATCGAGCGGTCCACCGAACACGATGCAAGCACCTGGGTGGATGACAACCGCCTTCCTTCCACCAATGCACCTTTTGTTTTTCGACCGTGTCAACGGCGCGGTCCAATGGATCTAGTTCGCTACACATAAAGTTGCAAATGTCAGCTTTGCACGCTTCAACATTCTAACTCGCAATGAAAAGGAGGTTGTGTCGTGGATCAATTGTACAAAAATGTCCAAGGAAAAACAATTGCCCAAATCAATAGTTACAAATCAAAACAAAAAGTTACCACTGGCTCGATAGAGAGCCATGCCTTTTTCAAGTTAAAGAGAAAAAGAAAAAAAACAATCATGACTTATTTTGGCACTTTAATGGGCAAAAGAGGAACCGAGAGCAAAAGCAAAATGGTTTTCTCTCCTACCTTTTCTGTTTCCATAAAATCAAACGTCCTGCATTCCATAATGATCCCATGACATTTCTTTCACTTTGACCCGAAAAAGGCGCAACTCCTTTTTGGGTTGCTCAAAGCTTTAGTTTTATTTTTGGTAACTTCTAAGAAAGTTTTCACTGTAAATATATTTCTATAACAAATCCACCACGCAACCACACTTTTATAATGAATTACGGGATTGTGCCGTGCAAAGCGGACCTCTACGATTTATCTAAAAGGTGTTAAATTAATGGTCCACGATCCAGAGCCAACAAATGTTTGCAAACTATCAAATCTTTTCTGAACCGCATTGCAGCCCTGCAGTCATTGACAATCTTGCACAATCGAAGCGAGGCAAGCAAACCTAACAGGGTTGTTTCTCACTGGCTGGCAAGCCTGCTGATCAGAACTCCTATGTGAACGTTGTCCGTAGGTTGTTTGCTTTTTTACTCTCAGCTTCGAGATGGCCCACCCTAGCCAATCAGAAGGCACGATTTCCCAGTTGGGGAAGACATTATGGAATGCGGTACCCTGAGAACGTTTTGCAGCTCCGACCTCAACCTTCCGGGATGCGTAGCGGCCGCAGCAGCCTGTTCCCATAATTACGCATCTTTAAAATACGGAGTTGCACGATGGAAACGGCAAAGGGAATGACAGAGGCTTTCCTTGTGGCCATTAATTATGAACTAGGTAGTTAAACCACTGGCCACCAAGAGAGACAGCACTGCAGGTGGGCAGTTACAGGCACCCACCATAAACCAATAACAAAATCGTGCGAGACCACACGAAGCAAAAACAGAAAAGCTAATGATTATACGTAAGCATACTGTGCACCATTCACTGACAGCATCTAGGTAGTAACAGCATGCAGTGACCAATCTTTCTTGGGGGAGGCAGAAAACCGAGAACTCAACCATCTTTTGAACCAAAGCACTAAAAAAGACAAACACTTCTGTTTGTCTTTCTTAGCACTTTTAACCATGGTTCAAAACGTTCATCACCAACTAGCCCAAAGACAAGTACTTTTAAATCCCACCACATCGGGTCAGCAGTCGTTGCTTTGAAGGGAGACAGACAATTCGGAGACTTCTCTAAAAGACGTGTCTTACCCATCCGAGGGAGCTTGAAGCACTGCCCAATTTTCCCCAGAATCGTAACACAAATATTTTTTCGTAGACCGGAACAAGCGAGAGTGTTTCCATAATACCCTGCCACTACCAGACCAGAACCAGCAGTACTGTCGTTTCATTTACCACTCGATTAATTTGGGAGACAAGAAGTCGTCTGCAGGAAAACTGTCTCGAGCGCAACCGCAGCTCGTTACAACCATGAAATTAAATCTCGCAAACCCTTCCGGTGCCCCCAACATGCATCACCAGGCCGAACTGCGCAGAAAGCAACTGACCGTCGCTTCGCTGGGAGACCACTGGATGTCTTCCACTGAGGCCGTGTGCCCCGTAAAGGCGCGCTGGTCTACGTGCCACGTGCTCTCGTGGGGCTTCCACAGGTGGATGTTTTTGTTGCAGTCTCCCGTCGCCAAAACACCTGCAACGCGGGACAACAAAGTTTGTAGCCGTTCTTCGACAGCTGGGTCGGGTACTACAGACGCACAAACGAATGTCGCTTTGCAAATGGCACGAGGCATCGTTGAGCGCCTGCGAGGGTCTATGCTCTTTGTCGGGAATTCTCAGACGTCTTGGTCTCGAAAAGCGCCTACCTGCACCCAACAAAAGCCAAGGAACTGACCCTAGTCTCGATGCAGTGAAGCAGTGCAGAAGCCTAAGGACCTTGTAAACGATAATGCTCACGTACTGGGGAGTGATTGGCTCATAGCTACGCATCAACGAGTAGCTCGGGCCTGCTAAAACAGTACTTAAACTCGAAAAATGTGTACTCAAGGGGGAGGGAAGGGGGGGACGACTGTTGAGAAATTTTGCCAGTTCAAGGAACCATAAGGTAGGGAATCTCCTTGGCTCCGAAGAACCCAGTTTGAGGACTCGTACTCAGTACCGTCAACATTTTGCGTGCCTAGGCATAGTTCCGGTCCTAAATCAAGATGCCTTTCTGTTGAGCTTTTCTGGTTTATTTCACTAAAATGTTTTGGACCACCATCGAGACACGAAAGGTTTATCATCTATCGTTAATGACTACGATAACGCGAAATTGTCGATCGTGGCTTCTCGTAAGCTCGAAAAGTGTGAAACGAACGATTACAGCTCTGCCAGTGCTTGCACCGTATGTGGTAGCACCCACAGCCCACGTGGCCAACCCAGAGCACGTATGGGAGCCAAAATAATCTGGCGGGTCCCACCTCGTGCGCTACGTAATGGGACGCCCCTTGCTTCGGAAGGTGGCAGGCGACCCCTGCAATCGTTCTGTAATCTCCCCCTACACTGCTGCAAACGTTGCTAGCACAGCCTTCGCTACGACAACTTAACAATCTCTCTCGCCGTTATTGTCGCCGGAAGCCAATTTTCGCAACAGCTCCATAATTTAAAATGCTGCCATCGTCACGACTCTTGCCAAAACTTCATATTTTTCACCATCGTCATCATTTTTAGGACAGTAGCAGACAACAGCCCCTTTTTGAAAGTGTGCAACATCTAGGAGCATCTACGCAAATTATCCGAGTTTGCCATTAGTTTAGGCACGCACTCCGAGCACGTATTGGACACGAGGGCCGCGTTGGCACAAACTTGGCTCGGCTTGTACCGAAAAAGAGTTCTGCGTCGGCTTTCGGCGAGGACCCGAATCCAATCACACGCTTCGCATCCAAGAAACGACGACAGCCAATGTTGCTCGACGCACTTCTGAAAACGGTCTATTCTGGCAAGTCCGTAGTCAGTCACCATCACTGGGGCAGCCTTTGCTTCGGACGGTAGCAGACGATTCTCGCGACGAGCCCCTCAACCAAAAACATTGTCCCCATCACTTTGGCGGCCTTTGCCACAGACTAATCTTGCAACAAGTCTGCCGTCTCCGCCGTTGTCGCCGCTAAGGCAGCCTTCGCGGCGAACGGTAGCAGACGACTCTGGCAACGGATTCGTTGTCGCTGATCGCCCCCACCTGGCTTGGTGGGTGACCAGTCGACGGCATAGCCCTCGGCGAGGTGTCCCGCAAACTGGAAGGCCGGCTTGGGCGCCTCGTGGTTCCGCACGTAGTTGGACATGGCCGACGGGTGCTCCAGCACATGCAGCGGGTGGCTCAGGTCCCAGAGGTACACCTTGCGGTTCTCAGACCAGGTCGCCGCCATCGTCTTGTCCCCGACCTTGGACACCTGCGACAGAAGGACCTGGACGTGAGTTGCGGGGTTCCGGCATGTTGCCCAGACCGCGTCTCCAGCGTGCCGTCCAGTCTCGGCCGCGCATCAAAAGCTATTCCGAAGTGGCAACAAACTGCGTCATGGGTGCCGCCATGTCGCGCCGCTGGACGTCGCGATTCCAACGGTTGGTCGTACAAATGCCGGCAAGAGACGAGCAGACGAAAGGCTCGCTATCGTTGTGGCGTCCCGTCCTGCATCTGCTTTGGTTTCCTTCGAGCGCCAGGCTGCAGAGCGACCTACGGTAGAACAAGCATCTGTCACATCTGCCTTTGATGCCGCGCCGCTGCCAGGTTCGTGGCAGGCAACGGCGTGCCACTTCTGCTTTGTCATCCGGTGTAAATCAAGGGACACCACTTTCAAGGTCGTGTTTTGATGCGCCAACGGGAGACACACTTCGTGCAGCCTAACTTTACAGACAGTTCCCCGAAAGCATCCATTGTACAGCATGTGAACTAACGCTTCCAAGGCACTCTACACGGCCCGCTAAAATTGATTTCTCAACGTATCTAGCTGTGATTTATCACATAAGTGCAAACAGTTGGTGAAAGTTTACAGTGAAAAAAAAAAAACTGAGGAACAAACTTACCCTGTTAAAAAAAAAAAAAAAAAAACTGTTCAGGACAATTTACGCCTCCACTTGACAGACGATGCATGCGTCTGCAAAGTGGCAGCAAATATTACACAGAAGAAGTTCTTCTTTTTCTTCTTTCGAACGAAGTAAGTTTGTTTCTTGATTTTTCCACTGTAAACTTTCACCACCTGCTTGCACATTTATCCGAATTGCAGCCTGATACACCAAGGAACCGATTTTTTTGGGTTGTCTAAAGTGCCTTAACAGCATTAAATTACAAGCCGCAACACCGTCGAAAAAAAAAAAAAAAAAGTCTACTTACACGGACGCGATTGACGCACCCCTGATGCGGCACCAGGGCGCTCTCCATCTCGGGCTTGGCATCCTCGTCTTCGCTCTCCGAGCTGTCTTCCTCGTCGCCGGCATCTTTTCGGGCTGACTCTTTGTTGCGGCCCATGTTGCTGAGCTTCATCACGATCAGGTGGTTGAGGTGCGAGCGTTCGGCCTGGGTTCCCGCCGCCAAGTAACACGTCAGCGGAAACCGATCAGCCCGGTTGTCCCCGAGGGAGTCCCCGACGATGTCGAAGCTGAGGCACGGTGCCACTGCGACGTTCGAGGGCGAGGAGGAACACCGTTAAGGCTGGCTCACACGCCAGCGACTGCTTACGACAGAGTGCTTGCGGTCCCTTACGACAAGGACGCACCGGCACCCCCGGTCGGGTCGCTGTGGGGCACTTGTCATTTCTGCGTAGCTCCTACTCGCTCAACGTTCTTTATTGGCTCAAAAAACTTTTGACAATGTTAGAGACGAACATCTCTCATAGAAAGTATGTTCGTTTCATCTTGCAAGTACCACAAAACCTTTGCTCTAGTGAAATGCAGTTATCGGGCGACCCCATAGACGGCGCCGGCATGCCCGTGTGTTGTCTCGTTGCAAGAACCCGGTTGCAAGCAAACGCAAGTGTGTGAGCCAGTCTTCGGATATGGCACTCGGTGAACGGTATAGTACACCACGATCACCCGATACCAAACGTTGAGCCGCCGCAATCCCATTCAAATCTAATAGACTATGTGCATATGTGCAAAAAGACGTGTTGTGTAAATTTCGGGGTTCATTAAACAAATGCACAGCTTCACGATTTCACCGTACAAGGCGCTCGTGTTTGGCAATGGGGGCAGGGGCCAGAACTGACATGCCTGGTGACATGGGGAAACATTTCGTATCAAAATAGCCGAGGGAGAGAATTATTTTTAGATATTTGTGCAGATCCGCAAATTTGACAATCCGAATGGAAGAGCGGCATCAGAGGTGCTAAGATTGACGAGGAATGCTCAGAGTAAGTTGATGCGTCAGCTTGAATCATGTTTCCGACATTTCCAAAAGATGGTGCCCCAAATGTGAATGAGGTCTATCCTATACAGTTGTCAAAATTCCAATAGACGTTGCACAACGTAGAGCACCTGAAGCTGTGTCAGGTTGCAGTATGTTAACTCCCAACAATACCCATACTGTTTGTCACCAATTGGTTGAAACGCCACGTCTTTTGTACGCAGCAGCGCACCTCCGCAATAACAGCTCAGAGAGCAGATGCAGCAATCAAAAGGTGGCGTTTCAATGGGCCAGTGACGAACATTGGGGCGGGGTAAGAGGGTTCAGCTTCTGCAAGTAAGCATCTATAAGGGTTTGCCAACCGACGGTGTCCGGCAACCCTAGTGCATGTCTTCTGTACACCAGCTCGTTCTTTAGAGACACGAGGTTTGTGGGCCCTGTGACCCTGCAGCCCTTTTCTGTTTTGAAGAACTGCATATCTGGGCACGCTCAGTATAGGGTGTTTTTACACGACGTCAATTTGCCTTTATTTTTTTTTTTTTAAACAAATTTACTAATTTAAAGGAATACATCGCAACCTGTTGAGGAGATGTTGGTGTGGTAAGATTTATACGCCTCTGTGCTCTATGCATTTGAGGGGTCATGCACATTCTTGGAATGCTCGTCTTCGGTATGTGCCAGACAACTCACAAAAAATGGTGGACAAAATTACGTCAATGAAAACACCCTATGCAAAGAGCAAGTTTGTCTGCTCCTTGCGCAGGAGTTGCGGTGACGTCAGAACAACGCCGAGCTCTGATTGGCTGACTGAAAAATAGTGGGTAGACCTCAAAGCAAGCTGCCTTGAAGTCTACCCACTATCATTCATTCAGAACCAATCAGAGCTCGGCGTTCTGACGTCACCACAGCCCCTGAAAAGGAGCAGACGAACTTGGCATTGGGTGCCGGCACCCATCGACTTGGCGGGATGGCAGAAACATAAGTCGGTACTAAACCATCGTTGAAGAACAGATCACTGCTACATGGGCCATGAGCTCAATAAATGAACTACAAACAAGCTTGCGTAAAAGATATTTCTGCAGTTCAGCGACATCGAAGACGTATGTCGAAGTAGCTCGCGTGCTCTGCGAGTACCACGACCTGAAACATACTAGTACACACCGCAACCAAACGTCCAAAACACCGAAATGTGGGGTCCGTGCCTTATACACGGCCCCGATCGTTTTTGAACAGCTGATCTGTGCGACAAGGTGATAGGATATACCCGTGGTGGCCTGATGGTAGACGACGTAGGCTGACTGGTCACATTCGAGCTCCTCGCCGTCGTTCGTTGTCCCAGGAACGTAGACTCGCCGTTCGACGGCACCTTCTTGGGCGGCCACGCCTTGGCCTTCGGCGTCCGACATAACGTCGTCTTCGCCCTCATTGTCGTCCATGTCTTCGAAGTCCGAGTCCGAACTCGGAGCAGCATCTTCGCCGTCGGCCATTTTTGGATTTCAACCGCAAACGCACATGGCCGCTCAAAGATGGCGGCGCCGTATGATGATGGTGATACCTCCCGCCAATTATTTGTCTTTCGAGCGAAGGAGTGAAGACTGCTCGTTCTGCTTCGCGGTTTGTTCAAAACAGTAGTTTAATTTGATGATTTTACTGAATTTATGGGAGAAGGTATTAATAGCTAGCAATACCTTAGAATTTGTGTTTGCATCTCGAATGTTTCTCTTCTGTCAGAGCGGACGAACGAAATCCACAGTTGGAAACGCTGAGATTTGGCAGCTGATGACTGCTGCGCGATTAGTAAACAAACGATCGTTCGCTTCAAGGCATCTCAATGCCAGATACCCGCAGTGACAGCAGCAGGTAAGGTCTATTCTTGTCTCTGCGCGCCGATCCCACGCGAATCGTTTCCGATTTCCTCAATTCTCTGAGCTTCGGTGGAGCAGGAAATGTCGGTACAGCCTCGCAGACAATGGGCCAGTTTCGCTGCCTGGATCCATGGTCTCGTTTGACTTTCGGATTTCTCTGCCAGCTTTACCTTAGTCTCCTTCCTTTTGTTTCTTTTTTTCCCAGATGAGATATTTGTTGTATTTGGCGCCTGAAACTTCGAGATTGAGAAAACTAAAAACATCTTTCCGTAATTATTTTTTTCTTTTTTTCTCTCCCAGTGCTAAGGAAAGACGTAGTAGATTGTTAAAAATAGCAAAAACGGCAGCTTGTTCCCAGGCGGTCATTGTTCATATGTTTCGTTAAAAGTATTAATTATCGCGATTATTTTGGGCATCACAGGCCTGTGCTATTGAATATTAAGGTTTCTGCCTTCAGCGAGCCACCCGGCAGCTAGCTCATAAACCAGTGTGCAGACGACAAACAGGGCGAGGAAATACACGTCCTTTCGATTTTGCTGTATTCTTAATGTTTCGCTTTCTCAAAATTGAGTTCTAAAAAACATATGCATAAAACTTCTGGCCAAACTACGTTCGCGTGCCCAATTTCAGGTACGGACGTACGTTCGGAATTTTGCAAGGCCTGCCAGTCTGTTGGTCCAGGCACTGGTTGGTCCGATGGGTTTGAGGGTCACAGTGTCAAAGCAGTTTCAAACAAATTCAGAAAAAAAAAAAAAAAAAAAAAAAAAACTGCTTATGTACACATTACTTGCTTACACAGTATTTAATCTTTTTTTTCTTTCTTTCGGGTGTCAAGAGCGGGGGGAAAAAAACACTTCGAAGTTCTTTATTTAAAGATGAAGAGCGAAAAAAGGGAAAAAAAATTTTATATTTTTTTATGGTTTAGCTGCTGGTCATCACCGTATGATAAAGTTCCTTGTTAATATTCAACAGCATAACGTTGGTCATCTGCAGATTTCTGTGTTTACGCATCATACATAACCAGATCACCTGCGGTCAATTAAATCTTGTAATTTTGCAATAATTTCAGAACTTTCACATGTGTTGCGATTGTGGGAGTGATTTTACACCCCTTTCTAACCAGAAGTGAAAACAAAGTCCCGCAATATGCAACAGAAACTTGACGCTACATGGCTCAGAGTTTTAGAAGCTGAAAATCGCACCCGAGCGTGTAGCATAAGTAATGCTGGTTTCCGAAGTACTCCCAAAGACAAATACATGCTTTTGTATTTTTTTTTTTCTTGGCAGATTTTTCAGAAAAGAGTCAAAGTACAGGCTAGCTGGTGGAAGTCAACCATTTCGTCGTTTACCCTGAGACTGGGGGGTTTTTTGAAGAGCAGAAGTAATAGAAAAAACAGACAGGTCTCAAACTCAGCTACACGTTTATTTCAACAACTTCCTCTTATATAGTTTGTTCTCGTCGTCAACAATCAACAAGTCGTATATGATTGGTTGTTGACGACGAGAACGAACTATATAAGAGGAAGTTGTTGAAATAAACGTGTAGCTGAGTTTGAGACCTGTCTACTTTTTCTATTACTTCTGCTCTTCAAAAAACCCCCCAGTCTCAGGGTAAACGACGAAATGGTAGATTTTTCAGGTTGTCATATGTCTAAAGCGCCGTTCACACTCTTGCGACCGAGTAAGACCGAGAGAGACCAGACCGGTTTTTAAGCCTTTGGCGACTTCTTAGGACCGAATGCGCTGCAGCGGAGCTGGTCCTAAGAGATCGCAAGAGGCTTAAAAACCGGTCTGGTCTCTCTCGGTCTTACTCAGTCGCAAGAGTGTGAACGGGCCTTAAGGGGGTGAACTTTCGGTTGTTCCCAGTGCAGTACTGTTTTTTCTTTTTTTTTTCTTGTGTCCAGAAAGGAAAACATTAACACAACATAAAGCGAAAAGATGAAAACGTCTTTGAGATGAACACCCACAAGCAGGTCCAACCATGCGTGCTAGGAAAAACAGAATTCCTTAGGCTTACATTTTTATTTATTTTTTAGCTTACACATGAAATTGGGGTGTGATAAAAAATGCACCATCTCAAGACTCTTTTGCGACTAGCTTCATTGCACTCGGTTCATTTATACTAATTTGTTTTTGTTCGTATAGCGCTCGGTAACACCCTGCGGAAGGAATGCATAGCCTACTCGTCTTGGTGTCTTTTTTGTGCCGTATTATTTGCCTGGCAACGTACACCTACACGCCCATCTACAAACGTAGCTACGTGACTAGCAGTCTGACGTGTCAGTTCAAAGACCTCCTTAGCCCTGCTTGAAGACCCTTCTATAATCAAACAATGGACTGGGCAACAAGACATTGTAGCCATTCTGGCTTATCTGCCTCCCTGATAGGCACCACAGACAGCTGAAAGGAATAGCCAAATACTGGACACTCGGTCTCGTGTATGATAAGACAGGTGGCCGATGTTCTCAGCATTTTTTTACCCCGACTTGGCCATAATAAGCTTCCATCTCATTAAGATAAGATCCATGTCTATCAGTATCTATAAATATGATGTGAAGAGGCAAGCTAAAGCTCTAGAGAAGCGAAATAGAACACCTCAAGTGCACTTTGTTGTTTGGTTGTTTGGGCCTCCCTGAACGTCCCCCGAAAGGTCCTAAGGGCCGCAGACAACCCGAATTGCATGTTTGTTCTATTCTTCCGGATGACTGCAATTGATCCCTTGACATCACCCTCAAAATATGAAGATTAGAAACTGCGTAAATTATATAACGACCAAAAAAAATTATTAAAAAATCTAAAGTTTCTGCACAAGTTGATGGCATAGGTGGCAAACAGGTGCCTCCTTACTATCTCTTGCTGCCCCAAAACCAAAGCGTTGCAATACGATCACGTGCACACTTCTTGTTCCCAGTTTATGTTTTCATTTGCATTTTCGTCAGGAATGACCATTCAGATTTTTATCAAACTTCACCGCGTGGCATCGAACCCATCTTGGCCGAGCACTCGGTAACATCTTCCTCGAAGTGCGAAGGTCACCTGGCGAGGGAAAAGGTCCGATCGACAGAGGCACCGCTGATTTCCTGGTCCCTCGTAGAACTGTTGGTTCAGCCATCGGAGGTTGCAATATTGAGAAGCAAAAGGCACAGAGGGGAGAGTGCTTGCCTCATCCACTTCCGGGCTCCGTTTTTGATTCCTTGACAGAAGCGGTGCAATGCACTCTCAAGTGGTGTAAAAGATGTGTTTTATAAATCTCGGTAAGAAATGTTACGGGGATGTGACTTGCCGAGTTCTCTCATTTTTTTCACCGTATGTGTCACTGCAAAGGCAGAAGAAAGAGTGAGCCCGGCGAAGCGGTATTCACACGGGGGGAAAAAATCTTTGGAGCACGCGTGATGCGATGAAAATGTCACGCTTTTGCGATGCTGCACGGTGACATCTGCCCTCCAGCAAGGGGAGGCTCAAGTGGTACAAACAACTCCTGTGTGGTGGCGGATTAGGCCGCTTTTGGTAATATTTTGTCGTTAAAAGCTTCGGTGCCAGGTGTAGAAGGCGCTAAATTTGTCTGCACTGGTATCGAGAGTAGAAATTGCCAAGTTCCACTGTTAACGCCGATCTCCCTCCATCTCGTCCGTGCGAATGACAAAGCTGACGAAAGGATTGTGCTCGCCGATGAGGTCAAGCACATCCCTCTAGAGATTGCTCCCCCGTGTGAATATTGCTTTAAAGGGGCCATGCAACGATATTCACGTGGAATGTTTTTCACTGTTCACGAGCTTACTCGCACTAGTGAGACCCAAGTGCACTCGCACGCAATGCCACTGACTGAAAAACTTTGTTGTGGTGCAATATCAAGGACAAAAGCGAATGTTTTCTTTCAATCTCTCTTTCGCAAAACTTGATGACCTTGTTGGGGTATTGCAGTATCCCGCAGTAATGATGTTTGAATACGGCTTATAGATTGAACCCGGGCATTGCGTGAGCACTCGATTTGGGCTCGTGATAATCAATAGCTTGACAAGCATTCGGGTAGTGGCCTGTGTCCAAGCCCTGCAAAGACGACAGTAGCTGAACCATACCAATGTCAGGAACTCGGCACGTGTCACGTGCTTTACCAAAGCCAGCTCCTGGCTATGATTAACATTGGCAGCATGTAATCGGCTCCAGGTAACATGGCCGCTTGTTCTGGTTGACGGGGTAAACGCTGCTCGTTTGTCTTTAATTTTTTCTTTGACTTCTATCGCGCGACGAAAAACAGTTGCGTGTTTCATGGGTCATTAACATCCAGGATTCGTTCTAAGTGGTATTTGTGCGAAGTACAAAAATTGTTGCATCGCCCCTTTAAAGGCCCATTGGCACTCTAGAAAAAAATGTTTCATGCCCCGTTGTTTTCGGGTTTGTGTGATGGCTTCTCGAGGGATTTGAGACAATAAAATGAAAAGATTTTCAGGGGCTGCGCGTAGCCCTTGGTGCCAAGTGCGATAACGCGTGGTACGACGCCAATGCGCGAGCAGCATCTCGAGGGCGACCGATGAGGACGCAGACTGGGAGGACCTAGCGGGAGACCACCACCCGGCAGCCATGTTGGACGAGGTGTCCTCCACCGTGAACCAGCTGGTCCAGCAGGCCAGGAGTCATCTGAAGGACACGAAGGTGTACCGGGCCTTCTTCAAGGACAGCCCGATACTGTCCACCAGCCTCGCCATCGGGGTTGGCGTGCTCAGCCTGCCGGCACTGACCTTTGCCAGCTTCATCATTGTCCTCTGCCTCCTCACCTTCCTGGGCTTCCTCTTCGTCGAGGGTAAGCTGCCCAAGGACGCGACTCGGGACCTTGGCACAACTACAGTGCCTGTATGTTCGGCGGCTCATCCCAATTGTGCGTCGAAAGTGGTCCTGTCAGTGGCAACAAACGTTATCTAGGAAACCGAGAGAACACTTTTCAGGACGCAATGAATGAACCTATCGAACACGCATTTTAGGCATCGTGGAGCCCAAAATACTCCAAGGTGGCATGCACAACGAACGCCAAAGAGCCAGCGAGTCTATGACTGATATAATACTAACTTCCGAGAGACTGTACACAAATGATAGACTCATAATTTTTACGGTGTCTTTTCTGCGCTGCATTTTGCAGTATTTTCAGATTGGCTGTAAGAGGGAGTGATTTTTGAAGGGCCCTGTAGACCGAGTTATGGTTCCTGGTTCCGACTGGTGCGCTTATTGTGTCCTCGCATGTGGTCCCTCGATTTCCGCCTGATGCCGTCACACTGGTGTCATGCGATTGCCCACTCCCATGCTAGCAGGGACACGGCAGTGCGGGCGGATGTGGCAGGCCTCACGATTTGTGGAAGCTTGAGCAGCTAGGAGTTAGGATGCCGCGACGACAAAATTTGTTGCTACTTTGGGACCACTTTCAGTTCACGGGCAGTATGGGGTACTAAATGCACCGCACGACTATGCCTTCTAGGCATTCTAGCTGAACTGGGGCATACAAAACTATTTATAATTCTACTTCGAAGGCTGGTTGAGATACATTTGCGTCGGTTGCACCCACTGCAATCAAAGTGACCGCAACAAAAGGCACACCAGAACAAGCGTTACTCGTGATTTCTTAACGAAGTTACTTCTTACATTGCTTGTCACTTTGGGTGTAGCAGTTTTTCCGGGGAGTGTAATTTTAGTCTATTTCTCTCTGGGCCAGGCACGAGATGTATCGCAACAACCGAGAAGATTATAGCTTTGGCAGTTGCTCCTTTTGTGTTAGACTTTGTACAGCTGAGGCGTGCCTTTGGACAAAGAATCTGTGCTCCGGCACACATAAAACGGGAGTACTCGAGGAGCGTCACAAAACCCTAGTTTGTAACGCTCACTTTTTATACACAAAATCAATAACGGTGACACACCTTCACCACAGATGGGGCGGGCCATCTTTTGGCGGCAACACACACTGACAAGTCTGTGAATTCGAGTGTCCTTGAAGGAGCTGTGCAACGATATTCAGTTGGAACGTTTTTCACTATACACGAGCTTACTGGCAGTAGTGGGACTCAAGGTTACTCGCACGCAACACCACTGGCCAAGAAACTCCTTTGTTGCGGTAAAATTTCAATGACAAAAGCAATTATTTTCGTTCAATCTCTCCTTTGCAAAATTTAATGACGTAACGTGGGGATCGCAGAACACCCAAGTGACGATATTTGAACGCGGTTCATAGATTGGACCCGAGCCCTGCGTGGGCACTCGATTTGGGCTCGTGATAATTACTAGCTTGAGAAGCATTCACGTAGTCGCCCGCGTCCAATCGCTGCAACGACGACAACAGCCGAGCCATAACAATGTCTGGAACTCAGTGCGTGTCCTATGCTTTGCCAACCCGAGCGCGTGGCTATGATCAACATTGGCGGCATATAATCGGCTCCAGATCACGTGGCCGCTTGTTCTGGCTGCGAGTTGAGGGGGTGAACGCTGCTCGTTTTTCTTTAATTTTTTTCTGGGACTTCTATTGCGTGAAGTGAAAAACGAACGCGTGTTTCTTAGGTCATTAACGTCAGGGATCTGTTCTAAGCGGTATTTTCGCAAAGTACAAAAATTGTTGCACAGCTCCTTTAACAACAAAATTGTTTCTATTTCCGACGATGAAAAAGCAAAGGTACTCTCGGTGCAATTATGTTGAGCAGACAGGTGCGAGCTTCATGTTTTCAGCAATACTGCGGTCGCATGTACGGTAACATAAAAAATATTGACTATGCTATACTAAGCTTTTTTTTTTTCTTTCTTCTCAAAGGGACGCTAATCACCTTCGGAGTGATCGTCACGGCCGGCATCCTGGTGTTTGTCGGGACGTTTCTGGTGAGCTTAGGTTGCTGCCTCTACGCCACCTTCTACGTCCTCCAAAAGCTCGGGCTGATCCGCGACCCTGAAGCCGAAGCCGATGCGTCCAAGAGACGCGAGTAGAAGCCAAAGCCGATGCTTGGAAGAAACGCGAGTGGCGGTCCCTTTTCTTTTCTCAGAAAGAGCCGACACCTCGCGTTGTCTTCACTGGTGTTGTGAAAGCCACTGTGTTAGTGTGATGGAATTACATTTGGGTTACCTGGGTCCAAGTATAGTAACTAAGTTGGGACAAAACTGCTCGATGGGTAACTATATCACTGTAGAAGGTATTGAAATGCACCTCGGCAATGCAAAGACCCATTTTTGTCTTTTTTTTTTTTTTTTTGTTGCCTTCAGCAAATCTTGCACACAGTATTAAATAAGTGTGGCATCTAAGTGGGATACTGATCATCTGAACCAATCGAGTTTTTCTGGAGATTTCAGCATATGTAATGTTTTTGATGATTTACCCAATTACTTGCCTTTCTGCATTCACCAGTGCTGATTGATATTTCATACCCACTGTCGTAAGCATGCTGTTAGGTAAAGTGCCACGGTTCAATGGCTAGAATGTGTATGTTAAAAAACCGCTGAAAAGAAGAAAAGCATTTTTTTTAATAGTCTGTTTGGGACATGCGTGTCAAAAAATTAATTTTACGCGAAAAAAAAAACAATTTAGAGCAATATTGTTAGTGCGAGACGCGATTTAGTCGGTAGTCACCTCGTTTCCACTTGTTTTCCTTCTCGGCATTTCGGACGCATGGAGGAGAGGTGGATCGGCTTCGTTTTCACGTTGAGGTGGAAAGAGCGGAAGACCGACATGATCATTCCGGAATGACCCGCAGGGGCAGATACAGAACTCCGTTTTGAGGGGGGGGGGGGGGGGGGGGGGGGGCGGGGGCGGGGGCGGGGGCGGGGGCGGGGGCGGGGGCAAAAATTTGTAAGGATACTATTCTCCCATTCTTTCTTGTGCACCGGTGGGTCCACCCATGTCGAATTGCCCTTTGAGAAGGGGGGGAGGGGGGGAGGTCGACTTCGTATGGGGGGGGGGGGGGGGCGGCAGCCCCCGTCGCTCCCCCCCCCCCCCCCTTGGATCCACCCCCGATGATCCGTGATGTCATGGACTTTGCGCACAGAACTTCAAATAAACCTCTCGCTGTCAATATTGCTCTAAAAAAATTTTTTTTTTTGCATATTTATTTATTTTTTGACGTGAGTGTCCCAACCAGACTGTTGAAAAAAAGCATTTTTTTTTCTTTTCAAAAACTCTTTAAGGGAAGCTTTAAAAAAATAAAAGCTTTCATTAACTTTATATAGGCCAATCGCTTGAGACAGTTTAAATGTTTAATCGTAGTGGAAATATTAAGTTGCCACAGTACCTGGCCAAGTTACTTTGCATCCCAAGCAATTACTAGCAACCAATATGCATGTGCTACTTTACAGCTCTGCTCGTAACACTTTTTCTATGTCTGTGTACCCAACTGTAGCGTTTTGTGATGGTCGTTGGTTTGGGCGCAAGGCCCTCGAGCATTCCAACGCGCGGATACGGGCCTCAACGTTACCAAAGGTGAGGGTTACAGGCGGGAGGTCGAAACCTTGGAGTTTCCAAGGCTACGAGTCGCAGCGTCATTTTCTACAGCACAGACGCGAGATAAATCGAAGCCCGTAGTCCACTGAAAACAACAGTGGTGTCTACACCGCTGACCAAAGCCCCTCCATACAGGAAAGTAGCAACAATCCGTCGTTTCCTATGGTCTGTGACAAGTGGCGAATCCGGTAGATGTACGTCGCCTCTAGCATGAGCTTTCTGCGTTTGACAGCTTTTCGTTGCACGTGCAGCCACAACCTGGCAGAAAGCAAAAGTTGGTGGAGCATTCAGTGGGTTTTAACCTGTCGCCGGCTATAAAAGTGTTCTAATGGCACTCGCACTGAAAAAAATAAAGGGTAGATGGTACAAAAAAAAAAAAAGTTTAAACCAAGCTGTTGCTACCCCCTTTCTCTATGGTTCACATTTTTCATTCTTCTTTATTACGCGAAGCGTGCATCAATGAGCCAACGGCGAAATTCAGAGTTGTCGCTACTCTTTCGTTTAGAGGGAGCTTTGCTGCCAGCCTAAGTCACGGCACCGCCCATGTGTCGGTCTGGCATTGTGTCGAGCGGAGCAAAGTGTGATCGGTAGTGTGTCTTCAGAAGTTGTAATAATGGCTTGCAGGTCAAGCTGTGGTCTTTTCTCTTGTTTTACAATATTTGTGCTTTATACAGCATGTTTTCTTTTTCAGTGTTTGACTACGCTGCCTCTGTACTGTTTTACTGGATCACTATAAGTGATCGGCACTTGTACCTGCATTATTTTGTTCTCTGTTTCAAATAAAGAGTACCGAATGGCCTCTCTTAATGACATCTGATGTACTGTTCTTAGGTTGATAGGCCTGCTTTAACTGGTTAACATTTTTTTTCCTTCAATTGCTGCCGATTTTTTTTTTTTTTTTCAGGGTTGCACATAGCCTGCACACTTTTATAATTGCCCTTGTGTGCAGCAGTAATGCAGTGACTCACCTCTGTCAGTTTACTGATTATCTGCCTAGTCATGTTTTGTTTTAAACTTTCCTTATTGCCACAGCCATACTGCATTCGCAGAATTCGAAGTGTGTCATTTGCCTTTCACTACGCCCTAAGACAGGTTTGTGCTGTGTACTGTGTAGGGTACACCTCACATTGGAACTACAATTTCTGTTTTTTTTGTCTTGCTAACCTCCCAAAGAGTGAAAAGTCCTTAACCGTTCCTTACCAATTCTAGTGTTCACTTGAGCCAAGCCATTGAAATGTGCAAACTCTTCTAGACGAGGTATGCACCAGAAAAATGTCTCTAAGTCTCCTTCGAAATGTCACAAGAGCCAGCACCTGTGGGTCGCTCTACTATACTGCTGCCCAATCGGTCCCTGCCTGGTCCGCCCTCCCAAGAAGTCACACGAGCAAGAATGAATTCAAATCACTTTACTGTTTCGGCTGGTCGCTGTGCCTTGCCGTTGCAGTCCTCGTCCGTGTCTTGCCCCAGTGCCTGGCGGAATCTCACGTGCACTCTGTCACGCGCACTGGGCCGCCGGCCACCGCTCCTGCCCCCTCGCGCGCCGTCGTCCTCCTCGGCTTCCCACACTTCCCCCCCCTCAAGGCCCGGTCTTCAGGGGGGCCCCGGGTGCTCACTGGTTTTGGCCGAGGAGTTGTTCTACCTCGGTCATGATGGCGTCGTCGGAAGTCGAGGGGGACGGAGGGGGCTGGTACACGACACTGGCCCGATGACTTGGCCCGCAGGATGTGGTGGCGACCGGTGTTGTGGGGGCCGTCGTGGTGGCGGGTTCGATGGCGGCGGCTGCGGCAGCCGGTGCGGTGGCACGGTTTTCGGGAGGCCGGGCTGGCTGAACGGAGGCCAAGGCAGCGGGAGCCAGGAGGTCCGGGCGGCTTGCCCTCAGGGTCTGGACCGCTGCCGCCACGTGGTCCGGGAGGGGCTGTGCCTCCAGCAGGTCAGCATGGAGTCGAGCTGCTTCGTGGGTTTCCAGATGTATTATGGGGACCCCGCACAGCCAGCAGGTGTCAGGCGCTCCCAAGACCCGTGGCGCCGCCGGCTGCGTGTGGCCACGGAACGGGAGTGGGACTTGGTGGTCGGGCTGGCCAGGCGTTGGTCTGGGTTGATGCTTCCAACGCCGGCGGGAAACGAAGTGGACCGCCCCTCCTTCCTTCCACGCCGTCCACGTGGCCACGGTGTGGCAGGGGGGGCCGACTCCAGGCAGGTCCCCCGGTCGTAGACGGACCCGCTCCGTGGTGCGGGGGCTCCGTCGCGGACGGCCCTGCCTGGTGCCGCGATGTTGCTGCGGACGGCCCCGCCCCGTGCCGCACAGGCCTGCCGGCTGCCGGGCTCGCGGTACCTGCGGAGCCCGGGCGGCGCTGGCCCGCTCCGCCGTTCGGCCATCCCCGGTGTTGACGCCTCCCTGGGCGGCCGCCCCGAGGGTTTGGTCGACCGGACCACTGGGGTCCAGCCGCCCCGGGGCCTGGCCCGTCCGGTGGGCCTCCTGGGTATGGCCCCCTGGGGCGGTTTCTCCAAGGAGGCATCCTGTGTAGAAAGAACACTGTCAGACACCGGAAAATCATCACTTTCTGTGGCCGAATGGGGCGGCGGCGGTAGTTTTCATTCACTATCTTCCCCATCGCGACAACGGTAGTATCCTTTCAAGTCAGCGATGTGAACTGGACCCGACTCCTCATTTGTATCCCACCGAGTGAGTTTATAAGTAAGCCGTGACATTCGCGTCTTTACCTCATAGGGCCCTTCCCATCTGTGAGCAAGCGATGCGGCGAAACCGCTAGCTGCGTTACTCAGAGGGTGGGTTCTTCTCAGGACCAAGTCACCAACCTTGAATTCCAAGTGCCTATGGCTCCTGTCATACTGCGCCGCTTGCTCGATCCTTGCGGCATCAAGATTCTCTCTAGCATCGTGCAGCGCCCCAGACAAGCGGTTCGTTAGCTGTTCCGCATACCTAGAGAGCGGGCGTCCTGGTGTTCCTTGGTTGCTCCGTAACTCGTTCTCCAGCGGAGACGGGATCTCTTTACCCAGGTTCAGAAACGCTGGCGTGAAACCAGTCGATCTGTTCACAGTATTCCGGATGGCAAAACCCATCTCAGCGATGTGCTCATCCCAGTCTCGGTGTCTCTCCGTTAGCGCGATCAGCATGCTTTTGATATTCCGATTCACACGCTCAGTGATATTGGCTTGGGGATGGTACGGTGTTGTCCTCTTGTGCTTTATGTTCAGCGCCAAGCAGGAGTCCACGAACACTTTACTAGTAAAATAACTAGCGTTATCACTAATGAGACACCTGGGTGTGCCGAAGCGTAGGAAAGTATCCAGTAACTTTTCCCAGATCCGCTCTGAAACCAGCTTCCTCAGTGGGTACAGCTCTGCCCACTTTGAGAAATGATCGGTAATAACCAAGAGGTACTGGTTTCCCCGCGGACTTCTCGGCAGTGGGCCGATGATGTCGCAAGCGACGATCTCCCACGGGTAGTGACTCTCCACCGACTGCATCAAGCCCGGAGGCTTGCCCCCTCTGGGCTTCGCTTTCTGGCAGGCTGGACAGCTGCGGGCGTATCGGAGTGCGTCTTGCCTCATCCCCGGCCAGGTCGCGGCGCGGCATAACTTATGAAAAGTCTTGCTGCCACTGCCATGACCTGCCAGAGCCGAGTCGTGGAAGTACCCGATAAACCTCTTCCGTAGCTTCCTGGGAATCACCACCCTGAAGGGAGACTCATTACTCTCCCCTTCATCGATCGTTGGGATGTAGCGAAGCAATAAGCCGTCTTCGCCCAGCAGATATGAATCAAACTGATCATTCTTTCTCCAGATTCCAGCCTCGCTCAGCTCGCAATGTCTCGTGCCAGCTCGTGTCTTCTCCGCCGGCCGCCTGTCACGTGCCCTCTGCCTCGTCTTTCACCCCCGGCTCCCACACACCTTACTGACAAATGTTGATTGGCAGCCCTTTACAATGTAGCATTCCAAAGTATGTTTTTGGTTTCACACTGTTCCAGCGTACCAGTTTCCCCCTTCTACTGGTTACACCGCTACATACTTTGAGTTTAGAGTGCAAATGCAACTTAGACATACACTATCTCAAGGAGACCTGCATGCAACATTCGGTTTATTGAGCGTTGAAGATCATTTCATGCATGATAGGGTGAATAGTATGTACAATGTCAACCGGGTGCGACCAAATTCTTCAAATCTTTGAAACTCGCCTAAAATGCTGCCAACTTCAGCACGTCGGAGAATGAGTGTAATGTGAAAGCAAGCGCAAAATATGAGACGTCAGTACCATCTTGGCAAGCCTTGCGCTCTACAAATGCATCCTATTCATCGAGCAAGCCCAGTCTATAAACATGCCCTTTGTTTTACAGCACCCCCACATCTCGCGAGTCTTCAAAGTGGGCAACTGTTCCACCCTTCTAAATACATTTTATAGTTGGACTATGGTCATTGAGCACTGCACATTCTGCCCCTGTGATTGGCGGCGAGTATCGGCAAGCAAGTATACCCGGCATAGGCCGGATTATGTAATGTAACAGAAGAGATGATTAAACAGTAAGAAAGTAGTGCCCTAAATATGCGAGCCATGTTGTAGGCTCGCAACAATCGTCAATAAGGAAAAGTATGTGATGTCCCCAGCAAGGATGTTCCTATGTCGGTGGGTCCCCGCCGGGTTCTATCTCAGGGCCTTCGTTTGCTTGGTAGTGACTGCAGAGAGGTCTCCATCACTAGAAGAAATAAAAGAGTGGAACCTGCAAAAGTTGCATGTCTGCAACACCGAGACATTGCATGCTGGAGAGAGTGAATAGAAGCTACAAGATTGTTGCCACTAACCAGTTTGCCTGCCTCTTTGTTGCTAAGGTTTTGCACCATACTAGAGCTGCATCACTTATATGGCACAAAGCCTTAGCAGCACAGAGTGAAAGAACCTCTCCCTTCCAGCGTTCGCCCTGCTAAAGTGGTAAGAGGTGGGAGGAGCTTTCACTTTACTTTTAACCTGCCACTGACCATAGTATAAAATGTGCGTTGGAAAGTGAATATGCTGCATTAGCTATCGCATGTTCGAGGATGCACGGTGATCCCTGGTACTTACGAGCCCGTGGCCTTTGAGCTTGTGCCCCTGAAGGCGCAAAAAAAGTGTATAAATTGTGTCAACGTTAACCTTGCTACACCGATCGAGAATGCGACTTTACTGCCAACATTCACTGTGCCCTTTCCGCCTTTCTTTTAACGAAGGAGCTCGAATCAGCAAAAGAGCAGGCGTCGGTGGCTTTCTGATGGGAAAATCCTGATTGGTCGATAGGGTCATGACGTCACAGCCACATGACCTCGCATGGGAATTGCAAACAACGCTCGCATAAAACATGACGTCACGCGTGGAATGAAAGTGATTAAAACATGACATATAATGCAAAGTAAAGGGCGGCAGTTTATATAATAAATAAGTAAATGTTTATTTCTCCATCACATCCATGATGGAGGAGACCGAGGACAAAAGCTGCATAAATGCAGCTTGACGAGTCCTCGGCCCCCTCCCTACAATCAGCAGCAGTGGCAGCTCACAAAGAACACAAAGTAAAAAGAAAAAAAAAAATACAAGCTCAGTTAACAAAAATAGCGAAATGTATCAATGGCATGCAGAATATAGCACATTCAACTCTAATGATGTTTAGCCATCACGTTCCACTCTTAAAGGTAAGCGTCCTCCAGTATATCACTTTTTCCTCTCCACGCATCCCTCCGTTCCTTTTCCTCTTACACGAGTTTTAATAATAAGATTTATTTTCCCTTAAATGCGTGACAGCTTAAGGAGAGATGGAGAGAGAGAGAAAAAAAAAAACTTGCCCTTTTTATTGCACGGTGCGCACACGGAACCAAGTCCTTTTGCTCTCATTCTCCACCCTCGCAGTGTGGGGGAGGAGAAATCTACACTAGGTTCCCGTTCCCATCAAAGCCTATCGCCTGCTAAACCAATCGCGAGCAGAAAAAGAAAAAGTGCAGGATGACGCCGCATTTACTGTGCGCGATAGGTTTGCCCGTTGAGAGCAGGTGCACAAAAGGGAGTTTTAGGGAATCGTTTTTGCACATCCGATACGTCACCATGGGCCCTCCGGTACGAACTGCGCATGCGCTAGAATAGAAGACTCGCGTGTGCAAAAACTGTTCCCGAAAACTCCCTAATGGAGAGTTTTCGTAGATGGTTTCCGCTGTCTCGCCACGCTCTCCGCAACCCGCTACGATACCCGGAAACCTAAAGTCAAGGCCATGGGCGCGCAGACGCACTAGCGGCTTCTTCGTTGCGGAGGGCTTAGCGGAGGGAGAAACGCGGTCCACAAAAACTCCCTAATAGGGAGTTTTCGTAGATGGTTTCCGCTGTCTCGCAACGTTCTCCGCAACCCGCTGCGAGATCCGGGAGTCTTCGTAGGCCGTTTTCCCAGCTCTCCAGAACGAAGACAACATTACTGCGCGTGCGCGGCGCTATAGCCTTGCTCGCAGAGTCCCGAATCTTGTAGCGGGTCGCGGAGAAGGTGGCGAGACTGCGGAAACCATCTACGAACGCTCCCCAATGCGAATAGCAGCTTGCGCGCCTCGTGCGTTTGTTGTTGCCACCAAATGCGCTCGCGTGATTTGTTTCCCACCGACTTCAACCAATGCCGGTCCGCGCTTAGCTACCTCGCCATCGTGTGTTCTTTGTGTTTCCCGTTGATTGGCATACCCCTTGTTGGGTTCCGATGAGCCAAAAAAAGCCGCCTTTCCGAACACCTAGAGTACGGGAGCCCGAGTTGCGCGTTTGTTGTTTATGTGCCGCCGCGTCGCTGCTCGCCGAAATCGATCACGAGGAGTAAAGAATCCTGCGCCGCGCAGAAAAGTCGCTTCGCCGACGTTGCACGCGCCCCGGTTCACGTTCCCCTACTTTTGCCTCCTCCTCCTTTTCTGTATTCCATGCGCGGCGCGGCGCCGCTATTCGCCGAATTCAGTCACGTGACTGGCCGCAATCGACGGAGCACGGCTCACACGAGCGAGGAGTAGCCCGCATAACTTAAGATTTCAAGATGGCTGAACGCGCAACTCCGGCTCGAACACCCAACACACAGTATATGGCTCTGCCAACGCGTGGAGTAACTCCCAGAGCCGTATGTTGGCAAAGTCTGGCCGGTGCTATGTGGCGACGAAGACGAAGGCGGTGGAGACGAGAAAAGTGAAGGAAACGGAGGAGAGGGCGCTGTGGGAGCCAGGGAGGAAGGAGGGTGCAAAGAGAAAACGTCCGCCATTTTGACGCAACACGCTGTCGGCGCAGAGCACTGTTGAAACTATCGTCTACTAAGGGCTGACCTCTTTTTTTTTTTTTTCTCGACCGAATAAAAGTCTGCGTTCAAACGTCGAGAAAACTATTCGCTAGCCTTTCAACCCACCGACGAATAACACTTTATAATTCTCCTGCCAGAGCGGGCGAAATGAAATGAAAGAACCGAAATTCGGGTGTCGATCCCAGGCATTGCACCGTGCGAATGAATGAGACTGGGAGCCGTCCCCGCTCAGCTGCATGGGAGCCGCCGGGAGTCTACGCACATGCGCTCACGGCCCTCACTCTGGGCCTCGGGCTGATTGGCTCACTCGGGAGAGGGAGGGGGGGGGGGGGGGGGGGGGGGGGGGCGTTACGGCAGCAGGATCAACAGACACCATGGAAAAAGTGTCCCCTGACGCCATGCAACTGCAATGGCGCTGCTGCCGGCACTGCTCATCCGCAGATGCTTCATTTCGCGAATCCTGTCTGTGCGCACGCGCTGTGCCCACCTGGCAAACGCGGTCGTCTGTAAGCATGCAGTCTAGTCTGCATACTGTGGAGGTAATCCCACAGGGTTACCGCATTAAACATATTCACACACGTGTTTGAGTTTGTAAACGTATTGATATTCTAGCTAACACCGTGTGTCAAAAAAGAAAACAAACGCGAGCATGCGAATGAAACACGAACCACAAAAAATCTACGACGAAGAAATTCGTTACTTTGAGGTCGGCTCGCCAACTGAAGTCTGTTTGAGCGGCACTGGCTGCGTTGCTTTCGAAGCCGAGGGCGGACTCTCTTCGCTGCTGCAAAAATCGAAGCGCCTGTATGAGTTCCACAATATGACTGCGTTCGAGTAAAATGTACAGCTCGTTCGAAGCTAAGGTGTGATCTAATACGCGGGCACATGTTTCGTGTTCCTATTCAACACTCCGTATGTTTGTGACGCCACCATGCGGAGATTCTCCAGTCTTTGAACAAACAAACAAATGGATAAGTTTTTTTTTTCTTTGCAAAGCAAGTTATTACATTATTGGGATATCAGATATGTATGTAACAACAATAAAAGTGTGCACACTAAACGTTATAACACCCATAATCGTGATAAAAGGATGTTTTTCCAAACTGACACCCTCCCTACATTTTTTTTACGCGATTCTGACTATTGATGGGTAAACAGGGGTGTACAAGAAGGCATACACCCTGCATACACATTTCCTACACACCCCTAGGTACATATGGGTTCTTAAAATCGTATTAGAAGGGTGTACGTGCTTTTCGGTACACCCGTTGTTTATATTTTGTAACAAGGATGTAATAATAAAATTTCGTAAAAACACCCTTTTAACACGATTCATATGAACCCATAGTTTACGATTTTGAGGCGTCAGGGTTAGTCATGTCCAAGAAACCCATGTCTAATGAGTTGCAACGGGGAGAACGACGTGACATTGATTGATTGTCACCGCGTAAGGGTCCCAAATAGAGGGGAGGCTGTAAGATCAGTCTAATAAATTGGTGCCTGCATGCAGCGAGCTCAAATTTTTATCAAATATGTATTTTAGCGGTGGATTTTATACCTTGTAAAATTTTGAATCGTATGGTCCTGATCCTGCAAAAGGCTAGGCCCTTCATTTGTGGCACCCTATTTGTGGAGTATTGGCGCTTGATTCAAGATGCACCGCCTCCGGTGGCTCCGAGCCAAAGCCCTGGCTGTCGGTTTCGAATCCCGGCCGAGCTATACCGCACGGGGGCTTGAGCACCCGCTGACATTTTCTAGGGGGTGCTGGGTAATATATGCTGAGCCCCCGTGTGTTTGGGTCAAGGCCTACTGAAAAATGCCTCCACCGTTCGTTTTCCCGTTGTTGCTCAGCTCCGCCAAGCCGCGGACTTGGCTAAGGGCAAGGACCTGGCTCTCTTTTTGTTACGGGTGGTTACCCACCAAATCAAGGCACAACCTTCGCCCATGAAATTCCACAAAAAAAAAATTGTCGTAAACAACGCGGCAACACAAAAAAAAAAAAAAAAATGTGAAAAGAAAAAAAAAAAAAAAAACGCCCGCCGGTTTGCATACTACAGTACCAGGGAGAACTCCTCTCTTCCCCTGCTTGGTCATTTTCCTGGGGCCCTCCCATACTGTACTCGCGGGTTGGCTATGCGGGGGAACGCGCAGCACACTGTTGTTTTACACCCAGCCAGCCGGCTTCTTCGTTTTGCTTCTTTTTTGAGCACTTACGTTTTCCAAAACACACAAAAATTTCTTCTAGTCTTTTTTTTTTTTTTGGCGGTCTAAGCAAACACGAGGGTCGGGTAACTCTTCCGCGGGGAGAGCCGGAGCGCGAAGCGGGGAGGTGGTCCACCGTCCACACAAGAAGAAATCCCTTCTTGAGCATGCCTACAGATGTAGCAAGTTGAGGGAATGAAGCATCCCAACTCTCAAGGCAAGAGGAGGCCTTATCAGACGACACAGGTTGTCAAGGGAGAGATCGGACTGCAGTCTGTATGGAAGAACTCTATCATGGTGGTCGTCGGAGACGTAAAAAAATCGCGGCATTCTCGCCTCTATTTCTTGTCTGGTTTTCAAAATACCATTTGGTTCTTGGCGAGCCAGCCTGCTATGTTCAGGCGGGCACCCTATTATACACCCAGGCGGTTTTACCTTCTTTTCTAAGACGACCATAATAGCAGGTAACATGCTGAAATAAAAAAGGACATTGCAACTGAATGTTTACCACCGAAGGACGACCGCGTGGTAAACTTTTTTGAAATTTTCAAGAATGCATTCTTATAACTTTTCACAGGAACGGGGCTGCGCCTAGAAATTTCGCAGGATTGCGCTCACGATTAAAATACACATTCGTTGAAAATGTGAGCTTTCTAGGTGCAGGCGTCCGATTTTTCAGTGCATTTTACATATACACCGTATAGCTAGCTATACACCCTATAGCAGGAATTATGGATGAATGAATGACGGTATAGGTAGTGCCAATAAATCTTCTATGAAAAGAAAAATCGTGGTAATGGCTGTTTTTTCCATTTTAATTTTTTTTTTCACTACCCCCCTCCCCCTCCCTCCCTGCCTCTCCCCCCCCCCCCCCCCCCCCCCGCTTTACTTCGACCGCTAACCCTCCCATGTAAAACACACTTCCGGAGTCGCTGCAAGGGGGATGCATGAAACATTATGCAATAACAATACATATTCACACGATAGATAACCGGAAACAATAAAACAAACATTTTTAAATGCGAATACAGATTTTCAGCTTACAATAAAAGAGATCATTATCAGTAAAGATACAATTTCTTCCCTGGGTGAATTCCACTCTCTAATGGTTTGAACAAAAAATGAAAATGAAAAACATTCAGTATTGTAACGAAATTCCTCGGTTTTTTTTAGAAAGACTCCATCTTGCAGATGCATATAGTGTGGTTCAAAAATGTAAAGACTTCTTTCACTACCAGTCCGTCTGTAATTTTTATACTGTGAAAAAATTTTAATCTCAAGCACTTTCTTCGCTCTTTGAGTGAATCCCAACCTAATCTGTTTTTCATTTTTGTACAACTTGTATCGTTGCTGTCGTCGCCTGTAACGAACCGAAACGCCTGGTTTTGAACCCGTTCCAACTTTTGTTTAAGGTAACTCTATGGCGGGTCCCTCCTTGCTTTTCATTGTCTAAAACGGTGAGCATAACGCAGGCAATGAACAAACGAAACAGCGCTATCGTACAACAGTATTGTCAACTCTTCCAGTGGAATATTGCATACTAGCAAACAGCTGATAAACAGAAAGAAGAGACATAAAGGCCTCTTTACTTGCAAACATGACCCCAACACATCTAGAAACATCAACTATGCAGTTTTCTTTCAGCTGCGCGATTGCTCTGGCTTGGATAATATATCTGGTTAACTGACGGCAGCTTCTATTCAAGAGAACATATTTCTTCAATTTGGCCGCACAGCCACAATCACGACGGTGCTTGCCATGATGTAACCTGCAGTTTGTGAATGTTATTGTCCTGTTCTCATAGCACAACATTAATACATCGGCCTGTTTGGTCTATCTCTGAACCGTTTAATTCCTGCTCCTCGCCTTCGCTCCGAGGTAACGTATGAGAAAGAAAGAAAAAATCAATGTATGAAAGTGAAACATAAGCGCGACAAAAGATAACAGCGAAGTATATTTACTTGGAAGCGAAGTCGCCAATCGAAGTATGTTTCGGCGGCGTCTGCGTTGCTTTCGAAACCCGTGGCACAGCCTCTTCGCTCTCGCTGTGACACGAAAATTGAAGTTAGGTTTAATCTTGCGATTCAGAAGTAAATGAAAAGTGATTTCCCAAGGTAGCACGCAACCGAACGTTCACGACTCATACATGTCAGCTGTTTGTGACGTTAACTTTAGTACAGAGAAGGTAGCGTCTGATACGTGCGGAGCGGATAACGGTGACAGCGCTCGTGCTAACGGTGACAGCGCTCGTGCACGGGGTGGCGAAGTTCACAACTACTATGATACGCTTTTTTTTAGCACTTTGCAAAGGAGGGGAGGACTGCCATGCGGACATGTGCGGTTCACCCAATAAGCGGAGAGTGCGATAGGGGATACCTGCTCCTTCGACCAGTCATACGCCTATCTTTGACCACGGGATCACGACACCGCGCCTACCCACGCGCAGAGAGCGAGGTCAGGTGATCAAATAGAGGTGGTTGATTGGACCGCCAAGCGCGTAGCCCCCACTGCACTGTCAGGTGGACGGAGGTAGGAGACGCTAGAGGTTCAAGTGCCGCGAAGCAGACAGCAACCAGTCGAAAAGTGACTTCCGGTAATGCATTTCTATGGGAAAAAGTGAGTGCATTTTCTCCCTGCGCTCGATCACAAAAGCAAATATCCGGAATAATTCGTACGTACTAGGTAGCTCGGAACATTTCTCAGTTAGGCCGACGAAACAATTGGTCAGTTACGGCGTTTTTCTTTCAAATTCGTTGCGTTAAAAACGGTGCTAAAACGACTGCGTACGTGTATTTATGTGCATTGTCGGACACTGTTAGCGCGAACACGATGTCGGCGCGTTTCAGCATGACGGATATACGTGCCAAACGAACGAAGGACATCTGGAAAGCCAAGAGAGACGGCAAGAACTACGCAGTAACACTGGATCAGTAACTACCGGTGCATGTACGATCAAAATAAATTGAAGGTCACGTAATATATTCCGATATTAAATAAGTAAGTACCGCTTCATTCTTCCTGCTCTGCGCGAAGATGCTTGTTCTCTACGTTCAAAATATCATCCGCATGCACGCTTGAAATATTTGAGAACAAGTGTCCGCATGCATGCTTAAAACAATACGAAGAGACACCTTTCACAGCCCACGTACTTTATTGTTTACGTTTTGAATGTCTTCATCTGCTCATGCACGACGGGGTCATTTTCGTGTAGTGACAGGACTGGCATATTTGCAACATATAAGCGTCACCGGAATTCTGGCGAACCTTGAACACACTCTATATTCCTTTCGATTGTAATGTTTCTTTGAATCGTCGCTTGTTTTTTACACACCTGCCTGCGGAACGCACGTTTGGGACTGATATGTAGCGAAGTTAAACATCGTCCAATGATGAAGAAATGTACGCTGACTAAAGCAATTACACTTTTACAGCGTTAATCAAGGTACATACTATTCGGTACGACCCAAATAACCAAAGTGTTCCGTGTTATTTTCCGGCAAAGAGACAAAATGCACTCGCGTTTTCCCATAGGAATGCACAGGGGCACCGCAAAAGTAGACTGGTTGCTGTCTGCTTCAATTTGCGTCACGGAAGTCGCATCGACACTAGCGCCAGTTGCACCTCTAGCGTACATTATAATAACTTTATGGTAGGAGACAAATATCTTTTCCGCGTTTCTCTTTGCGAGGGAGAAAAATGGTTCAGAACACGCCCTGTTGATATACTTGTGACCCATTTGGATTTCATACATATGGAAGATTTGATTTTTCTGGCTTCTGGCGTAAAGGCAAGAGCAGCGATTTGCCAAACTTGGTACGGTATGGCGCATCCTGTAGTCGGTCGTAAAACTATTTTTATTTTCATTGTTTTTATATTTTTTTGAATCACAGTATTGGTACCTGAAATGGCTGTACTAATATTACATGTGTACTTCACTTCATAATAGCCATATATACGCTATATACCAATATAATATACTACATCTTTTCTTCGCTATACCTGTCTGCTATAAGGATGTTCTACTGTATGCTAGTCGGTTTTGAACAGTGACTACTGCGACCCTAAGAGTTCAATGTGCGACCCTGTTAATGCAAACAAGCAATCGGAATTTTTTTTCTTTTTTTTTGAAGGTTGTCGTTTAAATTGTTCGTTGGGACACTAGTAATTTCCCAAATCGATTAGATGGGACACTAAATCAAGTAACAAAAGTTAATGTCCGCTAATACGCTTTTATAAAGTAAAAAAAAAAATGTCCATGTCGTGTTGTCACTAACAGTGCAAAGTATACTGTTGATAAATTATGCAAGTTATAGAGATGATTCGAGGAGCTTTTCATGAATTTAAACTCGTTATTTCACTTAAATTTAAGGATGCGTATATAACCATGCTACTTACGCGGCCTTGAGAGTTGGGCTTGCGGCTCTAAGAGAGCGATAAAGTACGAGTTTATTCGGCTAGTTTTGCTCATGCGACACAAAACTCGATTTCCCCCTGTTCGATTGACCTCTTTCTGGGATGACCATATTCCTCAAGGTTGAAAACGAGACATCCCAGCCCGGGGGCTACTAAAGATTGAGATTGGGAGACAGTTTTAATGAAATAACTGCTCCTATTTCAAAACGTCCCAATATTGCACTATGCCCTAGGGCCAAGGAAACAGTCACACTCACAGTTCAGTTGCATGCGTCCATTTGAACGGTGTTCGTGGGGATCGAACAGTTCTAAATTTTATTCACTGTGTGTTGTGTTGTCCTTCGTCTTTTTCCCAGTCTCGGGGATTTGTCTTAAATTATTCAAGTAACTTCGTTTACATTAAATACATAATAGCCAAACTCCCCATGCAACGGTGGTCATACGTTACAAGGAATTTTCCTTGAGATGTCATGAAATGTTTTAATTGCAGAAGATTTCTCGTACGACTAGATTTGAGTGTGTGGAATACGTTGGGTTTATAGAGACAGTCATTATAAGCTCGGTTTCGTGTAGGACTATAGTGTTTTTTCATAAAAAGTTACATTCTTGGTTTATCGAATAATAATACTTTCTTTTTTTATTTTATCACTTTCTTATTTTATCACGCACACATTTTCTATATTGTCTCGGCACTGGAGGTATGCCCATGTTATTCCACGAGGCAGTATAACAAGCCTATCCGCAGGCCTTGTTCAAAGCGCTCACTCCAGTACCGAGCTCGCCGGCTTAAAATTACACTTTGACCAGAGACGCAGTACCGTAGAGCGCTTACTATATGTACACTTAAACCCTGTTACAATGAGCCTGAAACTAACGAAGTTTGCGATGAAATAAACCCTCCGAGGCTCCGACCCTACTGCACGACTTCGTTATATCGAGGTTTAACTGGATATAACGAACTCCATCTACAACGAAGGTAGTCGCATAACGAATGTAGATTTCACACGAATGAATAAGAATGTATACATACGGAGAAGTATCGCTCCGGAATTGCCGTAGCTGGCTGAAAACAAGGCACATTGCATATTTTGCAAACGCATGCAGAAGTGGAGGGGTGCCGATATGCTAGAACGATACATTCCCGATTTCCGTCATATAACTTCTGATTCTTAGGTTTCAAAATGCCTAAAATATATTGGTAGGGATGGCGAGGGCTAAGATAGCTACGGAAATACTTTTTTTTAGCAACTAAATGTACCAAAAATATTTTTAGCTCCCTGTTTTGCAAACATTATTTCATGATGGTTTGCAAGGTAGGATCACCATAATCACATAGACAATGTTGCTTTAAAAAAAATATTGATTCTTAAGTGAGTTATAGCGGCGGTGTGGGCTGGTCAGAGTTACAGAGAAACAACCGAACTTTCAACTATAGATAAAAAATGCCCTTGCTTCTCTTGCGCATAATTCATGAAAAAAAAAAAATGAAGTCAAGGCTATACTCTAAATAAAACGCTCCTGGGTATTGTAGCCAATGATTGCTCAAAATAATATTAGAACAAATAGCTTCGTGTTGCATTTGCTCCTAGTACTCATGAAAATCAAATGGAACGAAATAAAAAGAAAATGCATTACTTGGAAGCAGAGTCACCAAGCGCAGTCTGTTTTGGCAGCGTCTGCGTTGCTTTCGTAATGAAGGGCGGAGTCTCTTCCATCTCGCTACAGAACGAAAAATGAAAAGCATGTTTTAGTTTCATGACAACTGCGCCATCTGGGGGGGGGGGGGGGGGGGGGGGGCATATTCGAGGCTCGTAACCACACTGGTGTGACGTCACGAATTCGTGGTCGTGACGTCATGCAGGGGAGTCGGTGCTGGCCGTTCAACTGGAGAATGCGTACATCCTTTGCTCTTAGAACGAAAAAAAAAAAAAGGTTGCTACACATATGCGCTTGTCAAAGAGCACTTGTGGTCGAAATCATCTGTTCGACAAACAACTCTCATCCAACACGCTGTAGGGTAAGTTGGGGTAAAATGAGACGCGGGGCAAACTGTGACAGTTTGTATTTAGCGCCATCTATCTCCTAGACAAGCAATCGGAGTATGTTCAAACGTCACCGAGAGGTGCCGTGACCTGTACACTTTGCGTATGTAAAAAAATGAGAGCTGTCGGCAAGAGTGTTTCGGAGAAAATAAATACGGAGTTGAGGTTCACTTGTTTACCCCCCACCAAAAAGGCGCAAAATTCAGCGCGAAGTTTCGCTTTGAAACGTGCACCCCGGTTGGTACCCACTATTCTGCCAATGTAAGCTTTCATTTAATTGGTACGCTTTAGTAGCTCCACGCAAACAAAATTAGAGCGATATGTGGTTGCTTTTTTGAACGAAATAATTATTTACGTAGCGGGATACGCGCGGGGCCAAACGCGACACTCTGACATTCTATGACGCCCATGTCAATAATGGACGAGTCTCCTGGTTGGTCCTGAGCCGTATTCTTTTTTAATGCTATCCCATTAACTATTCCATGGAGCGGAGCCAATAACGCCCGTAACTGAAAAAAAAAAATTAAAAAGAACGCGAAAGAGATGCCCATTCTCCCATTGGCTGAGCAAAATGGCTCCTAGATAGCCATTGGCGGCCGCTTCACGAGAGAGAGCGCTCTGCCGCCGCTCTCGTATCAGGCGTTGCCGGAGAAAAAGGGGGGGGGGGGGGGGGGGGGGCTGCGGCCGCTTCGCAAGAGCGCGAGCTCGGCCGCCGCTCTCGTAACAGGCCTTGCCGGAAGGGGCAAGGGGGGGGGGGGGGGCTGCGGGCGCTTCACGGGAGCGCGTGCTCGGCAACCTCGGCAGTAGCGAAACGGGGCCAGACGAACTAAGGGAGCGGAAAACGACCATTCATGTTTTCGTATTCACAACTCATATAAGAAGTGCTTAGGTGTCCTCGGAATTTTTTCTTCCGGTGTCTAAGATGGTACGAACGTATAAAAAAAAAACAATTAAACAAGGGATTCATAGAGCGAAAGGGACATGGAAGAAAGCTCTTGGAAAGTGTCAAGGAACAGCGTCACTCCATTCACACCGCTACCACACTTTTTGGCGTACCAAAGGATGCGCTTCAAAGGCAAGCCAAACGACTGAAGGATGTAAACAACAACAACGCTACAAAAAAATGGTTGGTTTACAGAGGGCACTTTTGTTTTCGATGTTTCATCTTTCAATAACATTTCTTTCTGTACCTAACGTAGGATAGAAAAAGAGAACATGCAGGTCGGAGAGCAGCACTTTTCTAACGTCATCTCCCCCCAAGGCAAAACTCGTGTTGGCGAAAGAACCGGCGTTCCACTCCCAAAAAAAAAAAGGGAGAAAGAAAACGTGAAACCAAAGAGAAAAGTTATCAGTGATCCCCCGAACAAGCGCGCAGTGTTCGAGCGTTCTGCAGACCATGCGACACACATCAGAAGTGACTACCAGTGCCTGCCTACGCAAAGAACTTTTAAGCCAAGCAGCCCCGCATTCAGTATGGTTCGAGTGCATGGAATGCAATGCCCATGAAGAGTGCGTTGGAGCTCACACAGTGCGTTTCGAGTGTTTTTATCGTAAAAACTGAACGCATATCGTGTTTTTTTTAAGTGCGCTTCATTATACCCCACTACATTATCTAATTTCGCCCTACAGGGCGAAGCAAAAGGAGATTTTTTGTGACTTTCAAATAGTGTAGTTTTGTTTAATGTTTCCCTCACTCCAGTTACCGAGCATAGAGCGAAGACATCGAAGGATATCCCCATGCTGTGTTTTTTAACTATCGAAGTCAAAATAAGAATTACCATTGAAATGAAAAGCTTTAATCTCATTTTGCCTGACCTTACCTTACTTTGCTAATAAACGACCCGTTCGTAAATAATTGGTTCGTGCGATACAAAAGAGGAAGAGGTGCCATACGAAGCATAAGGCTGCGAGTTCTGCTAAAGAACTGTCCCGATCGGACCTTGTGGTGGGCTTACCGACTATGTTCTCTGGCCGTAGACCACCTGAAAATCGACAAAGATTGCATTCGCATAGTATGCAGCTGACTTCGGAAGGTGCCTAATGGTAGAATTAAACGCGCGCTTCGCGTCCAGTTTCTCCCGAGGATTCTATTATCGCTCCTCGGCAAACGAGGTTGCGACATTATAAGCGCCCGCCAAGGGACGAATCGGAAAGCAAGAAGGGAGAACATTATAAAGCACGCTTTGCGTTTTTAGAGCGCAGCTCTTAGGCGCCCGTTTCTGGCTTGAGCGGCGTCGCCGTCGCCGTCGGCGTAACCCGCGTAACCCTCGTAACCCTCGTGAAAGTTACGAGGGTTACCCTCACGAGGGTCATAAGGGTTATTCCCTAAAGTCACGTGACCCCCCTCAGGTCACGTGACCCCCCCCCCCGAGGTCACGTGACCCCTGATGTCACGTGACCTCAGAGAGTCACCTATCCCTCAGTACCCTTCCATCCTCCTCCTCAAGAGCTGCGCTCTAATCCGGCGTTACAGGGAGTTGTAAACGGCTTTCATTTTTTAAGCTATCCTTGAGTAGAAAGTTCGACGAAATGCAGCATTCTAAAATTATGCGCGCAGTGCAAAACCAGACCTGGGAGAAACAAAACCAAAAAAAAAAAACACGAAAATACTTACTTGAAACTTTGCTCCCTGAAGTTTGCACTAAAAACAAAAACAAAAAACACCAAATTTGCAGCATTATAATGACTGACAACTTCAGAAACGCAGGGAGTGGCTTATTATGTTAGTTAACGCTTCTTGCGGGGGGCGGGAGGGGGTATCGCGCCACCCCCCCCCCCTTCCCCCGCTGTTCGACGTCGGGAGCAGAGCCGGATGGTGTAGCCGACTATGCGAAAGCAAGCAGACGACAGGCAGGCGAAATCCGTCGGCAGCAAGAGCACCGTCATTATGCAATCACATTTTACTTTTTATTTTTTTACTCCAAGTTTCGCCCTTATTGTCCGCATTTATTTTCAAACCAAAGGTACATTACAAAACATAGTATGCTCATTTTAATAGACCACGGTCGGCGCGAGCAGTCTCGATAAGGAGGTAGCGCCATCTATCAGCACGTGCGCCAAACGCGTCCCGCCACTTGACTCGAACGTCTGCGTCACCGTCTGCTTTTGGCCCTGGCAGGTTTTTTGGCCTCATTCTTTACAGAAAGGGAGCTACGCTTTGTAATTTTACAAGATAAAACCGACGTGTGAAATACACCTTTGACGAAAAGTCTAGATTGCTGCATGCAGGAGCCTATTTCTACCGCCCATTTTAGGTCGAGCTTGGTTATTTCGGCCACCCTATATACTATATATGGTGTCACAAGCCTTCCTATGTAAAACAAATCGGAAAAATCGAAACACACAGAAAGCTCAAGCATTCACGGAATGTGAGACTCGAGCATGTCAATTTTACCGTGTAAAAGTAAAAAAAACAAACAAAAAAAAAAAAAAAACAATTATTGTACGGTAAAAAAAAATGAGAGCAACAAACTTTGCCGAAGTCAACGTTGGGCGCGGTCGCAGACGACCGATTTAGCGAAGCAATTTACTTGTGGCGCCATCTCCCGATAGGCGCAATGAGCAGACGACGCACTCCGTTGTCTGCTTACTGCGCCTATCGAGAGATGGCGCCAAAAGTAAACAGCGTCGCTAACTTGGTCGTCAGCGAACGCGCCTACTCTGACCACCCGTCCGGCGACTCGCGGAACAGTCCCGCACCCCACAAGAGATAGTAAAATCTTCAAAATGTCCCGCCTTTCACACTATAGTAAAATTCAATATGCAACTCATGGCCCTGCAGATCAACGGGCACGGGGAAGTGCGAAAGTCGCTGGTAATCGTGGAAATCGCGAAGTACGCCATTTTTCTATCCAAGCATTGCGAGATTCGACTGTCGTTATTGCAGGAGACCCGACGCGCATCCACCGTTGTGCTTCTCCCCTTGGTGGTAAAATATTCCGAGGTAAAATTGCTTGCCAAAAGTTGAAAAATAAATTATCGTCAGTCATTATTTTCAAATCATTCTGTGACAATGCGAAAGGGTGGCTGTGAAATTTTTATTTTTGGTGAAGAAGGCCAGGTAGAGGAAAAAACCTGCAACTCACACCTGTCGAAAAAACAATAAGGTTTTAAATTTGTGAAGGAACATGTAAGTAAACGTATAAGCATCGACAGGAAACAATAAACTGCAAAAGATTTACTGTTTCTTCTTTCCTTTTTATGCATTGAGAGAAGTTTTTGTATCATGTATGACGAAATTAGGGACTCTTTATAACATATTTGGCGTTAAAATTAACAAAATATATCACTGGGAATGAAAATTTTTGTTAGGCTAATTGCCGTAACACAATTAGCAGGTGTATAATATGCATTCGAGTAGCACAGGGTAATATATATGTTAGTATAGCCACATTTTGTGGTGTGTACGTCCTAATATATTTCCCCTAATCTCTTTTTTTTTCTTTTTTTTTTTTTTGCGGTTGCAGAAGTGATAATGTTGTCCTTTTCAAGCAATCAAAGGCGCGTGTAGCGTTTTTGATTGCTCGGGTAAGGCATGCGAAAGGTGCGGAGATGTTGAGATGTCGGTATAATACGTCACAAGCCTCATCCCACTGAACTGCCGGAAATCAGAAGGCATCAGCGCTATTTTGAAAGTGCTGTAGCGGCTACTTGGCCCATCAATCCTAAATATAATTTCGGCATTCGTGATCCTGGAGGCCAAATGAAGACGAGAGCGGATGCGAAAATGGCGTGAACACATCCTTTTGGAATCGTGCTCGAGGATGACTTGCCCAAACGACGACGACTCCACGATGTTAGCAAATTATACGGGAGCGCCGAGCCGCTGTCGCTGTAACACCAGTTACGCGGTAGCGTATAAATTCAGTCGGATTTTTGTCTATAACCAAAAACAGAAAAAAAAGTCGAATATTGGAAAAAAAGAAGTAGACATTGATAAAACACCCCCAACCCGAAACAATTAAACCCCTAAAATACGAAATCCTAGGTACACACCCTTTCCAAAATTGTGGAAAGATGCGTAGAATATCCGCAGGCGTCATTAGTTGGTGTCATCGCTTTTGGCGTGAAGCCCTTTGACTGTTTCCGAGTTCACGCCGAGCACCGACGCAGCACTCGTGTGAACGCGTTTCGATCCGAGTACACTCCGATTGCTGACGATGCGATCGTGTCCAATGCGTGCTCACAGTGTATGACCAACTAATGGCGACTGCCCATGATCTACGCATCAGTTCGAAATTTCGAAAAGAGTCTACGAGTGAAGAGATCGCGATACCTTTCTTCCTTTGGCAGCGGCTCCTCGACATCCGGTGGCGACGAGGGAGCTACGATCGTGCCCAGCTCAGCGGGCCAGGCTTCAACGGTATTCACCCTGAAAGATGGCGGACTGTTCCGTTGTCCCGCGTGATTTGGATCTAAACACATTCCCCGAGCGCATCTCGACTAGGGCGCCAGAAACAGCTCTCCAACCGGTGTGATTACCGCGTTCAAAAAAGTGGTCCCTCGATAAATCGTCATATTAAGAGCGTCATGCTCTCGCCCGTCGCCAGGGGTCGGAACCCTGTGCCAACAGCCAGAGCCGTATATTAGGAGAGTTTGGCCAATGGGCGGAGCAAAGGCCGTTACCAGCGCCGAATACTCCACCCGCGGTTAGAGCGTACTGAAGGTGCGACACAGTGTCGACCAATCAGCAGGCCGCGACGTCGCATTATTGGAAACAACATTTAAAGCGTGAAATAGAAGCATTCAATCTCAGTCTCTCTATTACTCGCATCTCACAAATGTCTGCAGTAAAAACAAAGGCACAGGCGCGTGAGCCTGGCTCAGCGAAATGCTTTTGTTTGCTCAAGAACTCGTGCATAGAAGGCGCTTTCCAAAGCCACGCACGCGCTCTTAGCCATGCCTTTGTCTGCACTGCAAATGTTTCTGAGAGGGAGTATCGGTGACAGTTTGCTCTGGGCCAGCTTGCTGGAACAGCGTCTCAGCTGAGCCTGGCTGAAAGAAAACAGTGCAAAGGCTGGGGCGCGCGAGCGTCTTGAAACGCGGAGTCCCGCTCAGCTCTTGCGCTAGCTTTGGCAGTGCTTTGTTTCCCCGTCTCAGCTGAGACGCTGTTTCTAGCAAGTCGGCCCTGCTACTCTCTAGTTCACTGTAGCCCTGGTTTAGAGCGTGCGTTCGTTTATTCTACCCTTGAATATGGGAGTGACGAAAACTTCCCATGCGCCAAGTTTTCAGTCACGAAGAGTTATTCCTTTTTACTCGACTGACGCTAAAACGACTTAAATTAATCGAGTCGCGTTTTTTTTTTTAATTTAAGCCGTTTTAGCGTCAGTCCCTAGCGGTGATCATGCAGCCCCTAGCGGTGATCATGATCACCGCTAGGGGCTGCTTCGCGGCCTGTGGTTGGCCCCGAGATGCTCGCCTATTCAAACCAATGTATGGCAAAACTCTCCCAATACACGGCTCAGGCCACAGCGACACTAGCCTTCGCTCGCACTTTTTGCCGCGACTTCTAGTACCGACCGGCATTCGCGACATTCGACAGCAGGACATTCCGGCTCCTGTCATGTCATTTGTTGCCACTTCCGATACCGGTCAGGTATGCGTTTCAGCCACCGTAACCAAAATACTATATAGGGTCTACTAAGAGTTGCACCCTAGCATAACTGAAAACAGATAAAATGAATCCTAATCGATGTTTAAATTACTTTATTCCTAGGGGTGTGCGAATAATCAAAATTTTGAATACGAATCGAATAGTTTCCTTATTCGAAGCATATTCGATTCGAACATTGCATATTCGAAAGTTCTTGAATATTCGGCCACGGCCGAATATTCGGGAAAAACGGCGAATATTCGCACAAACTGCGAATATTCGAGCAAGTAACGAATAATCTGCCTGCCACGCATTCCCCTATGAATGTCTATTCACTGAGAAATCCGCATGATGTGTGCGTTATCGGTGTGTTCCCTTTCTATTTGTCCGATTTTTGCAAGACAGGATCAGTTTTGGTTTCTTTTTCACCAAGTCCTTTACTGTATGAAACTTTTATAGCAATATGTCGTGCCCTTAGCGAAAACTAAGACGTTTGAAATATACCACATTCTAATTTGTGTGTATTTCAAGTACAGTTGATAATTGTAAGTACAAAAAAGTATACCGAAAATATTCACTTCTTTTTTTTACTTGGTACTAAAATATATTTCTGAAAATCTTTTTAAAATACCTTTATTTAAACTACATATGAAGTACTCTTCATGCGTTCTGAATTATGTAAATACTAAATTAATAGGCACAAAATACCTTTCACATAGATTTCTTACAATATTAACTTGTTTCATACAAAACATACTCCAACCCTAATAAAAAATGCAGCGATCAAAAATATTTGCAGAATACTCTTAAAATACCTGGACATCGTAAATACTGTTGTGTTATATTCCAAGTACCTTCTGACTGCAATACTTTGGTAGTTCGCCTATCAGAAGTTCACTTCAAGCAGATATGGAGTACACTCAAGTGCCTAAATACAACATTTGATTAGTTTGCCATTTGAGTTGTGCAGCATCGCACTGATAAATATGCCCAGTTTATGTTATTGTTTTCTTTTTTTCTATCAAGAACCCACCTGATGAGTTTCTTGCACACCAATCACAAACGGGGTTCGGGAACTAAAACCACAAAACTTGCTGATGTTGCAAAGCTTCAGCAAGTGCTGTGAGCAGATATATGTTTGGCGTTGTTGTGTTAGCATAGTGTTAGTTCACTGAATGTGCATACTCACGATTGTACGTGATGTGAGTAGTGATTTTAATGTAGTGACGCTAATGACCATATTAAATAGCCAACTAGTAAAGAAAAGCAAAATAACTATTTTAAAGTGAAGAAACTGCCTCGACTCGCTTCGTCCTGAGTGGTGCTATGCAGAGAAGCAATAACATTTCTTTTATGAGCCGTTTTTGTGGATACGGTTTTAGCGACCGCGCCGAATTATTATTAGTTGTACCAATGTTTTTTAGTAAGAGATAGTGTTCACGAACTTCAGAACACTGTTTTCCCTTTGACAGACTCCCGAGGAGAAGATCGAATACTTGGAGACTTAATACGTGCAGAGGTGGTCACCGGCCAAAGGATTACCTCCAATATGTAGGCTATATAAAGGGCCGCCCAGACTAGCGAGAAAACGCGCGTGGCACGCCGATCGCGGCAAGTAACAAAATGTCGCCGAAGCACAGTCAGCGCCACGAGCACGTGCAGAGACACGCCCTTTATCTTCCCGCTTAACCGATTTATCGGCGCGCCGGGCGCGTTTTCTCGCTAGTGTGGGCGGCCCTTAACGCTCTGGAGCACTCAACGGGACTATGATTAAGGTGTTCGGTGGGTCATGGTGTTTGTGTTCGCGTTCGTTTGTAATGTTTAGTTGTAGGACGTATGTAGTAGCACCTTCAAATACCAGAGGAACACCATTTACTAACAAAATAAGAAAAAACGTGTAGCCAGTTTTTAATACTCAAATGGCATCTTGAGGGGCAGGAAATACGTTTGGATATACCTAAAATCTTTTCTGATTAATATTTATGATATATTTTGGATACCTTACGCGCGTATTTCGAACGTGGACAATATAATACAAAATTAATTCAAAATTAATGTGCATATTCAATATATTAAAACTATGTTCCAAGTACAGCCTCTTGTTGCTAAGGGATTGGACGTTCTTTAAATTGTTACAATAAAATAAACCTATATCAAGAGTGTTATCTAATATGAATGCTTGAAAGTTAAAAACAGAAAAAGCTAGGTGCAAGCAAAACATTTCATCGCCATCCATGCGCAACAACTCCCGCCACTCCCGCGCTGCAAAAACGTAAACCAAGAAAGCTGCGCTGTTACGTAACCAGCGTAACTCTCTCGGTGCTCGAAGTGGCTGATACTGTCCTCGCTGGAGCGTGTTCTCCGAGAATGGCATCAACGGCGGATGTTGAGCCACGGAGGGACCAGAAAAAGAAAGCAGGAAAAGATCTAATTTGGCGGTACTACACTCTCGTCGTCGACAGCTCAGTGCAAGTCGTGCGAACGTTTTCTTCAAACGCCGACGGGAACAACCACAACTCTTCAAAATCACATGAAACAGCACCCTTTGTTGATGGAAGAGTACAAAAAAGATGCCGCGAACACGCCAACGAAGAGTGAACCGACACTGAATGATATACTTCAACAGAGAAAGCAGTCCTTGTCACAGAAGAAAGAAAACGCACTTCATCAGAAAGTGGCAGAGATGGTCGCCTTAGATCTCGAACCTTGCAGCTTTGTTGAAGACCGGGGGTTCAAGGCACTCATGAAAGAAGCCGCACCACGGGTATACAGTCTGCCGTCTCGAACGAAATTGTCGCGCGCGCCCGATCCCGCGCCTGTATATATCGACGACACAAGAGCAAAGGTTTCGAGCTGCGAAAGGCACTATAGATGATGGAACAAGCACTCTCTTTTTTACAAGCGATATCTGGACCTCGTGTGCACACGGGAGCTTTCTAGGCCTTACGTGTCGTTTTCTCACCGTGAAATTTGAGATGAAAAGGTTCACTTTTCATCTGACGGCAGTGAACATTGCTGCTTCACTGGAGCAACTGTGCGCCATCTGGGAGATACCGACCACTGCTTGAGGTACGTCGTGACGGACAACGGCCGCAATATCCGTGCGGCTGCCAGAAGGCTGCCATGGTTCGAGAGAGCCTGTTTTACGCACACAGTACAGTTGGCGATCAGCGATGAGAGGACATGTACCCCACAACACACTGTGCAAGAAGGCGAGATCGATTGTGGGACGTTACAAACACGCCCTGCTGCGCAAAAACGACTAGACGATCAGCAGACGCAGCTGAACAAAAACATGCTCCATGTTGTGCAGGATGTTGACACAAAATGTAATAGTCAGTACCTCGTGCTCTCAAGGCTCCTCCAACTAAAAAAAGCCATCACTTTTCAGCTTGCCACATCGGACATGCATTACCATAGATGGCTTTAACTGTGCCGAGTACAAAGATTCAGTGGAGTTTGTGGAGGTATTGAAGCCCTTGTCTGGTGCAACTGTGATTGCAAGTGCTGAAAAGTACACCTCATTGTGCTGAAAAGTACACCTCATTGTCATTCCCAATTTCAATGATTTTTGGAATGCTGCATTGTCTTGAAGGTTGCAAAGGTAACTCGGGGTTTGATACCAACCTCAAAAAAATTCATCGAAACTCGTTTTGCGGAGTGACTTTGATGAAGTGGCCAGCCTGGCCATGTTTCTTGACCCTCGTTTTAAAGCCACATTTCATAGGCGTCTGGCCATATAGTCTAGTTGAAAGACCTTGTGACAAGGAGGCTCCAGACAACTGACATGGAATCAAGTGGGGACACTGCCATGCCAGCGTTGTCTTCTTGTCCACTGGTGGCATCCAGTGATGAACAAGGAAAAGACTCAGTTGGCATCTTCCCCATGAGAGGGAGTCACAGAATACGCCGAAAAGCCTCTTCTGGACATGGGCCAGGATCCTTGCAGTGCATTGGCTGCTTCAAGTACCCGTATTTAAGCAAACTTGCCCAGAAGTACTTAGCCATCCCCGGTACATCAATCCCTAGTGAAAGGGTATTTTCTAATGGCGGAAGTGTTGTCACGGCGGATGGGGAGCGCTTACTCTCTAAACACGTCAATCAGTAAATTTTCCAGCATGATAATTTGTAATGAGAGCATCACTAAAAGTATATTTAGCCTGCTGCAGCCCAGTAAAATGCAGTTCCATTTATTTATTTTAAAAGCGTAATAAAACCTGCTGTTACCTCTTGTTTTAAATTTTTTTTATTACTAGACACATATTCAATATTCGATTCTATATACGAAGTGTGTTTTTTTTTTTGCCTTATTCGTGTTCGATTCGTGTGCGAAAATTTCAATATTCGCACACGCCTACTTATTATCTTATCCATGTTTAAATTACCTTATTACCTAATCGATCGCTAAATTACCTTATTACCTAATCAATGCTTAAATTACCAGGAATGTCGCGAATAGCTTTGAGACAGAAATGTCTAAAACGACCCGCACTGACGAGGATGGCGTGCTCCTGCAAAACATTGTGACCGTCATCTCTTCTCTAATGAGCGGGATGCTAATCCGTCGCGGTCAAAAATCCGCTCTTACTGGAGAAATTAGAAGGTATGTTAACGCGGTCAGTATACTATAAGAATACACAATACTCCGCTCATTTGCATCCGACAACGCGCCTACGGCGCCAAATCTTCCCCTAGCGGGGATGAGAGTCAGTTTCCGAGAGAATGCACGCGCATCGCGCTGCACCGAGAGAGAGAGAGAGAGAGAGAGGGCTGCCAACGCCGCACCGAGATACCGGAATCGCCGAGACGGCAGAGACGGCCGTTTCCGCAGCCTCAAAGGCCATCCACGGGAATGGACGGCGGCAGCCTCCCCTCTCGAGTCAAAGAAAAAAAAAAAAGGACTGCTCACGTCCAGCCGTTCCTACTACGCAAAAGCTGTCGGCGCTAAAGGCATGGCATTTTCACAGAGTGAGTCACATTCCCTAGTTAAGTATTTGGTTAAAGTATCACCCCTATAGAATGACATGCGCATGACGTCGTGGCGGTGATTGACTTACGAAACTTCCTCGACTCCCGTCGCCGAATACAACGACGACAGGCACAGAGCTGTGACCATTGCGAAGATTCCGACCAAGAGGAAGGTCACGACGCTCAACCAGAAGCCGTTCTGTCGACGAAAAGGAAGGTCCATGAGGCTATACCTTCCTATTTAACTATCATTAAACTATTTCAAACAATATATGACTAAAGTCGCTGACAGGAATGAGCACGCGTCAAGGACCCAAGCTCGTGGCCTTCCGGCGTGTTTTGACTCCGCGTGCACGCCCCGCGCTCACGAGACTCAGACATGTCATCAAAGATCTCCCCGCGGTGCCTGCCCTGTCGGCGAATGTAATGCTTTTTGTCCAGTCGCCACGTTTTAGCCGTATATAGTTGCCATGCTGTAAGCTGAACGCAAGTTCTCCCACACACCCCGGTGTCTGCCGAACAATCGTCCCCATTCACGGAAAGGAACCGGGGATGTGTCATCACATGCGATGTAACGGCTGGAAACTGCAAGGATGACCTACGCTGGGACGCTGGCCTGAGCTGGAAAGCTGATCTTCGCTAAGACACTGAGCTGAACTGAGACGCTTTAAATAGCACGAATTCGGATGCATGTCCCGAGCTCGAATAGCGGCCAGCGCTGGGACGTATATTGACTCGGACTCTGGGCTCCGCCGCCAATGTGAACTGGGGCAGTGACCTGCACTGGAGAACCGGCCTGCACTGGGACACCGGTTTACTTTCGGACACTGATCTAAGCGGAGTCAAGTTTTATCGTCAACTTCCCCCCCCCCCCCCCCCCCCCCGTAAAAGATGGCACCATGACAGAACAGCACACGACAAAACAGCACGCGACAAAACAGCACGGTCAAAACAGCACGCGTCAAAACAGCACAGCGTCAAAACAGCACGACGACAAAACAGCACGCGTCAAAATAGCATGCGACAAAACAGCACAGCGTCAAAACGGCACAGCGACAGTAGACTACGTGCCAAAACAGCGCGGCGTCAAAACAGCACAGCGTCAGAACAGCACAGCGTCAAAATAAGACATTGACAATACAGCTAGGGTTTGGCGTATTCGGTTTTTATTATTTTGAAACTGTGCGTACATTTTTCGGTTTTTATTACAAGCAGAAGTTTTCGGTTGATTGCTGAGAATATTTGTAAACGCATAAACTTTTCAGTTCTTTTCGGTTTATTGACGAAAACCAGTATACTGACGAAAATGCAATATTTAAAGGCGTTTGTTTAAAATGAATAGTAAGTGAACCAGGTACTGGATTTCTTATTTGTTGATGTCTGTGGCAGCCGACGCGACCTGTTCTGCAAGACGCTATGGGGCTCTATCGTGATCTGACATCATCGTCATGGGCTCGTATTTGTACGCAGGACGAACACGAGCTTTATTAACTCTTCGGTCGGAGAGGCAAATATCAAAATCCAAAAATTTCCAAGCATTGTACTCAGTGCGTTGTTCCCCCATTTTCACGACTGCGAGAGGTGGTTAATTCGCGCAGACCAAGAAACGACAGAAGCGTATTTATGCCCTCCTCTAGTAAACGGAAGCTAGAGGTCTTAAAAAATGTGCGGCATTTACGGATGCCCTTTAATTTCATTGTACAGTCCACGATTAAACTCTCTTCTTTGAAGAAAGAATTCGGCACACAAATCCCTATCAGGTGAAAAACCCAGATTTCGTCCTGAAGACCATTGCGTCGGTTCAATTTTTGTTGAAAGTTGAACCGATCTTGGACACAAGCTGAAAACTGCGAAAGGACCCAGGCAGCACACAGCATTGGGCCAACATTGGTTTTGAGGTGTCAAAGAATGGCCCAACAATGGCCCAACTGAGCCATATGTTTCCCAATATTGGAAACACATTGGATAATAATGGACTATCAAAACCAATGGTTTTCCAATATTGGTGATACGTTGGCATAGGCTGGTCAACATTGGACTGTCAAAGCCAATAGCTTTCCAATATTGGATATATGCCGGCATAAGTTGTCCAATATTGGACTGCCGGAGCCAATAGCTTTCTGATATTGGCTATACGCCGGCATAAGCTGTCCAATATTGGACTGTCTAAGCCAATAGCTTTCCTATATTGGATATACGCCGGCATAACCTGTACAATATTGGACTGTAAGATCCAATGGTTTTCCGATATTGAATATACGCTGGCTTAAGCTGGGTAATATTAATCTGTCAAAGCCAAGAGTTTTCCAATATTGGTGATGTCCTGGTATAGGCTGGTCAATATTGTACTGCCATAGCCAATGGCTTATCGATATTTGTGTCGCCTAGGCTGTAGACCCGCGACCCTCTTTTTTGCATTGCAGAGGTAGGAAATTGGAAAAGAGTCATTCATGAGCTCGCTCGGGCGAGAATTTTATTTAGCCAACTTCATGGGGCGTGCGTCGCCGGGGCTTTACAACCGCTATCACAAATACGTCCTTAGCTGCCAATAGGACTATTGCAGTTTTTTGCCGGCTGCTCTCCCTTCGCATTGCCTTACCTCGGCGGTGACAACTTAATTCCGTTTTTTAGATTTAAGTTTTTTTGTCTTTTCTCATGTATTTTGTATGTATACGTAGCGTTAACGTCTTCTCTTTGTCCGTGCCCCTGCCATGTTTGTATTTCTTTGTGCGTGCTCCCTTTTTATATTTAATGTTTCTGTGCATATTTATAGTCATGGTCGACGCAGGTGTCAACAAACATAAAGCCACCGCTTAAGTCGCAACCGAAGTGACTTCTACTTTTAGTTTTACGAGAGTCTATCGCGCTATAAAGTCATATATTAAACTCGAGTGAAGTCTCAAGAGGGTTGCTTCGACTGCCAGTGCACATGTCATCAGTGTAGGCAGAGCAACGACGTAGCATTCGCGACGCGAGAGCACACTGCGCCTCGATCTGGCCGGCCGCGCTCGCTCTGCGGAAATGTGAGCGTGGGACTCTCAAGCCCCGTCAGCTTAATGATGCTGCAAGACGCTACTTTGTTGTCGCGAATCATTTGCCCTTCGAACGGTCGCGAAGCCGTTGCGCCCGGCGTACCCTACGCAGCATATTTCAGAAACCGTTCGCGCAGCATCGGAACCTTCTTACTGCGAGCGTCGGTGATTCATCGTGTGTTTAAAGTCGGACGATGTGCTGTTCGAGGTGTCTTTTACGTGCAACTCTTTCGTAAAAAAATTTGAAGTTTAAAAACGCGAACCTAACAGTGTACAAACGGTTTTAAATTTATTGATAAAAAATATATTTATATATTTATAGATATATTTGTGTACATCGTGCGCAAAAAATAGTCGCGCTTAGTATGTTATACGACGCAAAACATACTGTCGTCACACTTGCCCCGTTTAGAACCACTTTTGGACTGGACAGTTTCTTTAGAAGTTCGAAAGCTGACCTTCGAAGAGCTGTCCTGTTAAATCGGTAATGACAGCAAGGTAGACGCTATGCGTGTTTAAGGCCAATCCTGTCTCCGGTTAGGGTCACGTGACTACTGTCTCAAAGCTGACGATAAGGCAGCCTGCCTAAAGCACAAGATCACGCATAACTTCTACTGCACTATCAACCTTGGGTAGAAGTGACAAATTCTCTCGCTCCGTTCATTGTTGAGATGCCCCTGAAGATAAGCGTTTGTAAGCGCACCCCACCCCCGTTCCCGTTCTGGCCTGCTTGCTTTGTACTCCTTCTCTCTTTTTTCTCTCTCTCCCTAAGCTGAAGGCGCGGTTGCTGTGCGTACTCGCCGGACTTGAATCCGCTCTCTGTGCGCGGGTAACGGCAGAAGTGTGATCATGTGGTTTGACGGATGACACATTACCCGTTGACAAACTCGGAATGCCTGCGTCGCAAGGACCGGGCCTAGTTTCGCGCGTGATGCGGCCTGCGGGGTGCAGGCCCGCTGTGGATTTCGCTTCTGTGGTAAATGGTATCTCGTTCGAAAAGTCCTACCCGTGTCGATTTCTTCAAAGAGGCCCAAGACATTCTTGTGACAGTTTAGTGTCCGGTTCGGCAAATGGCAGCGTGTGCTACATTGTGTTGAATCTTCACGGATCACTTCCTTGTAGTTTTTGTGTTTGAGTGGTTGTTCTGCAGTGCCCGTGTTGACATATAAGTCGGATTACATCTTTCAAGTCCAGTATTTTCAACGTAAGTGTGCTGCAACCTACTTGATGATCATTGTCCGTTCTTGTATGGGCAATCTTCCGGATAACCTCTAGAATTGGGCATTGCCTATCTCCTGGCAGCTGGGAGAATAATTTTGCCGCAATCTTACCGACAGTCGCCTGCCATTATCTGTCTGAAATAATGTCACAACCGCAGGTAGAATACTGACTTTTTTATTCTACGTGCGTTTCGCAAAAACACGTTCCGTTGCCACCTTTCTGGTCGACATTTACGTTTCATCGACATTCGTTACGCGAATTGTGCGCTGTAGCGGCATTTCGTCGCGCGTGTATTCCTGAGGCGCGTGCTCACCAAACCAGCCCACCCTTTCACGCCGCTTCATGCTAATCTGAAGCGGTTCATTGCGACAAAAAAAGAAGAAAAGAAAACATATTTTGAGTTTTTTTATGAAACATCGCGTGTTGATGAAACGATCTGTCTATGAAATGTAGTTCGATGAACTGATTGCACCGCCAATGAGGGGCGACTAGTGGTAGAATTTTGGCGAAACAATTCTGTCAGCTGCCGGGAGACTGGACACTACCCAAGAATTACCCCGGTTGTTGCTTGCTTTGCAGTCTTTTTAGTTGTATCACAGCTGAGTAGTACCTCTTCACATATTACGAATAGCTGAGATTGTGCTTGTCTACAGAATAAGCTGTGTGTAATAAACTGTTAGGAGATTTCAAAACAATCCCTTGTGTCTCTTTACCTTCCTTTTTGCAAACAACTTGGCGAGGGCACTTGCAAAGAGCTGGGCGAGTGCAAAGATGGCCAAAAATCAGCACGACGGCCAACATTGGATCGGGTCGCGCTTCCAGTGTTGTCCAACATTACTCCGGTCTTCGCCAATGTGGAAGCACCTTGGCTGGAACCATGGTTTAGCGACGGCCTAACATTGGCACCAATGATGGGGCCGACACCGGCTGGAACGATGGCTGAACATTGGCCCAACATTGGCACCGATCACTGGGCCAACATTGGAAAGGGTAGCACCTCCAATATTGTCCAGTATTGAGGCCGGCCTTTGCCAATGTTAGGCCAATGTCGGACCGACATTGGTGTGCTGCCTGGGGAAGTGGTCATACGTTCAGTAATGAGGCACATTTCTTCACCCACCCATCCAAACGCCCTCGAAAATACTGACCTTTTTCAGTTAAAACCGAATTTGTAAAAAAATATTTCGTCGTACTTTTACCGGTTTTATCAGTTTAAGCCGAAAACGCTGAACCCTAAATAGAGCGTATGGAGTTAAAAAAAATTCACGTCTCAAAGTAGGCACTGTAAAGGAGTGGAGGGTCTAGGCCAATTCCTGCAAGGTCACCTCGTCGACGGCCAATATGTAGAATCCGTTCTCATGGGAGCAAGTTGGGAGTGGGGAGTATACTCGATGCGGACATGAAGGCTCCGTGGGCAGTACCGAAGCCCCCGCTGGTGCGTATTATGGCTATTTTTCGAGCAGTTCTGCTAACGTTGACCCGCAAGTTTGCTGGTGATGTCGTCTACAGTAAATGAATCAATCGCACGGCAACATGTTGTTGTTAGTTGTTAAAAGAAAAAAAAAAGTGTGTGCGGCAACGGTGTGCTTAGCGTTAGCCCATGCTGTGCGGCAACAGCATTAAGGCTATGACATGTTTCTGCTTCTCCGGTTTCCACTCGATCGAGGCCTTCGTCGGCAATAATCTGTGAATTTAACTCAAAACAACTTCCCGCCTGCAGGCTGCAGCTGCGTGTTTCCGGAAATTTTGTTCACGACGAATGAACCCCACAGAATCCGTGCTCATGGTGGTACATCATGAATTCGCTCGACATTAAGTTGCCTTATCTTCCCGGTTCTATCAATGCATCTGTAATCAACGCATCTCCCGCTTTTTTTGGGGGGACGTTTTACACTTAGGTGGTAATTACGCCACGACGAGTACCCTTACCGGACCGCCGAAAACCAGACGGTTCATAACTTGAACTTATGGATTTCTTTTTCCCAATAACTTTCTCTATTTCGCTGGATCTAACAAAAAAAAAAAAAAAAAAGATCTCAGAACGCGGCCGACATCGAGGCGAAGATATCACCTCTAACTACCCAATGTCTTCAAAGATCAGCCCAGTTAAATAGTAGTAACTACTGCTAACTTCGTTTGTTTTTAGCAATCACATAGCAGCACCAGTCGGGACACTGACTTAGCAATGAAATAGGCAATAAATTCCTTTATAACCTCAATAAACGAAAGGGTTAAGGAGGTTCGAAAATATTCGCGCAGAGGGAGGTGAAGAATGCGCTCGAAGTTGCTACATACGTGCTGTTTTGTCGCTGTGCCGTCTTGACGCCGTGCTGTTTTGGCATGTGCTCTTCTGTCACTTTGCCATTTTGACGCTGTGCTGTTTTGTAGCGTGCTATTTCGACGCCTGCTGTTTTGTCGCCGTGCTGTTTTGACGCTGTGCTGTTTTGACGCTGTGCTGTTTTGACGCGTGCTGTTTTGACCGTGCTGTTTTGTCGCGTGCTGTTTTGTCGTGTGCTGTTCTTTCGCGTTCCCGTAAAAGATATGCTTTGCTATATTCGCCGATTTCCTGACGTCGCTCGCTACGTGCCGACACCACGTGACACCGTGACATCACGATACATCGGCAAGTCACGTGACGGTGTGAAGTCATGGTGTCGTGACTTTACACACGAAACACACACGGGGACGCCTCGCCAATGACTGACATCGTAAACGAAAAAATCGACAAAAACAAGGACGCGGTGCATCATATTGTACCGTAATGTCGCCACAAGACTCACAAAGGGCAGCACGAGATCGGTGCAGACGGAATTCACGATGCCCTTGTACATTCCGTACGCCGGCCTGCAGTCCCCGATGTTCTCCCTGACCTTTGACGCCGAAGAGAAGAAAACCATGGGTATAGTTTAGTGGAGCCTTCCCGACCAATCCGGTGCTGTGAGACTATCACCTGACTACGCCCGAAGGTCGATCCCGTGACACTCGCACGTCATTGGGATGGCTCGTAAGGCTAAACGGAGTATTGGGGAGGAGATCTAACCGTAGCGCCCCTAGCGGCCAAGCCGATAACTCAACTTATGGGGACAACATAGTTGATTTATTTGTTCGCGTTTCTGACGCCTGCGTTCGGCTCACGTAGCCGAACGTGGCGTCAGGGTTCGGCTGGGGCTCGTAGAATTCGATCGGTGAAGCATCGTTTGAACACGTGACCAAACGCTAAAACACGGCACCCGTATATGCAATCTCTGCCGGATCGAGAAAGACGACATAAAATGTACGCGTTCCAGGCACCATATACAAAGGCCTGCTTTGGACCAATAGTCTCTGTGCAAAACAAGCGGGACGAAGCGCCCCCTATAGCTCCCTCTCCTCGCCAATAGAGGTGAGGCGCCGCGGTCGTATGGACGTACCTGTTCCCTGACGTGGTCCAGATAGAAGTCCACGGTTTTCGCGAGCATCGTCGTGTGGCTGCTGGACAGGCCGTGCAGTTTATGGACGTTCACGGTCACTTTGGCGGCATTATTCACGGACTCCCGTATCTTGTCTGCTGTGTAGTCCTGCGTGCGACCACGGTCGAAACTTGACACTAGGAACGTCGCAAACTGTTGTCGAACGCGAGGTTCGGTCGTCGTATTTCCGAGTTTGACCGGTTGGCCGAAAATTCGAACGTCAATAAGGTTCGGCAAGATTCGACATAGTTCGACTTCTGAACAGCGTCACCAGAATTTCACACAAATGTAAAGCTTTAGTGAAATATAATTTATAGGGTAATTTTATTTTTTTTTAATTTTAGACACGAATACCCAACGTTTACGCGAAACGAAAAAAAAACATTTTTTTTTGTTGTAGTTAGTTTATTACCGTTCTCTACCAGGTGGCGGTCGGCTCATTTTCAATTTCAGCGCATGCCCACGATAACCGAACTTCAGTCGAGCTTTCGTCGAACTTTGCGTTAGAAGTTCAAACAAAGTCAAATCTGGCCGAGCCTCGGTAGGTTCACCACATATCGCGGGCGTCGCAACAATACTGCCGCACTTCCTAAACTGCCAGTATAATGCATGGTGTACTAAAGTATACGTATGCCAAAATATGCTCGCTACCCCGCCACTTATTTTCGTCGAGCTTCATCAGCCTGTGCCACTTGCGGCTTCAGAATGCAACAGAAACTCCGCCTGCAGCGCGAGGTTCCTAAATCTGAGGTGTCTCGCGACGACGCTCGGTCAAACCACTACCATAGCCTCCTCTATAGACGCTTTACAGCAGCTGTGCATGGGCGCCGCCATAACTGACCTTCAGTTTTTGTTCCCTCTTATTCCGTTCGCTTCACTTCATCATTACCACAGCAGGACAGGTTATTGCCATCATAGATGCTACTGTGTTCTTGTGCCCAGCATAGGCCCTTGTGAAGATCCGTCAACGCCCGCTTCAGTGGCTCGGTATCTCGGTAAGACAAGAGAAGGGCGGCTATGGCGGCTCAATCTGGCGCGTGTGTAAAGCGTCTATACTGACAAAGCCTGGCAGATCGCCACGAGAAGCCGCCGCCGAGATGGAAAAGGTGGAGCGGCACACAACGGATGAGAAGAGAGCCACGTGACTGGCGCCCCGCTGCGGCGAGACGCCGAAACACACTTCTCCCGAACGAGCAAGTGCGTTTCGGGTCCTCGCCGCTGCAAAAGCTGCGCGCTGACGTCTAGGTTCCCCGAGAAATGCTCTGTGCTTCCAGATCCTCGCGCTCCAAATCTGCAACCGGGCACTCTATGGCTCCGTCATCGAACTGCCAGGCTTTGTGAGTATATATAGAGGAGGCTATGCCACTACGGAAAGCAACGAACACGTGCTGGAGGCAGATCTTCTAGAGTCTTTCCTGTCACCGACCACGTACAACGCGTCCCAAAAATAAACTATACGCATCGCTGAATGCTCATTCTCCGGCCCAATGTAGCACTATAGCTTTTCGAACCAGATGCCAAAGTTTCACAACTAATCCTTGTTTTGTCAAAAATTAGTACAGGACTTTACAAAAATTTAAACGGAAAAATAGGGCCCGTCCTGCGTCACTGGTGCCATTGAGCTCCAGGTATTCGAGGGCTCTGTCGGCCAGCATTTTACCATTCAAAATTCCAGAAAATCGCTGCTCATTGCGTGGACCAAAGTGGCGACAATACGCGGAGCATGGAGCTACTTTCCCATGATCCCGTGAACATAATCTGACGTATACGTTCTCTGATGACCAATATATATATATACATACACACGCAGGGTGTCCCAGGTACTTGCACAAAAATTTGCAAAAAACGAAGCGCTATGCGAGAGTGGAAACAATGTTGTTCATAAGCGTTTTGGGAAAGTGCAGATTTCTTTTAGTGCGCTTAGTTATTTAGTTAATTAAGGGCAATTAGGTATTTCTTAATGATTCGTTTAACAGCCGAGGTGTGAAATGGGAAGTTGCACGGTGCATTGAGAAACACCCAACTAAGGTGTTCCCTACATGATACGCTTTGCACACTTCTTTTCAAATATTGCATTTTAGCACGCTAGAATTGAAATTTGCGCCTCTTCGTAACTGAAAGGTCAACGCATGCGATGTTGTCGGAACTTTCTAGTCCATGGGCAGTAAGAACTGCGGATTCAACTCCGTGGGAGTTTTGACCCAACCCCCGAACACGCACCCCACGTTCGCAGTGTCGCCTCGTGTTTCGGGAAGTTTTTCTCGTCAATGTCACCTTTCCTGGCTCAGTAAAAGCACTCAGCACCTTGAAACTCCCCTTTTTCGCCAATCTCTTACAATTACACATTAATGTCTTTTCATCCTCATCCAGAAACAAAAAATACCTGCGCCGCACTACGCGAATCCTTCAAGGTCATCCCGGAGCATTGTTACTTCGCAAGCTAATCACGAGGGGAATATGCAGCGCTGGTGGCGCCGCCGCTTTCGCCGCTTCACCCCGGCTTCCGGTGGCTCCTCCCATTGACCAGACTCTCTCTATACACGGCTCTGCCACTAACGATGACGTCACTCGCAGGCCTGTGTCTTCTAAATGGTATCGGCGGCCTCAGTGGACGTTACGACGTGAGAGTGGCCAAAGTCTTTACCCCGAAACGACTCCCGTTGATCGTTAAGAGATGTTCCACCTTGTCCAGCTCCGTTAGCAGCTCAGTCTGAAATGAGTCGCCCAGCGAGCGAAACCGTAAACAGATATATAGGTCTATTTCACAAGGACGCCGCCATCTTAAAATATTGTAACTTCCAGTATGGGCGAAAGCATTATTTTGCCGTCACCACTTCAATAGAACACATTTAGGATATAAGCGTGACCGTCCCATTCTCGTTTTGCCTCTCTTCGAAGGATATAGGCGTAGCCGCACCATTCTCGTTTGGCTTCTTTTTTCTTTTTTTGAAATGTTTTATAATTTTTTTTTTCATCACTCATAGGGGATATGCCTCTCCGGGTGGCTGAGAACGAGAGTAAGCGAAAAAAAAAGGTCTATATAGACTGACAGGTTGTTTACCTACAAGTCCGTATTCGACCACACTACGTGAAGTTCCAAAAGAACGCCCACCCAGAATGAAAAGATAAATGGTGAAAAACATGGGTTGGGCTACCTTTAGGGATGCCACAGCAAAACTTTATCAAAAAATTAATTGGAAACACCCTGGCACCGGCTGAAAACCACGTGACGCGGGAACTGATACCGCAATATCGCGAACACCGCAAGTTCGCGTTTCACAATGCGATAAACACGCGGGAATTCGCTACCAACTCCTGTGTCACGGGAAAGGATACCGCAGGTTGCGGACGCAGAAGGTTCGCGTTTCACGGTGCGAAAGACCCGCGGAAACTACTCGCATCTCACGGGAATGAATACCGCAAATCCCGGACGCAGCAGATGTAAGCTTTATGGTACAATAAACACGCGGGAACTTGCTACAAACTTGCGTGTCGCGGGAACCAATATCGCGCGCGCAGATCGCGGACAAAAACGCGGGAATCCGCTGTCAGCTCGCCTGTCAGACATGCCGGTACAGCAAATTGCGCGGTTGATGCGATTTCCGTCGGACATCACGTGACATCCGACGGGAATCGCGGGGTGGGCGATGTTGCGGAATTTTTATGTTAGATATTTAGCCAGAAAAACGGGATGGGCGATCTTTCGGGGGCGGGCGTTCTCTCGGAACTTTACGTAGGTGTGGCGACGGCGCGCGCGCAGAAACCAGATCCGCGTGAATTAAGGCGTCTGCGCATGTGCCGCGCTCGTAGCGGCGCCACTGTAGCGGCCTGACGTAAGATCCGCGCAAAACGAAAAAAAAAACAAAAAAACAAAACAAAAAACGAGGTGTTTTAACCAATGTTGGAGCAGAAATATACTTTTCTATAGTGGTAGATGCTGTATACATATATATAGTATATACGCCGATACAAATTTACACTCTGGGTGACAGATTTTCGCAGCAGACGCCACGCCGAAAGATGGTGTTAACGGATGCGGCGGTAACTGTGATAGTCTATCGTAATGTCACACTGAAAACGTGGTGCGGAAAAGTTATTTTAGATTTTCTTTGTTCCGCACCGCGGTTTCAGGTGTTACATGGGCTGTGTTCCTTACCTTACCCAAATGGATCCGAGTTGCTACGGCGGGTCGTGTCACGTGACAACACAGATTGAAAAACGCTGGTCGCGGGTAGGTTTTAGGACGCCAAGGTAAAAAACAACTTACCCTGGAGTAAGATCGACTAAATTTTGGGACACGGCCATTATGATTAACTGTCACCAGCTCGCCTGCATACTCACTGTGTATAATCTGCAAGCATCTGCCATCCACCATCTTTCTCAATGAAAGAAAAATTAATCATCATTTGGTTGGTGGATTGATTGATTGATTGATCTCCACGCGCTTTCGTCCTTGCTAGGCGACAACGCGACGCACGCGCACTTGCGACCATTTTGTGCAGGAGGCGTCCGCCATTACATTGCAAACGCTCTCCGTGGTTTGAGTTGCCCCCGCTTTTAAATCTAGGCTCTTTAAATTTCGACGCGTGGAAGCTAGTGCCACCTCTCCTAGTGGCTACCTTTGACAGCTCCGTCTCCCACAAGCGAGGCCATGTCCAGTATCTCTGCTAACAAACCATTTACTGCCGAGGGCGCCACTCCTAAAGTATTCCAGCAAAATATCGCGCGCCGCGGTAGTCAGTTCATTGTTTCATTTGTAAAGCCGCGTAGTTGAGGCATCTGCGAATCACTGTAGTGGCCGTTAATAAGAACCACATCGGGGTTACGCCGTCATACAATGAGTAAGGAGTTGAACCCAGTCAGTTTTATTATTTATTGAACGAAGAGAAGTATTACTTATTTGATAGATCTCATTGAGTCAGGGAGGAGAATGTTTTTTTCATGGGGTTTAGAACTAGAAACCCGCCAAACGAGAACCCAGAGCTAGGAAGCCCAATTTTTCTTCGTTGCATAAGGGACCTTTTATTAGGTTTTTAGGTCGATTGAAGACGTAAATGCAATTTTCGGTTGACCTAAAAATCCCAGTAATACAATCAGCTGAAAATATAGTTTAAAATAACGAAATGATTCTTCGAGATTTTGTTGTCAGCCGCTAAGGATGCCAGCCGATATGGTCTGCTGCAGGTTAAGAGCCGGGCATCCTCATCCCACCGAAGCCCTCCTCTCTTTCCACTTTGGCAGAGCGAACGCTGGAGAGGGGAAGAGTAGAGAGGAGGAAAACGCCAATCATGGAGAGCAGCTTCGTGGGAGGAACTTGTCCTACTTTTCTTAACCCTGCAATTTGGCCAAAAAAAGTTAGTTAGAATTTAATAGGAATCTTTGTTATTTAAACATGTTCTCCTTGGCTGCCGCATCTTAATTATTTCAATTCATGGTGCGTCTTTCGAACAGGTCAGGTCGGTTATCAAAAACAAAACAAAAACTCACGACTTTTTCTTGAAAAGTGGTGTAGATCATTACCAGCTGTCTAAGTTCCGAAAGGCCTAGGTCCAACTCCGTGCGCAGTGAGATTAGCCTTCCCTGTGTTTCGGAGAAAGGCAACAATGGTATCGAGCCGCGAGAAAAAGTATACACATACTCATGCGGAAAAAAACATACCGGTAAAAATTAAACGGGTGTTTTTTTACTTTTTTTTCTTAGGGGTACAGAAGTTATTTAAAATAAGGCCGAAATCGTTGAAGTCTGTCGCTACACGGGTTGGTGGGGCAAACGGGGGATATGCGACAAACGTTAAGAGTCTGTGCGGGCAGCGTGAATAATACTGTAGGTATTTATTTCATTATTTGTTTTTTTCACGTAACATCGGCCGTGCGTTAGGATGATTTTGAATAGCCTACGCCGATTGCAACCTACGTCAACGGTCAGGGCTTGCACCTGGTCGGTCACTGCTGACAAGTCGTACATGAGCGGCCGATTCTTGGCCTGCAAAGAGCAGAAAGACGGGCAAGATTTCAAAACAGAATCTAGCAACGTTGGTGGTCGCCATTTCTTGGGCACGAAGCATGTGGCTGGATCCTAGTCTTCACCGAACACTAACGTCGTTCTCGATACGAGTTGGGCCAAGTTCACGACGAACGCTAATGCAGCCCTCGTTCCAATACATGCACAGAGTGGGCACCCATGCAATGGAGGACTCAGATAATAAGATCCTTACAAAGCTCAGCTCTGAAAAAGCCAAGTCCTTCAAGAAGCTACTCTGAAGGTGCTAAGCCTTGGAACTTAAAGATGATTCCTAAGAAGCCAAGCTCTGAAGTTAAGATGCTTAAGAAGCTAAGTTCTGAAGGAGCTAAGCTCTGAAGATGCTAAGCTCTGAAGAAGCTAATCTCCGAAGAAGACAAGCTCTGAAGAAGCTAAGCCCTTTAAGAAGCTACTCTGAAGCAAGTTAGCTCTGAAATGTCTAATCTATGATAGCGATAAGCTTTGAATCAGCAAAGATCTAACGAAGTTAAGCTCTGAAGAAACTAAGATCCTTTAGAATCTGTCTGAGGCAGCTGCTCTGAAGAAGGTAAGTTTTGAAGCAACTAAGCTCTGATGAAGCTTAGCTTTGAAGAAGTTAAGCTCTTTTAAAGGGGGGTTCAACGATTTTAAGATTAAAAGAATTTGCATCTCGTCATTTTTACGTTGTTTATGGTGTTCCGGAGCTTACAGAAAACATCTCCTTCATAAAAAATGTCGCGATTCCGCTGGACAATCGCAAAGCAAAAGTCGAGCTTTTTCCCCCACCTGCAACTGCAAGTGGCAGCATAACGCCCGCTAATGTCAGCAGATAGAGGGAGAGTAAGCGTCCTGCGAGAGAGCACAGGAAACCTAGACGGCACCCCGAATTACGTCACTCGGAGGGGGACCAGGTGTGACCCTGAAGAGGGAATGAGTTGAGGGGTGCCAGAAATGCCAATATCCAGTGGCGTACCAACTTGCTTTCGAGTGGGGGGGGGGGGGGGGGGGGGGGGGCGGTTTCCTTGGTATCCCTTGGGCGCCGCCGGCCAGTGTTTGCCTTGCCCAGTGGTGGCTGTTTCAGGGGGGGGGGGGGGGGGGGGCAAGCGCCTTCCTGGCCCCCTCGGTTGATACGCCCATGCCAATATTTATCCTTTCTTTACACAACAACTAGGACACGCAGGCGAAATCGGTTTTTTGTTCTTTAGAAGTTTCAGAGGGCAACTTCCACAAATGTTTAAGCGAAGTCCGGAAATCCTTCCCTTTAAGCTCATCTCTAAAGACGCAAAATTCCATCGGGAGGTTCCTTTGGAGTACTTCCTACCAGCTCAGACCGTTTCGTTGAGGTGGTCTGCATAAGGCTCTCAACTCAACCCCCCAGCAGCATGAGCCAACGGGGCATGCGTACCTGTCTTTGGTAATCAGGGACGTCCAGCATGCTGAAGTTAAGAGCGCGCAAATCCTTCAGCCCGGCAGTTAGCGGATCCAGCGGAGGCATAGTCATGGCGGCCTCAGGCACGACGCTGAACTTGTCCAGCTCCGCCCTGAAGTTGATTGGACCACCGCCGTCCACGATCCAGGTGAGGTTCCAGGGCTTGCCCATGCTACGGGTGATGTTGCGCACCAGCTCTTCGCCCAAGAGCCTGCGATCGTCTCGGTATGTGCGCGCCATAGGCCATTCCAGGAATCGCCTATCGCGCGATGGTATCTTTGTCTACTAGACTATGGGTCTTGCTCTGAACATAGAGTAGCTCTCTTCTGCCGCAAGATCAGACGTCATGTATCCTCACAGAGCCAACACAACCCATGTTCGTTGCAACATCAAGAAAAAGGTATTGTTTTGCTATTATTCATGGTCTGCACGAAGTGGTTCTTAGAGAATCTTGTTGCCTTGGAAAGAAACTGCTTTTGGCATTTGAAACGTGTACGCACTGATGCGATAACATAAAGCTATTTTAAGGCGCTCCTTAATTCAACACGTGAAAGGGAAAATTACTAACGTTCCGTGAGGAAGCGGCGTCGGCGTCGGCATAACTGCGCACGTTGCATTATGGGACGTCACAGTTTCCCCACTGAATTTAGCGGGGAGCTGAATTGGTGTTGAGGTCACGCGACTTCAATTTTCCCGCTAAATTTAGCGAGAAAACTTAGCCCGCTAAATGTAGCGGTAAAGTTTTCGCTAGATTTCCCGCTATATTTTGCAGGAAACTTTTCGCTAAGTTTAGAGAGAAATTTGGCGAAAATTTCCCGCTAAATAGGAGGAGAGGAGGAGAAAATGAGGGGAGGAAGAGGAGAGGCACATCCTCCACTCCGCACCCTCCCCAAGAGCTGCGCTTAAATTTCTCAATACAAAGAAGTGTAAACGCCTTTTATTTTTTTTTATTTTTTTTTACAGCGAAGCTGTTTATGGCTAGGGTTCCGAGGATTTTTCGTGAGCGTCAGCAAAAGCTCCATTCACACCGCTGAATTTAGCGGGAAAATTTCCCAGCCAAATTTAGTGGAAAAAATTTTCCGCCAAATTTAGCGGAAAATTTTCCCCGCCAAATTTAGTGGAAAAAGTCCCCGATAAATTTCGCAAAAAAGATTTCCCGCTAAATTTAGCGGGAAGGAGGAGGGGGAGGAGAGAAGCGCACCGCCCTCTCTTTGTCGTCCTTCCAAGCCGCTTGCGTGCCTAGTTTCCTTTCCTTCCGCCGGGTGGCGGTACCGTCGCGCGTGTCTAGTACCCATCGGCTCCTCGGGGCGGCGATAGTCCTTGACATCTGTGTGCGTACCTTTCGTCACGATGAACACTCATCAAGACAATAAATGTGTTCGTACCTTTGCTCAAAATTCTGTGTCACGTCTGGGTCATGTACAAAACAGCTTCGCTGGTCATCCACTCTCCCAGAGTGGAATGGCTCATGATTTTTTACTGTGATTCTTAAAGAGCCACTGACAACCCCAACACCGATCTATTTTTTTATTATTATCGGAAACGACTGAAAGGATTGCCAGGTAGTTTGAAAACCGCGTATTTGCCGACCAAAAACAATATTTTCAGAAAGCTTGATTTGAAACGCGCCGTCCGAATCTATGACGTAGTTAGCAAAATGGTGCCCTCCTTGACTTTTTGGACGAGTTAAAACAGGAAGTTTCGTCCGTATAACTTTCTTTCTTTCCTACTGATCGTTCATGGCCACTCAGACGTGCCACCCGGCCAACCGCGAGAGTATTTCGCTAGACCGTTCTTCGCGTGCAGACGACGCGTCACTTTTAAGTCCGGTTCAGACACTTGCGTTCGAGTGCTTTTGACAGCGTTGCGTCGAGAACCGAATGCGAGTCACCGGCACATCTGTGCTTCGTATGAAGCGTGGAATCCAATTCAAGGAATCATCTTGGCATCCGATATCAGGCGCAGGGATATCCTGGTTTCTCGCAGCCGCAACGCAGTCAAACGCAGCTGTCTGAAGGAGGCTCGATTTGTAAAAAGGTAAGGAAAAAAACGACTTGTAGCAGCCCTTGGAGAGCGACATCAGGGACGATGTCGTAAAGGTGCTGCGTGAAAGATTATCCGGCACCGAAAAAAAAAAAAAAAACTCGTCCGAGCCGTTTTTAACTTCCCGGTCGTACGCACCCCCTTCAACGTCCTCAGCAGAGCCGCCGTGTGCCGGCATGAAGAAAAAGCAAGGAGTCGGCCTATGCTTCGTCTTTAACACTTCCGGTCTCTGATTTGTATTTTTCATAGCTAGCATTGTAGTGCCTTTACCGTCGTCATTAAAAAAACGCACTTTATTACTGACAATTATTATTATTACAGACTTGCAACTTGCGACACTTCTTAACGTTTTCAAAAATGTTTTTTCCAATTACGTCATAAAAAAGAAAGCGAGGAGGAGGACACAAACTTTGACTGCCTCTTTCGCCTGCCAGAATATTTTTTTTTTTGGGGTTCGGTGGTTGTTTTTTTTTTTTGTGTGTTTTACACGCGCTTTTAAAGGGGCGGTGCAAAGATTTTCGGACTTCGGTCAAAGATTTCTGGAACTTGCCCCCTAACACTTCTGAAGTAGAGAACAGAAAACCGATTTCGCCTGCGTGTCCTAGTTTTTGCGTAAAAAAAAGATAAAGATTGGCATTTCGGGCACCCCTCAACTCACTCCCAGTCTTCAGGGTCACACCTGGTCGCACTCCCAGTGACGTCATTCGGAGTGCCGTGTAGCTTCCCGTGTGCTATCTCGGAGGACGCTTCCCCTCCCTCTCTCTGCGTAGATTAGCGGGCGCTATGCTGCAGCTTAGAGCCGAGCGAGGTCACGTAATCTTTCCGCGGTAGTTCCTTCGGCTGCCACTTGGGGCTGCAGGTGGGGGAAAAAGCTCGACTTTTGCTTTGCGATTATGCAGCGGAATCGAGACATTTTTAATGAAAGAAGTGTTTTCTCTATCCTCTGGGACACGATAAACAACGTAAAAATGACGAGATGCAAATTCTTTTAATCATAAAATCGTTGCACCGCCCCTTTAAAGCGTTGGAGACGGGAAAAATAATTATCGATCTTGTGGTTGTCAGTGGCCCTTGAGGGTCTGCGTCTTTCCCCCAAACGTCATTCTTCGTGAATCTACGCAGCGCCACCTAGCCTGCTCAAGCAGGCTAGGTGATATTGGGCTGGCACCGTACAGGTCACGTGACGCGAGCAGGCGAATGACCGTCACGGTGGCTTCAAACAACGCGAAAAAAAGAAAATAATGACCTTACTCTCAGCGTCGGTTTTTATGCTGACTCTAGCGCGAGCGTTACCTGAACAGGCTGTACGGAGTCTCGCCGCACTGGCTGAAGCGTTTGGCGATGTCCATCATCGTCTCCGTGCTCACGTGATCCAGAGGCTGGCGGGTGCCGACGCGGGAGCGACGCGTGGCGCCAATATTGCGCTTGCGCAGTTCGGCCAGCACAAACCTGCGCCCCACCAGCACGCGTGAACGACTGCACAAACGGAACACAGCAAATGACGTGCCCAGCAACAACAACCAGACAAAAGAAAAGCGTGCCCGCTTTTTTGGTAACCGTGAACGTTACGGCGCGCGCGTTCGCTTTCCGTGAGGACATCGACCACGCAAACAGCGGAACAGCACGGCTTTCGTCCTCGCCTCCTCGCTGTCGTTTCATCCCCTTCCTTGTTTTCCGGGAGAATGGGGACCGACAACAACCGAGGAGGTCTTGACGAAAGCGAGCAGAGCGTGCGAGTGGCTGTTCGGACCCACGCTCAAAGCATTTGTTCTAAAACGAAAAAAAAAAAAAAAAACCTCCTTTAATAAAGAAAAAATCTTAACGCGGTCTGGAATCGGAGGAAAACATCCACTTCCGGTACAGCAAATGCTGTGACTGCAGAAAACGTGTCCTGTTTGATCAGCCCTTCCCGAATCCGCTTCGCATGCACGTCTTTTTTGATAAACAAATGTAACGTCTTGTTCTTTTTTCTTTCGTATTCAGCGTATTATGTTCGTCCTAAACCATTTTCGGGGGCAAACAAAATTTCTTCCGAAATCCTCTATGCTACAAAGCGTTTGACGGCTATTGACATTGCCAGGACGATAACGAGAGGGAAGCATTTAAGCTGTCTCGCCCCCACCGCGAGCATCACTGAACAACACGTCGGCGCCTTAACGTTCACAGTTACCGAAAAGCGTGCACGCTTTTTTTGTCTGGTTGTTGTTGTTGCTGCGCTCGTCATTTGCTGCGGTCTGTTTGTACAGTCGTCTTGTGATCTTCGAGCGTGCAGCCGAAGCTCTATCGAAGGCAACGAGCGCGTACTAATGGCTGAGCATTCGAAAGAGACGCCCTGTCCTTCTCATTCTGACGTCGACTACGTGGCACAATCGGCTGAGAAACCTCACATTGGGCCGTCCGACTTGACAAATCAGCGGATTATGAACATTTGCCGCGGATCTCCGAACACCTTTTAACGAACTGACAAGTCTCGCTAATTAAAATGTCTTGTAGTAAGGTTTTTTTTATTTTTTTTTTTATTTCTTTGGGACTTCTCGAAAATAAACAACTCGTAGTCCCAAAAAAGCAAAAAAAATAAAAAATAAAAAAAAGCTAGAAAATTGAAGGAGCTTACAGACAAAACGTGCGCACCGTAAAATACCGAGCAAGCGCTGACCCAAAATTTGGAAATAATCGTGCAAAAGTGGAGAGTGTGCACAGGTTAAGCTCGATATGTCCATTGTCTAGTTTTTGGACGTTTCACGAATTACGGGCCTGTATGCATTCTGCTCGGACACGCTTGATGTTTTATGCGACGAGTACGGCGGTGCAGCTACGGTGCGTGGAGCGCGTCCACGACCGGTGTGTGTCTTAAGCGCGATCCAAACCAACGCTTCTTTTTGCGCCTGTAGGTCGTGCGGCTGCGGATGTGACGCATTTCGTGGCGTTTTTGCTGTTTCCGGGCGCGCTTTCTGAGTCAGAACCGTGCGCTTTGGTTTGGACGGGCGAAACTTCGGGCGAGCGCGCACGCGCGCACGCAGGCACGAGCGCACAAGCAAGGTGCAACTGCGACAGACTGGCCGGCCAGACGGCGAGAGAAAGAGAGAGAGAGAGAGATCGCGTTGTCATGTTGGAAGAGAATAAAAGGGGGGGAGGAGAGGGCAGCCAGACGGCGAGAAACGCGGAGCCGGAACTAGCTTGCCCTCCACCGATTGGCCGGGACACAGGCGCGCCCTGCTACGTCACCGCGCGTTTTTGTGCGCGTCCAGAGAGAAGTTGAAATCATCCAACTTCTTCGTGCGCACCCGGAAGGAGCGAAGAAGCGGCGCGACGTCACGAAAATGCGTCACATCCGCAGCCGCACGACCTACAGGCGCAAAAAGAAGCGTTGGTTTGGATCGCGCTTTAGCGTCCTGTCCCGCCAATGCTTCGAAAGAGGTCTTGCGAACTGGCAACACGTGACATCACAAAGGCCGGCTAGGTGGCGCAAGCTACCGCCCGTTACAAAGGGTTAGCCATTAACATCCATCCATCCATCCATCCGGAATGTCATGCTGACGAATGTCACGATCTTACTAGAATGGAAAGTTGGGCGAGTTGGTATGAATTCATTTTGAAAAACAGCGCGAATACCACACAGACAAGAAGGAGGAACACACAGGACAGCGCCTCGTCCTGTGTGTTCCTCCTTCTTGTCCGTGTGGTATTCGCGCTGTTTTTCAAAATGAAGTCACGATCTTGGCGGTTGACCGTCAAAAGTTGTGGGAAAAAAAGAAAAGACGAAAGAACGCGAGTGTCACTTTCATTGACTGTCAAGCTGAAGAGTGACCTGCAGCAGAAGAGGCGTCTGTCCCGTCTACCACCGCTTCTGTGGCACCACCAGGATCGCGACCGGCGACGACGTGACACTTCCGTGACGTCATCAGACAGAAATCCAAGGACCACTTTCTAGTTCGCGGTAAACACACCAGTTGTAGACGCGTTCCAGGCGGCACATAATACAGCTGTTCTATCGTAGACCACATACTGAACGAGGCTCCGCGACTTCGGTCCTCCCAGATCCTCAAAGACATCGCACGTGGAACCCTGGGTGGCGTGCCCGGCGAACATGGCGGGCACCGCCGCCGTCATGGAGACGCCGAAGGCGATGGCCAAGAAGTAGGCGGCGCACGAGAGGCAGCAGCCACCGCAACAGCCGCGCCCGCAGCACCCGTTCGTCGGGGCGCAACAGCATCCGCAGCAGAGCCCCACCAAGAAGACCATCACCGGACAAGCCAGGACGGCCAGCAGGGCGTACGCGGCGAGCAGGTACCGGCGAAGCGGCTCGTCCAGTTCCGCCAGCAGGTTCTCGAGCTTGCCCCTGTACTTGATCAGGGTGTCCGGGTGTCGGCCCCAGGGCAAGTTGAAGCGTCCGCTGATCTGTTCCAGGTTCCCGCCTACCGTTTCCACGATGTACCGGATTTCTGCAAGGCGGTCAAACGAAAAAAAAAAAAGAGAAGAGAAGCAGTCTGAATTCTGGAATACTTATATGGTTCCACTAGGGTGTCATGAAGGTCGAAGATCTACGGTAAGTTACAGCTCAAGAAGGTAGGGCGAGGAAAAGGAAGGCTGGGGAGAAAGAAGCAGACGGAACGCTGGAGAGGAAAGGGCGAAACCTTCTTTTCTGTTCAGCGTCCCGTCTGCTTCCTCCTCGCCGGCCCTACTTTCTTGAGTTGCAACGGTGTATAGACATTTTCCACAGGGGCGCCGCCATCTTGAATTGTCGTCACTTCCAGTATGGGCGACGACAAAATAGTAAAACGTTTCAACCTGTAACCAGTAAAAAAATAGAGGGGAGCCAAAACGAGAATGTGTGACGGTTAGCTTAACCCAAATGTCTTCTATTGGCGTGGCGACGGCAAAGTAATGTTTCCGCCCATACTGGAAGTGACGACAATTCAAGATGGCGACGCCCTTGTGGAAAAGGTCTATAGGCTAGCGCCCTGTTTACAAACATGCCCGCGTTTGCCCACGCCAGGTGATGGCGATGGTGCGTCCGCAGAAACCAGATTCACGTGAAGTGAAGCGTCTACGCGTGTGCCGTACCGACAGCAGCGCCACCACAGCGCCGTGACGTCAGAGCCGTATGTTGGGCTCGGCGAGTTCGTCTGTTCTTCGCGCGCAGGATTTTTGTAACGTCACGGCGCCGTGCTCTGATTGGAGGATTGTTCGAGCGGGGTGTACGCGGCAGCTGCGCTGCCTTCGACTATTTGATGCAATGGCTGTCTTGTTTCTACGACTGCGCCATTCTTTACAGTTCTTTACGAATAATAACTTGCCCTGCGACATAGGGGAAGGATACGTGAACTAAAGGGCTGTGCAAGTAGTAGACAGCCAATGCCATGCACGCCCCCCCCCCCCCCCCCCCCCCCCCAAAAAAAAAAATAGAAACACGGCCGCTTTTAAGAAAACGTGAACTTCGCTGCGTGCGCGTCCGTTTCCACTGAGAACATCAACCACGCAAACAGCACGGCTTTCCTCCTCTGTTCCCGGCTGTCGTCTCTTCCCCTTTCTTGTTTTCGGGAGTTTGTGGACTGACAACAACGACTCCTTTGTTGTTGCCTTGGTAACAACAATAGCCTCAAGGCAAGAACAACTCCTTTGTTGTTGCCTTGACAACAGCCAGTATAGGCGTGTGAGTTGCTGTCCGGGCCCACGTGATGAGCACGTGACAGAAGCTTGGAGCGTGACGAGCAGGCTTTCGTCCAAGGACGGAAGCAAAAAATAAATTTCTCGCGGCGAAAGAAACGAAGAAAAAAAACTATTTTGTAGCGGATAGGAACTAAAGTCATACCTCCACTTCCGGTACAGCAAATGCCGTGCACGACATCTGCTGTGTCTTTTAAAATACTCAGGGCGCCGAAATCAAGAAAAGAACCCATGACTGCGATGTTGCTTACCCACTATACTCGTTTTCACCTCAAGAAAACAGTAAGTTTTGCGCATCGTTCATACGCCGCGCGAAATAGTTCTCGCCAGATTTAGTTGTCGGAGGCACAGGCGATGCTTTTGGCGTTTGAAACGTGTACTCCTTGATAAGATAACGTGTATCCACACTAAAATGCTAATAAATATACCTTAAATCTCCACCTAAAGGTGAAAATTAGTAATCATCCGCGAGAAGCCGGACTTTTTTTCCTATGGTTCTTGAGGTGAAAACAGGTATAGAAAGAATGCCCTCTGCTGTGGCGGACCTTGATCGCACATGTGACTCATTCCTCTCACTCTGTTCGTATTGCCTCTCTCATGCGCAGAGAGATGCGTTTTGATCGTTCGCGCGCACTTCAGAAACAAATACTTACCGTCCACGGATCGGTTCAGCTCCGCCAGATACGTCGCCTTTCGTGGGAGCTTTTGGGTGAACTGCACGTAGAGCCGAAACTTAACCCGCATCTGCTTTAATAACGCCTAATAACTCTTTAAGGCCCTTAAAAAGAAAAATATTTTTTTTTAACGGTCTGGTTGGGACACGCGTGTCCAAAAATTAATTTTATGCGAAAAAAAAAATTGTAGTGCAATATTGACGACGTGTGACGCGATTTAGTCGGTAGTCGCCTCGTTGTCACTTCTTTCCTCGGCATTTAGGGCGCGTGGAGGAGTGGATCGGCTTCGCCTTTACGTTAAGGTGGAAAGAGCGAATGACCATCTCGTTCAGCGAATGACCATTCCGTGACGTCATGGATTTTGCGCGCGAAATTTCAAATAAATCTCTCGCAGTCAACATTGCTGTACACATTTTTTTTCGCGTAAAATTTATTTTTTGACACGCGTGTCCCAATCAGAATGTTAAAAAAAAGGAAAAAAAACGTGTTTTTTTTTTCTTTTTAGGGGTTTTTCAATTCGCTGTCCAAACTAACATCATGGTTAAATTGGGATTAAAGTCGCTGGATAAAGCGACCTTACCCGGTTTAATGAATCGAAGAGCGCAAGACACCCTCATTCAACCCTTTCGCGGGAACCGTATTAAACTGTTTAGGAGGCTTTCATTGCCGTTCTAGATCAAAACCTGATTGATAAATAACCTTCAATGTTTCTGAGCCCCATTAAGCCTAAAACCGGAATTCCAATGAATAGTACTATGATATTCCCGAACTTCATATTTCTTCGGGCCTAGGCTAAGAATATTGCCACGCGCTAGACACACCGGTGGATGGCACAAGCTATCACATTAAGATACGCACGCACATGACATCGGGCAGTGCCACCCGCCAGACGCACGGGCCGGTCGCACGAGCGTCTGGCGCTCGTGCCATCGCGTGACTGTGAGCTTTGTTTTTTGGGGCATTCTTTTCATCTACTCCGCTGTTCTTGTCATCTACTCCGCTGGGGCTTGACACCGAAGTGAAGAAGAAAAAGTTTTTGTTTCTCCACGGGGCCGAGCTCTTTTTGTGTTGTACATAAAGTCGTGACATTATCCTGAGCCACCCCATGCTAAATATATATCTGAGGTGCGCAAAACCTTTAGCAGAATAGTGATTTAGATAGAGATATGGGTGTTATTAGAAGTAAACCTAGTGGTAGACCAAATAGTCACAAAGCCTTATCGTAATACAGGCCCAAAATACTTCTACAAAACGAATTCATTACAATAGAATTTCGATAAAAAAATATATATATAAAATTCAAGCGCAGCAAAATGATTTCATAATATTTAAATACTTCGTTTTTCAAATGATTTTTTTACAGTTTGAGATGAGTGAGTTAACTTTAGCGTCGTGTAAAAAAAAAAAAAAAAATCTAAACATTAGCTCAAACCGCGGAATATTCATGCTTTTGACATATACGACTCGTTATTGCGAAAGATGTATACCTAAAAGTGAATTCATTTCTGTAGACTGGAGCATGATCTATGAATAAACTCGGTGAGGATATGCCATTTGCAAAACACGGTACCATTTCGTGGCACAGGTATTGTTCTTGCCATTCTAATGGCGGTAAAACAAATGTGGCATTTCATCGGGCCCCATCATTTTTGTGCGTCAAGGGCGGATGGAAATATGCCTTTCGCCGTTCTTCGTTACCGGCTAATTTCAGCTTCAATGGTACAAAAAAAAAAAAAAAAAAAGAACTACCGGCTGACAAGAGGCGTTGAGCTTGGTAGAGCCCGTCATAGTGTTCGCTCTATCAATCGACATTTCTCAAAACTACCCAGGCACCAAGGAGAATGCTGGGTACGTAGGCGTACACGCGCTGCAAGCACACGCCTTATAGGCATAAAAGATTCATATTGAAATAACAAAACTAAGGCGTTCACCAACGCGCGAGCAGAGTACCATTCGTTTGAGGTTCTTTATTTAGAGCAGTTCAGCAGAACACGTCAGCCAACGCCGCCTGGTATAACCAAAGTATGTGAACTAGAATGTGGACATCATCACGGAGAGATAGAATGCCGACACATACTACAGGATGTCTCGAATAGCGGCCAAGCTCTTTAAATCTACTGCAAAAAAATCGGTTTCTCCATCTATCGCGCTACGATTTTGTGCAGCGTTGCCCACAGGTGGTGCATTTTGTGTCTAAAATTTGCAAAGAGCGAATTTACCCGAGGAAAAAGAAAAAAGAAAGAAAGAAAAAGTCTTGACTCCTATGTAAACACAGCGAAACCACCGGTATTAAATAGTAGGGCGCCCTGTTGTTTGAAGACCGGTGGCTTCGCTACGTTTCCATAGGAGTAAATCTTTTTTCTTTTTTTTTTTTTTTTTACCTTTTCCTCGGGCAAGCTCGCTCTTTGCAAATTTTAGAGGAAAAATACACCACCTGTGAGCAACGCTGCACGAAATCGTGGCACAATAGGTTAAGAAACCGTGTTTTGCGGTCGATAAAGCCTGGCCGCCATTTTACACGCCCTGTAAGCTCGAGCGCTATAATGTTAAAAAGCACAACAGGACAACGGACAGAAAGGAAGACAGACACAGGGCTATACTTACAACTGAACATGTATAGCGCCGGTACTTGTTGACATTTTTCTGGCGGCTCTTGATAGAAACTTGGGTAGCAAGCTTGAAGAATTAGGGGTGGTAAATATTTTAAGATTTGTAGTTTTTTTTTGTCCTCTTGGACTTCAGCCCAGATGTGTTCGATGAATGGTGTCTGTGACCCTCTTCATTTGCAGTGACTGTTTAAAACCGCTGATGCTAACACATGAAGTTCCGGTGGGGGGATCCATTCGGTTCTTGGATCTATGAGGCTTGACGTTCAACCGGAGCATGTATACTGGACTTACAAACCTATAGGAGAACAAGCCAATACTGCCATTCATGTCGGCAAACTCGAAACTCGGAAAGTTGGGAATCATTAATCTCTGCCTCGGTAACGCTTCAGCAAAGTCATGCGCTCACAAGGTTGACGAAAGCTGTAAAAATCAGGCGCTAAGACTCAAGCCTCCAAGGTATTCGCCCAAGCCACACAGATTTTGCCAATCATTGGTCAAGGGCTGGAAATGGTTCTTTGGTCAGTGGCCAGACAGTGTCCATCCATTGGCTGATGACTGGCCTTTCTCTGGCCATTGGCCAATGGCCACTGGCCATTGGCCAGCCATCGCCCAAGCATTGGTCGATGGATGACCACTCTTTGGCCATTGGCCAAAAGATCATCGCCTGGCATTGGCCAATGCTTGGCCGAATTCCGCGCGGTCACCCTTCATCAGCAATAGCCGAGAACAACCTCAAGAAGTTAAAGAATAAAGATAGTGACGGAACGATAGTACAGAAGAAGAAAAAAGTAGTGGTAATACCATACCTGCATAAAGTATTCCACAACCTTAAAAGAGTGGGCTTGCACGGGGGGTTAAGGTCGTTTATTCAACCCCTTTGAAGCTAGCTAGCTTCTGTAGCAAGGTGAACTCCAATTCGAACACGACAGGCGGACGCAGCTGGTGAAGCACAAAACCTGCTTCGTTGAGTGTGTAGTACAAGAGGTCGTTTATTTCGTCCCATTATTGTGTGGGCGTCACTATGTGGGTCAGACGGGCCGCTGCCTGCATGAACGTTTGAGAGAGCACCGATACAACGTAGATAGGGTCGTATCAGGGCATCTCGGTGCGCATTGCCGTGATTGTGGATGCATTCCACTCTTTGGCTGACTGTGCTGACTGTACCCGAGAAATACTTGAGGCCCAAGAAATTAGTAGACTGGGGTTGCAGTGTGTCAAGACACCCTCTGTATCTTTGTAGGACAAAGAATTACTGTTCCTCAACCAGGGATGACTATAGTCTGACATAGTGCGATGAGTGATGTCAAAACTTCAGCCTTTTAACAATCTGTATTTGTATATCTTTGTTAACTTGTTTTTTTTTTTTTAACGGCGCCGGTATATATATTGAGCGACAACGAAAATAAAGTTCGGTTGTAAGTAACGCTGTGTCTGTGTCTTCCTTTCTGTACGTTGTCCTGTTGCGCTTTTTAACCATTATGAATCACCAACTCTCCACCCTCAAGCACTGTGTCAGCGTTAATTCGGGTGGGCCTCGTGTACAACGAGTGCGTCGTAGGACGCTGAGTGTCAGGCTCGGGTTCGTTTGCTGAGTCAACACCACTGAAGGGTGCAGTGTGTGTACATATACACCCAAAGCGCGCTCCTTGGACCTTAGGTAACTTAGCAGAAAGGTTTATTGTGGGGCTTGTGGGTCAGGTGCGTGCCAAGCCAACTGACTGATTGGACACATTATCGAAATGAACGCTGGAGGCTTTCTGTTATCCTCTTCGCCGCATATCTTCCACTACTTCCCTTAGGCCAGCTTCAGACTGGGCAGTTTCTCCCATCTTGACGTCGCAACACCAGCAACAAGGGGCGCCCGCGTTTACACGCACCAACCAATTGCTGCGATTTGCCATCATAATTTTTCTTGCCCTATTTAGACACAAAGTTACTCGATATAAACGTGTTTCTATACTTTTAAATGGTGTTGAGAATACTAACTGATCTTTCTGAAATGGTTTATCCCCAAGAAACAATCAATTCCAAACCAGAAGCAAGTCTTTAGTTGTCATCATCACCGGCATGGGGTATCACGTGAAAATAATGCGTCCCTGATTAGCTGCTGCCGTTTAAAACGTCTCCGAGTTGTCCAAGTTTCTCGTTCGTTTTGAGCCGGACGCAATACAAGCAATTCGTGCCGCACTGAGAAAGCTAGGAAACAACTTGCCATCAACCGCGAAATTGCTGGGAAAGTTCTCCCTTCTGAAGCGGGCCTGATCAGCCACGTGAAGGACGCCATTAAGATGTCACACATGCCGTGCCCTCTGATGATAAGAATGATACTGAGTGATTCAAACGCGTCGTTCACCCTTCGAAGGAACCGCACGAATCAGTATCTTAATGGTGCATTTTCCCCATAAAATTTTCGAAGAATTAACTTATTTGAGTAAATAGTGAAATAGTATGAGATTGATTTCGCTAGCGACAGCGTCCGTCTGGTTACAAAAGGCATCAACAGCCGACAGATGGAGGCAGGTAAGAGCGAGGAATAAAACCCTTATTTCCGATAGCAGACTATATTTTTTTGGTCCATTGTAGCACGGGCTTTGTCGATGTAACGAATAATTGCGTTAATTTAGCTGAGCAGACATAAAAACGAAACCATCAAAGCAAGTTCTTTGTCTTGCTATTTTGGCTATATGTCAACAGCTGCCTCCATCTATCGCTTGTTGCGTCACCCAAACGTGCTTCATTCGCAGATGGCCGCTGTAGGCAGCGAATGCACTCTTAATTATTTGATCTTTTCTCAGATAAGCTCGTCCTTTTAAATTTGAGACACAAGATGGACCATCATTGGCCACCTCCGTACAAAATCTCAGCTCGAAACGCGAAGAAACCGATTTATGGACTTCTTTCAAATGGCCAACGTAGCATTTGACTCACTCTGTAAGTGGGCAGATGGAATTAGGGAAAGGGTCTATTGCGAATCGCATCAGTATCGTACCGTCGTCAGTGTGGTCCGATAGTTCTTGATTGTCGGGTTGCTAAGCTCACCCTCGGCTGCGGCCAGTCCGTCTGGAGAGATCTGCGAAGCGAAGATCAAGCAATTCATCGTTTCTCATCGATGCGTAACTATTACAGCACCTGAAACGTGTCTGTAATAGACGCGCTTACTTGGTCCTCTAGATTTTCACAAAGGCGAGGTATAACCAGTGCCGGGAAGTGATGTTTCCGTTCGTCAACAAGAGAATTACACACTCGCACTCTAGAGAGTAAAAGCGCCAAAAACAAGAAAAGTGTAGAACACCACAGAGTGGTACATTGAACGGGTTTAATATCAGAAAAAGTTATGTACCGCGATAACAACAAGACAAATCATCCAATCTCTACCAACCAATCGCTAATTACTTTTTTCCTTCTTCAAACCCCAAGCGATCGTAAATATGGCAAGTCGGATTCAAACGAGGTTACGGAGGGGGCACTGCCATATCTCCCACCTACTTGTCCTCCCTGTTGTATTTGTTTTTTTCTTTACAATGTTTAACCAATTCGCTTTGGTACGTACCTTTCTTCACACTGTCACGCTTGCGCCATCAATCGAGTAGCCTTGGAACGAATATATCTTCTAATTTCTTTTTTCCTACATCCCTCTCTTACAATTGGGCTGGAAATAATTATGACAAGGTTATCTCCTAGACAGTGCGCCTATTTGATCTCTCAACTGCGGAACCTGGAGCCTAAAGGCGTATGGGAGGTGTTCCAGGGCTCCACTGATATTGCGCCAAAGGGCTTCGAGTATGGTCAGTATGGTCTCTAGACATAAGCGGTGCACAAGCGGCCACAACGCACGTGGTCACAGTCAAACGCCAAGTTTCTCTCCTGCCTACGCCGAACCGTGCCGACCGCAGTGTCGTGTTCTCCCGCGAACCGTGCCCAGCGCCGCCATGAACTATCTTGATTACTTCCTAAACACCATGACAAAAAAAAAAAAAAAATCAAGCTGGCGGTGACGATTTACAAAACTCCAACCCCGCAGGAATTTAATCTCCTCTCTGCTTCACGTGTGACGTCAATACGTCACACAAAGGACCCGACAACGGCTGTGGACTGTCTCCCTTTCTTATCACGTTGTCTAGCCAGATACACAGTGGAACATGTAAAGCTACGGCCGTGTACCTTAAAACCTCTTACGACGAGGGAACAAACTGGCGTCACCTATCGGGTAGCCATACGAACATTTGGCATTTCCGTATATTTCCTATCTTTTTCGCGCACCATTCGTCCTTTCTTGGCTCGGAAAACCTCTTTGGCAACGTTACAAACGACTATTTCTCATAGGTAGTACATGTACATTTGATCTCGCAAGTACCACCAAAACCTACGCTCTAGTGAAATGCAGTTTCAGGGTCACCTCATAGGTGGCGCCAGCGTGCTCTCTCGTCGCAAGAGGTCGCAAGAACTCGGTCCTAATTGCAAACGCAAATGTGTGAACGGACCTATAGGTAGTATTCACTGGCGGCCATAGCTGTGTGCGCGAATGCTGAGCGCTTGCTGACGGCGAGCTTCCGCAGTTCTTTTGCAGCGTGCATTCCGCACCATCAAGAGTGTCGGCGTTAGCAGCCTATTGATGTGAGCTGGTTCTGAGCATGCGCTCTAAACAGCACCCACAAATATGGCGTCCAGTGAATACTCCCTATAGTGCCGTGGAGAGGTAACACTGCAACGGTCCTATACCTCTGCTCTGTTTCGACTTGCGACAGACCGCATTAGATGCAGACCGACACGCGGGCTTGACGTCACGGAGCTGCGGCGGCGCTGCGATCGCGCCGGAGCCGGGGGGTGTGGGCAAAAGCGCGCACGTTTCGCATGGGCGTCATAGCATTTCAGCATGCCGCGAAGCTGTGTTGCCGTTAATTGCACCGAAATGTACAAGAAAAGCAGCGGAGTGAGTTTCCACGAGTTCCCGGCAGACTCTGAAAGGCATAGAAGGTGGATAATATCCGTGGATCGAAAAGAATGGTCGCCTCGCGCGAATGACCGTTTGTGCGGCAAACACTTTCTTAGAGGCAAGTGCGGCTTCCATTTCAAACTCCGTCCCGAGGCTTGCTTATGTGCAGGGGAACCGTTGTCTGATCGAGACCAACCGGATTTTGTTCCGACGGTGTTCGCGCACAACGCACCGGCCAAGCGCTCGTCGGAGGCTCGCTACGCCCATGCTACCGAGCAGAAGGGGATCGGCGACAGAACGGCAATGTTGTAGGCGTTACAGAAAAAAAAATGTAACGAAATACGTTACTCGTTACTAGCAAATAAAAGGAACGCGTTACTTTGCTACGTTATGTAAATATAAAAGGAACGCGTTACCGCTACCGATAAAAAGTAAGGCACATTACTTCTGCGTTACTTTTTTAAATTATGATTTGACATATTTTACGGTTTTGACGATACAGGTCATATATCAAGAAACATTATGTTCATGCAGAAACTGAACATGATTACTTTATCTCTTTTTACGGTTTCACCTAAATACTGACGAGAAAAAAACGCAAAGAAAAACATGGCTTGATGCCTAAAACACGGAAACAATTCAAGTGTAATTTCTTTAATACTTGGGAAGTAGTAACGACTAACGTAACTACGTTGCTTGAAATAGTAACATAAGTACGTTACCCGGTACTGTGTCGAAAACGTAACGAGTAGGTTACTACGTTACTGAAAAAAGTAACGCGTTTCTGGTAACGCCGTTACTTGTAACCGGTTACCGCCAAGACTGCAGCACGGACAAACCTTTACTGGTTGTAATGCCTTGTGGTCATGAGGGTATCAAAAATATCATACCTTGACTTAAAGACGCTCTGTGTATTTAATCAAATAACGAATGCACACACTTCCGCAGACCCGCAGACCCGCAGTCTGCTGATCCCGCCGGCAGTGCGGAAACCGACTCGATGTAATCGTAGACCTCGAGAGACTTGTACGCCTGCACCGTGTCGGCCGTGAACTGGGTTGGCGAAAAAACTAAATAAACGACGACCTGAGCCGTCGACTTCCGTGGCAGCAACTTTACGTCGGAAGTCCAGCAGGCCTTGTTTACGGCGTACGGATCCTCGTAGGCAACGCCGTCCACGCACTGTTTGTTTCGATACCGCTACCGTTCAGGCTCGGGCAACGAGCTCAAATAGTCGGGCATAGCATAAGACATACGTAGTGAGGAAATACGACGCACAAATAAAGATACAAGCGTCCCTGCAACGTCAACAACGAGCGCACGCCATAGAGCGCAATGGCGAAAACACGGAGAGCCGGGCTGCTTTTGCCCACATAGCTTCCGCGCATGCGCGGCCTTCCGGCCGTGTTGGTAAACAGAGCCGCTCCGCGTGTCGGTCTATACGAGCCATTGGAGCCAATCCAACGCCGTGTTAGGGTCACGTGATATTCGGGGGAAAAAAAGAGGGGGAGGGGGGCTGGATTGGCCGGAATGAATGGCTCGCGTACCATCTGCTGCCATTCACCATAATGTGAAACGTAGTGTAATCCAACACACTGTTTGCACACGAGCCCACCTTCGCCCACACCATGTGTGGTCGCTGCAGATACCAGATTCGCGTGAGGTGAAGCATCTACGCATGCGCAGTGCCCACAGCAGCGCCACCGCACGGCCGTGACGTCAGCGGCGGTTAAGAATCAAAGGTAACAGACCCAGTCCCGTCCCCGCGGGGCGCCCGACACGATGACATTCTCGACGCTCTTGACCTTCATGCAGTCGGTGAGCGGAAGGTTGGTCGGGGTTGTGTTGCACTTCGCAAATGCCGATCCCAGGTGGCCACGGATTCGAGTCTCCAGCGCGTGCATGCCGGACACCAGAGTGTTCAGATCCGTCACGTGGCCTCCCACAGTCCTCAGCGTCGCCGTGGCGTTCCCGAGACCTGTGCGTCCACGGTAAGTCAACGGTCAAAAAATTCGGAATGTCACGCTTTTAAGATCTAGTCTGGCCACCGGAGATGGAAAATGCTACCAGTCTGCGAGCCATGGGCCAGCCTCAGCGAGGCTCAGCGTTACTAGAACTAGTATGGTAAATTGTCAAGGAGTGTGTGTTGACTGTTAGTCTAGTGGAGTCAGTTTTAAAGCAATACTCTCTGTACAAATAAAACAAAAATTCGCATTTTGTTTGCGCTGCACGAAGTAGTTCTTGCACTACTTGGTTGTCGGAAGAAGAAACAACGCTTTTGGCATTTGAGCATAGTTTAATTTTATACTGCGTCTCACATTCAACCTCATTAATGCGCTTGTCGATCTCGGTTTCTGTAGTTCATGCCTCAGGCGCCATCCACCGCGACTTCCGCTGCGCCATTCAAGACGCGAGATTCCCGCATAATCGTTTCACGTGTCCTCGGCCGCCAGATGGCGCCATATATTAATTAATATTAAGCCTGAGGGGACAATAGCGCTATAACAAAAGCAAACGTACGATCAGCCACTTCGGATATGCCCGCAAACGGCGTGTCTCCAAATATGTCCGCGAAGTCGTCCTCGGTGGCTTTGACGCAGGCTGGAAGAAACCAAAAGCACAAACGTTACCTTCGGCTTCCCAGTTTCGTTTCGATGCGGGTGCCGTCGAACGCGGCGCAAACCATCTAATGGAGAGAAGTGTTGACCATTAGGAATAGTTACTTCGTTTGATGAGTGACGGGACATCGCCTCAGGAAGATGTGAATAGGAGTACGTAGTGCAAGCAATGTTAAGCTCTACTGCTTCGTTTGATGAGTGACAGGACATCGCCTCAGGAGGATGTGAAGAGGAGTACGTAGTGCAAGTAATGTTAAGCTTTACTTTTTTTTTTTTTATCCGTAGAAGTTTCATCGATGGGGTTTGTGCAGGTGAGTTATACGACCACGGGACATAATGTAGGAGGAATTTCGTCACAGTAAATCAGTTAATTAACTAGGATTTGTTCATTGACTTTCGAGTAAGCGGAGATAAGACTGTGGTTCCAATTAGAAACTTGCTGAGCGTCGTCGAAAACCACTAAATCAGTATATTTTTAGGCATACTTTCAGAGCGTGGGAAGTGCAGTAGTGCGCTAAAGTCACCCCTCGTGCAACGGGCGCGAGTCTGGTGCATATATACTGACAAAGCCTGGCAGATTGCCACGAGAAGCGGCCGCCGAAACGGAAAAGGTGGAGCGGCAGACAACGGATGAGAGGAGAGCCACGTGACTGGCGCCCCGCTGCGGCGAGACGCCGAAACACACTTCTCCCGAGCGGACAAGTGTGTTTCGGGTCCTCACCTCTGCAAAAGCTGTGCGCTGACGTCCAAGTTCCCTGCGAAATGACTCTTCGATGCTTTGTGCTACCAGATCCTCGCGCTCCAAATCCGCGACCGGGCACTCTATGGCTCCGTCGTCGAACTGCCAGGCCTTGGGAGTATAGAGGAGAAAACCCGTCTTCGCAATGCCAGCGCGTTGCACCCGTTGCAGGTAAAGTTAGCGCACAACCGCGCATCACCCGCGCCCTAAATCTTTCTGAAATTCACTTATCTAGTGGTTTTCAATGACGTCCAACAAGTTTCTAATTGGAACCAAATTGCTTATATTAACTAAATAAGTTCATTAACAAATCTTAGTTAATTACCTGATTTATCGTGACGATTATTTCCTTATATTATGTCCCCCGGGCCTTATAACTTACCTGCACAGACCGCACTAGTGCAGCTTTCATTCATTTTTTAAAGCAAATCTGAAAAGGCAAACAAAAAAATAATATTAACCCGTATAATGTTTGGGTGTTTATGATAATTCCATTAATGCAAAGGTGCAAGCGAGCTGGACAAGAATGGCGACAATAATCCCTAGGGAAGGGGAACAAGTGGAAAAAAGAACAAAGAATTATCCTCCCAGGACTCGTGAAAGAGGGCGAGAGAGAAAAGGGGAAAGGGCTACCGGCGCTTTCCCCTCCACCGGGTCGTTAGAAAGAGAGAAAGTTCCGGATGAGAGGCTTGGCCGGTGTTGGGTCTCTGCAGTGCACGAACTTCGTTCGCGCTTTCTTCTCTGTTTTAAACTCGCGAACTTAATTAGAGCCACGGGTTTTGATGGCGACAGTCCCCCGGTCATCGGTACACCATTGCTCGGTTATCAGGTGCACGAATAACGACAGAAAGCGTCGAATACTGTCCGAGTACCTATGTAGCTTCCAAGGAATCCGGCAAGGCACATGACCTCGGTCTCCGGCGGCAGAGGATTGCGTCCGCAAACCCAAAAAACGCTTCCTCAACGCCATCCTCTCTACTGTGCTCGGAACATTTTGTGAATGGAGCGTGCACCGAACGTTGTACCGCCGATGAACATGGGGTACGCTCACAAGGTGCGAGCGAGTTTTCTCATGATAATTGCTGTTTCGGCTTGTAAAGTTTTGTAACTGAATTTATCTTAATATTGATATTTTGCAGTGGTGAAAATGACTCGATTTTACCACCTACAACACTTAGTTGAAGGCTCATTTCCGCCGCCGGGTGTGGTTGGAAATTGTTGAAAAGTTAGTTCTACCGGTTTTACTGAATCGCGATCTCCTGCGCGATACCAGAGAGCCGCCGAGAGCGCTCCCTGGAGTGCCGCTGGTGGGTTGTTTCCGTTGATTGGGCGCTTTGAAGCGCTGAATATTCGCTGCAGGGTACATCTCGTGTGTTCCGATCTGCGTTTTCGAGCACAGTGTGCACGTTTCTTTGTTCGAGTCATGGCATCCGCCAGTGCGGCGACGGCGGGAACAGCGGCAGCGAACGTGCCAGCGATAGAAATTGGAGGTGAGTACTCAAAATATTGCATCAAATAATAAAATAATTCGTGGCTGCTTTGAGGCTTTCTGCGGTTCGCAAGGAAATATAAAAACACGGACAAGCAAGAGATAAAAGCAGCGCAGCAAAACGATCGGTGGCAGTTCCGGGCGTTTACAAAAGTTATAATTGAGTCTCCCGTGTCGTGTATCGCTTGTTGATTACTAAAAACGGCTACGTTGAAATAGGCCTATTGCAAGCAAAACTTTTTACATGGTTCATCAGTTCCAGTTATGCGGAAAGCGATGGAGCTTAAAAAACATTGCAGCCGCACTCGCCTTGCCGGATTCCATGCAAGCTACATAGGTCCTCGGACAGTATTCGACGCTTTCTGTCATTATTCGTGCACCCTATCGCCAAGCAATGGTGTCACGATGACCGGGGGACTGTCGCCGTCGGAGCCCGTGGCTCTAATTAAGTTTGCGAGTTTAAAACGGAGAAGAAAGCGCATTACATACACCCAACACCGACGAAGCCTCTCATCCATCCTGGACTTTCACTCTTTCTAACGACCCAGCAAGGGGCAAAGCGCCGGTAGCCCCTTTTCCCTTTTCTCTCTCGCTCTCAAAATGGCGCTACCCACGATAATACGGTCTATACAAAGTCGAACAAGCGAAAGTGAATGTCCAAAAACCGAAGATGTTCAACTGTCGCAGCCGCCACGAATACCTACATTCTAGTTTCAGGAACATGTCTGCCTTGAATTCGTTGTAATTCCGCACCAAAACGAAGTCCACCTCCTAAAAGAGGAGACCAAATAAACAAATGAGCGTTTGTATAGGAAGTATTTAAATTCACTGGATCCTGGTCAAAGTACGCCATTGCCTTCCCTGCCTGTTAGCAGGACACATACTTGCAAGGGATTGGCTGATCGATCTCTTTTGTCGTAGAAATCGCCATTTTGGTCCTTTCAAATCTTCGAAAGGGTCGTCCTGAACAAGCCTCGCCAAGGTCGCTATGCGCCATCTTGCTGAAAGCATTCCTCGCCAATATAGTATACGCGTCTTTGGCGCTGTGTGTTTTCAATCAACTTATTAATCGATTATTTACGTGTATATTTTACAATTATATTGTTTTTGTTTTGTTGTAGTTTTGCGTATTTTAAGAAAGGAAATTTATTTTTCAGTGCCGCCAAGCATCGACGCCATGTGTGGTGGTGGTACGAAGTTGTGCGCTTGTTTCGCCGATCTGTGGATATGTATACACCAACTCATGTTTACAAACAAACCGGAGCGCCCCTAGCGGACGCCACCGGCGCCGCGCATGCGCGATGGGGGTGTGGGCAAAAAGCTCGCCGTCGCTCATAAACAAACCATTGAAATGCGATGTTGTCGGCGTCGGTGTGAGTCCCCCTGCCCTTTTTCGCGTTCGAATTGTTGATTCTACGTCTTCTTGGCGTTGTCTGACCACTTGAGCGGCGTCAGCGAAATTACCGAGGCTCGTTACACCGCGAAACTTCGCGTGAATAATGTGACATGTGGCGATGCATTCCGCGTGGACGCCGCAGTATGTACGATAAAACCTGATTCGCATGATGAGATTTCGCTCGCAATTTTCAGTCGCGACGCCGCTCGGGCTGCAAAAGCTTGTACCGTAGCTGAGGTAGTCGACGCCGATACTGAAAATCGCAAGTAGAATCGGACTAAGTCAATTAGGCATAGCAAGTCAGTGATGGTCACTCGTTACAATAATCATCTCCTTGTATTTACTGTTTACATCGAGCCTACTTACCAACCTTAAAACTTAAGTCTTTTGAGGCCTGCACTTCGTATAGCAAGTACCGGGTCAACATTTAATCTACGGCCGGCGTCATCTAAGAGAGCAGACGACAAGCAGAAACGTTTGAAAGAGCAGACGACAGTTCGAACAATCAGGCGGCCGTTTGAGCTTGAAGACGCACTGAACGTAGTCCACAGGTTGTCCGCACAGCTTGACAGTTTTCTGGTGTTCATGTTGGAACAAAATAAATAAATCTGATGACCACAAGTGTCCGTGAATTCAACCCAAAGTGCTTCCCGCCCAAGCAATCGTTGTCCGACGGCGTCTGCTTTTCCCTTTTCACGGCACATATACAGATTCTCGGACGAACCGAGCACGTAAAAACTGACCTTCAAACCTTTCTCGACACCTTTGGTACGGCCCCAGTCGCGGCGTTTTGACGAGAAGGCAGGTTTTTGTCTGGTTCCTTTCAAAACAACGCAGGAATACACGTCTGGCATGGGGACTTCTGCCCACAGTCCCAGACCGGAAGTGCGACCGATGCGCCACCACCGCGCCGTGACGTCACAGAGATGAGTTGGTGTATACATATGGGTGTACAATAAATGTCTTTATATATGAAACTGTCACCTCGAATTTGGATGGGCTCACCAAGAGTGAAGAGGTTCAGAAAAGACTGATCATTCCATGGATTAAAATGGCGACCATACGATGAGCTTGGCGCTGCTTTTCCAGGATCCAGTGACATGAGGAGCATTCATGCACCGGCGGCACTTTCAGCAGCATCTTTCGCGCAGGAGGACGTGCTTTTGCGAGTGGCTTCGCTATCACGTAAAGTGAAACATACGTGCTCGCGGAAGCTATGAAAGAAGTCAAAGCTGAAAGGAATGTTTAATGGGACGCTGCGGCCCCGAGCTGCATAATTCTTTTTTTTATTTTTATTTTTTAGAGGTTTTGTTATCATGCATCTTCAGATGCTTGCATTCGAAAGTGGCACGTGCAAAATGGAACGTTACAGAGCCACCTGGATGGTTCAGCCATCATAACATGGTCGCGTCTTGCGGATGCGCTCGCGCCCCCTGCCCCAGAGCAACGGGTCTATTGCCGCCATGGAGGCACGAAACTGCTGGGGTCAGCGAAGAGTCAGTGTCTAATCAACGCGCGTAGTGCAAGTAAGTGCCAAGTTCTTCGTGACATATGGCGCACCTAGAAGACAATTAAAAAAGAAAATTGAGCAGTCTTATGACAATCCACAGTAGGGTCACAGCGACAGCTACAACACGTCACAGGGAAGTCGCTGGGCATCACCGTCGCGTTCTCGCACCTTGGGGTACGTGAAGGAAAGCGTTCTAGACAAAATAGACGTCTGATCATTCTGTTTCGAACGCTTTTGTGTATTTCTTGTACCGTAGCGCGTGATAGCGCGTCTCCCGGCACCAGCTCTTGGTATCGACAGTGCTAGAACAGCATTTTGTTATCGGCTTTTTTTTTTTCTTCACAGAGAGTGCGTGCAGTGGGCATTGTGTTCTACCATAGCCAAAGCCTGGAAGTTCGACGAGGCAGCCATAGAGTGCACGGTCGGAGATTTGGAGCTCGAGGATCTGGTACCACAGAGCATTTCTCGGGAAACCTGGACGTGGGCGCACAGCTTTTGCAGCGGCGAGGACCCGAAACATGGTCTTCAAACCCAACGAAAAAAGAAGCGCTAGCGCGAGGAGCACGAGCGGACATTCCATCGCTCGGGAGAATTGTGTTTCGGCGTCTCGCCGCAGCGGGGCGCCCGTCACGTGGCTCCCCTCTCATCCGTTCTCTGCCGCTCTCTACCTTTTCGATTTCGGCGGCCGCTTTTCGTGGCGATCTGCCAGGCTTTGTCACATGTCACGTGGCTCTTCTCTCATCCGTTGTCTGCCACTCCACCTTTCCAATTTCGGCGGCCGCTTCTCGTGGCGATCTGACGGGCTTTGCCACTATAGAGGAGGTTATGGTACGACAAAAACCCCAAGTATAACGCAGTTTGTTAGCGCTGTGGCGTAGGTCTGTGGTAACGCCTTCGCTACGCGTACGCAGTGGACCCAGATTCGATTCCCGCCGGCGGCGAACGGCGGGCGATCTTCTTCAAGGATTTGGCAACCTCGACGACGGATGCCCTGCATACGCCAGCTGCAACAACTACAACATCAACAACGGACGCCATTTTCAGTATGGGAAGAGCCCGTAACAGATATCGCTGTAAAATAAGCATGTCTCCCTTAGAAAAGCAAGGGAAACCGGGCCCGCGACAGGCTGCCATTAGCCACAGGTCGAGGAGGCATCCGGAGGCGCTGCTTGCAACCAAGGTGAGGAGAGGACTCTTTTTGACAGCTGCAGCGCGAACGGACTCAGTACATATGTGTACCTTACACTGTGACACCACCACGTGTGGCCACTGACGGGATTAAAACGACAAGGAGGTCCTCTTTTGGGTGTCTTGCCTCCAGCGCGTGCTTCGTCATCTGCATGGTGAGCCTCTAGCGAGCACGCGCAGCTAACGTATACGAATTACGGAGGCAACGCGCGTGCTTGCTGAAGTCAGGTTATCGGAAAGAAACACTCTGCAGTTTTCATCCCGTCAGTGACTATGGTTAGTTTCAGTTTAGGCGGTAGCCAAGCTGGAGCTAGAAGCACGTGCACGCTTGCACTGAAACGTGCCTGACGGGAACGCTGCAGAAGCCCGGAGCTTGCTTTTATAGCTATTACACGCGGTATATCACCTTCGGGCGAAGTGTACAGCCCCCGTGGAAACAATTTTAGCTCGTCCTTGGTACCACGTGACCCAACCAAGCAGCAGCTCACACGGGTTCCATCTCATCCGCTGATTTAGAAGAGTCATTGGTGTACAGAGCTAGGCTTTGAGTGTAGGCACTTCTTTTCCTTCTATGCTAAATACAGCAGTTACGGGGATCATGTGCGCATTGGTCCCGTGACGCTTGTTTAATATTTTTAGTGTTGTGTGAATATTTGAATTTTCGAATAGTAGTAGTTTCGAATAAAAGGCTATTCGATATCGCTTCGAGATGAACTCACGTGTTCGTACTTTACGAAGTGTTGATTGCGGCGAGTTAGCCCCGTTTAGTGCGCATTATACAGCTCCTGTGCACTGCGGAGAGGCAATACCCACGGGGCTCGCTTGCTCTGCGGGTATCGTTTCCCCGCAGTGCACAGATGCTCGGTGAAAAGCGAACTCAAGCGGGTTTTCACGCCGCGGTTATGCAAGAGTGCAACTTAGGCAGGGATGTCTTGACAACCCGCGCTCATCATTTGTGCTTGTTTTTTTTTTTTTAGTTTTTTTTTTTTGTAAAATTTGATATTGAAGCATATTTGCACAGAGCAAGCATATTTATAGATGCCATCGATAAGGAAAGCTGCGACAATTTGGTTGTTTACATGCCAAAGTTCATAAACATAAATATACTAATTAAAAGAGCTTAGAAGTGGACAAGTGGAAGATTTTGAACATTTTTCACTAGTTCAGCTGAATTTTTGTTTAATCATGGTACTTGGGAAAACTATTCGATTTGAAACGATTCGGCCAAAACCATTATTCGGTTTGAACTTAAATTCCAATATTCGCACATGACTATTTCTTTTAAACCGGGTACTGATTCTCAAGACCTATAAGTGCGAACGTAGCAGAGGATACAAGCGGGGGCTCAGTGTTTTAAGCGTGCACGCGCGCTCGTGTCTTGAAAGCTTATGATGAACTAGAGCTCCCATAGATATTGCCACACCACCCCTTATCATCATAACCGCACTGTGCTAAAAAGTCAAATTTGGGGGTTTTACGTGCCAAACCAACGACGGGCATCTGGCAAGCCCCAGTGGAGGACTGAGGATTAATTTCGGCCACCTGGGGATCTTTTGACGTGCAACCTAAAGCTTGGTTACACGGCGCCTTCTCCGCAATAAGCCTCCGTCATATTGCGGGCACCTCGGTCGGGATAACCACACTTAAACTGCTAGCGACTAAGGCATAACCACTCACGCGCTTGGTCTTCTGGTACAAGGTTTTCACGTCACTGATGGTGTGGTTGGCTTGTGGCACGAGGCCGTTGAGTCCCAAGGAGACGTAGAAGTTGGTCACTAAAGCGCAGAACAGGGCGGACCTGCTCGTCGAGACAGCAGAAGAAAAAGATGTGCGTTCCTATACTCATACTTTAAAATTTGAACGCGGAAAGAATTTGCAGCTTGTCTTTTTTATGTTGTTTATCTTGGCACAAATGAGAGAAAACGTGCCGAAATAATTAGTATCCACTACGTAATCGCAAATGAAAAAAAAAGTGATTTTTTTGTTTACAATGTGCAAAGAGAACGCGATTGCTGTAGTACGTTCACGCAATGCGGGCAAAATGGTGTCGGCACGTACCGCAGGACGGAGGTGCTAGGTGGTTAATGCACATGGCCGTCGTGGTAAGCCTCGTGGAGGTCACTGACGAGTGCCACGAGTGCTCGGTGATCGGTAAAGTAAGTGGGCAAGGTGAGACACTGGATGCTCGGTAAAGTAAGTGGGCAGAATGACCACCAATCTCTCGTTGGTGGTCAGTGTGGGCGCGACGCCTGTCGCGAGCTGCGGAAGTCAGCCGTTCCCTCCGCGCTCGCTCCTGGGCGACGCAAGCAAAGGTGCAGGATTTTCCAGTGTTGTTGAACGGTGAAGAAAAGGGGTAATGCTGACGTTCAGCGATCAGCGGAAAAGGAAAAGCATGCAGAAAAAAAAAAAAAAAAAGGCGAGGCCCTACGGGGAAAGCGGGTGGTAGGTGACGAGTTGTGGGCAGAACATATTTTACGTTTCGAGTCGGGTTCGAAAAATAGAGATTTTATAGTGTAATCGAATGATGTGGAGGTTTCGAAAACTCTTCAACATTGCGCGTAGCGATTGGATACTGCCAAAGTAAGACTCCGTATAACACGAGTAATGTTTGAAAACACCTGTTTGGACGTTATCGTTAGTAGACGACAGGGGAAGACGCTCAGCTGAAGCTTCCTGGTCGCCACGTCATTATTGACGGGTCGTTGGAGCTCTTTTTTCGTACAACTTCGCGCGGCGCGGGCAATGGAAACACTCGACTTCTCTCTCCTCGCGCTTCCCAACAATTTATTAATCCTTAAAGGCCCAGAAAGCATTACATGGGGGGATGAATGCATATATAAACAGTGCACCAAAGCAGACTTAACAGATAATTAGGAAGGCGTTTTACATTGAGTGGAGGTTACAAATATTGACAATAGTTATTTGCACTGCAGATATTCTATTTTCACAGAATGAAACATCAGTGAGTGTAACAATAAGGTCCACACAAATGAAATAAAGAATTTGCAAGGGTTGTTGGTTTTGTTGTTTTTAATGGGCTTATGAAAAAAAAAACTGTAAGCTTTAGATTCCACACTTATGTGCCAGGCTAGCTTGAAGACAGGCTGCTTTACATCAAGTTACACTCCCATGTCTACTATACTAAGAAAAATATAACGAGCTATTTTGTTTCATAAGGATCCAAGCCAGTCAGTCGAAGCACATGTCAAGATAATTGAAAGCTAGATTGTCTGTTGGATATGAATTTATAATACGCTATAAAGCCTCGATAATGACACCTGTAAGCGAAATCGGGTGCCAATTGTTAAGATAGGAATTATCACCGTTTCTAAGCATCAGGACAAATCCAGGCAATTTTTAAGTCGCCAGGCATTTGTCCGTGATAAAGTGATTTCGTAAAACGCTCAGCAAACAATTATACAAGCTTGATAATGCTGAAAAATACTACTAAGCACATAATGTGTGATAGGCCTTCCAGCGAAGAAGAGGAAAACGTCTAAACGGCACCGCCTACAAAAAGGGGGGAAAAAAGAAAAAGAAAGCTCAAAGCACTTGGCTCACAATCTCGAGGTGGTGAGTTTAAATCCTGCCAGGAGCCTGAAGTCTTTTTATATGGTTCTCTATGGACATACCGCTCTTCGCTGTCGGTTTGTATACAGCCGGCCGTTGAAGTCGGCTGTCACAGCCAAGCGTTACAGAACTGCATGAAAATCGGCGGTTAAATCGCATTGTCTATATCGCTGACTGCACAGGTCCAAATGCCTAATGACCATAGAGATGATCAGTGGACGCGAACACATATAAGCCCGCATTTGACCACACCAGGTGCAGGCTCTGCGCGTGCGCTCAAACCAGATTTTTGGAGAAGGGAAGCATTTGCGCATGCGCAGTGCCGACAACAGCGCCATCTCAGTGGCATGGCGTCAGGGGGCGGAATTGGTGCGTATACAATGAAAGAGCAGAAACTGCAACTCTGACAAGGAGGGAAACATTCCAAGTGGGAGTTTTTGCTGCTCACAGCATGACGACGATGACGAGGAACAGCACGAGACCGCAGAAATTTCGTCTGAGCGGCTGATCGGGAGGCCCCTCAGGCGGGACGCAACGGCCGCAGCATACGCTGGCAAAGCACCAGCAGTGGCAGCGGCAGCAGAACGCGATGGAGGCCAGGGCGGGAACAATGAAGGCGAGAAATAGTCCGACGCCAGCCAGGGTGAAGAGCCGAGGAAAGTTCTTGATGATCTGCACCACGGACGTCGCTGTGTGTAGTCGTCTGCTACGTAAATACCACACAGCAGACAAGGCCTGCGCGTGACGTCATCGTGTGTGGATCACTCGACGCGTCCCAAGTGGGAAACACGCTGAAGATCCACGAGAGACATGTTAATCTTGGCGTTGTCACGTGTTAGCGTCGTGCTCGTTGCGAAACAAAGACACGCGGGCGGCGACGCTGCGTGGATTCACTATTGTGATGACGTTGAGGAAAGGGGGGGGGGGGGGGGGGGGGTGAGGCGCAGGTTTTGTCTTTTATGTGGCACTGACTACTCACGCGGCCCTTAGGCGCTGTCATCTCGCTGATCGTGTATGTACAGTCATGATAAAAATAAAACACCTGCTGAACTTGAAACAGACTAGTGCCCTCGCAGAAATATTTGGACTGGATGGGAGGTTTATGGGCTAAGTCCGTATTTAACAACGAGCAACCTATAAATCTATAGGCAAGCGGACTGTTCCGCACATGTCCACCTCAAGGGTTTAGAAAGCATGGTGTTTGCTCCCTTTTCAGCTATGGACGTCAGACCGGTCAGACTAAACCATTTGTAGTAAAGTGTTGCCTGCAAATGAAAACCTACATTAGACAAACTACATTGAGGACAACTCCAAATTGAAGTATAAAATAAATGCTGTTTCTGAACATTTTAACGAAAAAAAAAAATTCAGGATACATCTGAGTTGGCAACCAAAGTGTTTCCGTGTTAATATGCCTTCCGCTAAGTTACCCAAGCACCAAAGAGAATGCTGGGGACGTAGGTACACGCGCTGTACGCGCTCGCCTATCCCGTTCAAAATATTCGAATTGAATAACCAAAATATAACGCACGTTCGAAATGAAATTTGTTTTAGATTTTTGCTTTTAAACAGTTGCCGCTACAGACGCCGTGCACCGCGTATACTTACGTTGCCGGCCTTTTCCCTTTGAATCTTGGGTAATTCAGCCAAACTTGCACGGGACTCATTACAAGTAATCAAATTACTCGTAATCGATTACTTTTTCGGGTAATTTTGTAATCAATTGAATACACTCATTAGGAAGTAATCACGAGGGTCAGACTTGTGCCTATCTCAAATACTCTACTCAAGATACTGTATTTCAAATATTTTTGAAGTATCTTGGTATCTTGCAAATACTGTTGATCGAGAGTATTTGATAGTCTATCTTAATTACATTTCTGAGTATCTTGTGCTCATTATCTCAAATACATTTTTTACATTACACCATTTTCCGAGTTTTTCGGTATGAAGTGGCGTGGGCGTGGCACCAGCAAACGTGAACATTCTTTCGAGCAACCAAATCCTGTTGTTAGCTCCGATTAGCCACGGTGGCTTTGATTGAGCTCTTGAAAACTTCGCTTTTTTGCCGATTTTGATTCATATTTCAGCCCAAAGCTCGTACAATGAAGGTTTTTCCCTTGCCTTCCCAAAGGCGCCTTTTGTTTCCTCGAGTTTCCCCAAAAAATCCTCAAGCAAAAGGGGTAGTTTTACGGAAGCAAAGATTGCCACACTGAGGCTCAACGCAGACCGGGAAACGACCTACGACAACAATGCAAACTTCGGCTTAAAAAAATAACAAATAGAAAATAAAAATAAAAAAGTAAACACACAAATAAGACTTTTTTTGCTGGTATATTTGATAACGCTACTGCAAAACGTCGAAGATTTTTTTTTTGAGTCGTTAGTCCGGCACTTATTGCTCTCGCGAACACTGTCTGTAAACGATCACTGTTAAGCAGAGAACAGGACAGGAAATGCACTGCAAGCTGGGTGACCACTCAAAATGCCAACAAAGCATCCCCCAACGTTGAGTGCCTTTCTGAACGCAACCTACTTGAAGAAGGTGCGACCACTGCTGTGGCTATTATGTGGGTCCTCTTTGTTATCCATTCACTCATATCCGTATCCCAAGTTCGTTTATAGTGAACTCCCCATATTAGGAATATGGATTGTAGTTGAACGATGCGTCTCAGGTGCGCCGCAGGACGTGATATTCATCGATGTCACTATTAGCGAGGCGCTTTGTCCCGTTTGTTGTCCCCACACCTCGGTGTTTACCCAACACAAGGCCTGTGCACATGCAAACAGGCCTTGTGAAAATGTACATACATGTCATTTCCTTCAATAGAGTGCGGGGCACAGTGTGATGTAAAAATACAAACAATAAACAAAGTGACGTTAAGCGCCGGATCTCTTCCGAAAGCAGTCGTCAGAGGATGCGAGCTTGATGCACTTGGGCTTCTGTGCTAAACTGAGGACCGTGCATGCTGTATTGTTCATGCAAGCAGGAGTGGTAACAAAAGAGCCCCTTTTCCCCCTCATCGGAGAACACGAACTCCAGCCGAACGCTGACGCCGCATTCGGTCATGTCAGCCGAGCGCTGAGTCATTGTATTTGTTGCCCCCATCCGTGTAGTTCTAAAGTTAACCGCTTGGGGCGCCACGGTCTAATCTCCTCCTAGGTGGCGTAAGCTACCGCCCGATCCAAGGGGCTCAGCCGTATTCATCCATCCATCCATCCCCAAAGCGACCTTTCTTTTTGTCCCAGAGATGTTTTGTAACATTATCAGTTTTACCTCCACGCGCGTTGCAGAGCGAATGCGTGTCCGAGCGGTTGCAGCGCTTGGCTCTCGCGCGGAGGCTCCGGGTTTGATTCCAGGGAGCGGACTCCTGTTTTTATTTATTCTTTCAACTTGACATTCTCGTAAGTTGAAAACCTTGTCGTCTGATCGAGTTACGAACATTCTACGCGCCGAACGTTCTACGCCGAATGTTCCAGAAATCCACGCGGGTAGAAAAGGTGCTCCGCTCCGTGTGACGGTCCAGTGTCAGTCTCGCCCCAGCGCTCGATCCTGCTTTTTCGCCGACATCGACGCTTGAGGTGCTAGTTTTTCTCTTTGGTTTTGGGCACAACTTCGCCCCAATAAACGTTTAGTTTCTTTAGTTTTTCGCCCCCTCATCATTTTTCATTCGTGACAATATGCTGCTCCTTATGCATAAAATAACCGAACGATGCTTTTTTTTTTTGCCGTTTTGTGTTGTGGCGTCTTAATAAACCATTCTGGTAAACCAGACATGCGCAGCTGTATAGTTGTCCTTGTCAATTACGTCGATACAAATTAAGCAACGCGGAAGTATCTTCAAAAGTAATTTAATTACATTTCTAAGTATTTGTACTCTACTCAATATACTTTACAATGAGAGTAACTTGAGTAGTATTTTAAATACTTTATGAAGCAGGTATTTAGTAACTTAACTTAAATCGAGTATTTTGTCCAACACTGACGAGGGTAATTTCATTAGTTTTGGAAGTACTAAAAACACTTATGACCATTATTATTTTTCATTCCTCTTTCTAACGGCGCCCTTTGTTTCTAAAAGTTTTCTCACAGGAATCCTGGAACCTAGTCTCCGAGAGGAGGATAGTATGTCGAGACCGGTTATAACGAATACGGTTATAACGAAATAGCGGCTACAGCGATGCGATCACGATTTCCCATTTCCTTTTGCACTTCGTTATAAACTAAGTCGGTTATAACGAAATAGCGGATATAGAGAAGTGATTTCCGATTCCCGTTGACTTCGTTATCACCGGTCTCGACAGTTATGCCAAAATTGGTGAATTAAAAAGATGAGTCTCATTATTCGGTGATTTTAATCCACTAATGGACAGCACAAAAGGCCAGTTTTCAAACCGGCTGAAAATTTGTCGTTCTGAAAATCTAAAGTAGTCGGAAATGTAAGGGTTACTTTTCAAGCAACGGTCAATTACTTTTCTTTTCAAGTACTTAAAGGGGCCCTGCAAGGACTTTTTTACTGGTTTCTAATTTGCTCCGAACCTGAGCGCACTGAACGTAGTAACTTAATGAAACTTTTCTTTTCTCAAATTTCGCTTTCTTTTAGAAGTTATAGGTAAATTAAAATTTAAAAAAAAAACAAGCAAAAAATAACCTCCTTTATGACGTCGTTGCTCGTGGCTTGAGTGGCCGTGAACTAGAGAAGGGGTAGTGAGCTCAGCGAGCGCTCACGGCGGCCGCACTCCGTGTCGACGGCTCGAGAGGGCGCCACTAAAGCATGTTCTGGATAGGCTGTATGAAGCGGGCAGCCAGGGCGGCTCGCATTGCATTTGCTGCGCGATTAAACACTAATTCGGCGTGACACTTCATTGGCAGCAAACGACAGCGAACACGGGGTAAAGATCAGTTCAGAACGAGAGCCACTTCGCGCTGCACAACCGCCAAACGGCCAAACCGCAGGTCAAAGCTGCTCGCCGAAGGTCTTCGGAAACCGGTCGGACCCTCCAGCCCGAATACGACCGCAGCGCCGAAACGTACATCCGGGACCTTTCTACGCTCGCCGCTCGTCGGCGCCTGATCCCACTACTCCTTTCTAGTATGCGCCGTCTTTTCCACCCCTTGGTGGCGGGTATGTCGACGGGTCATTTCTTGTTTCCGTACTTTATAAACTGCATTTGTTTCTTTTCTAATCTAAATTACTGAACAAAAACTACTTTCATAAATGATTGAAACTGCTCGCGCCACTTATATTTTGTATTTTGACTAAAAAGAAGCTTTTAGCGGCTGTGACCAGTAGTAAGCCCAGGACCAAAGACTTCACATATCGCGAGCTTTCGGCACCGCGGGTCGCCCCCATAGGTGAAAGAGGTTTCCGCGTCGTCCGGTTAAAATATGACGCACTGATATTTAGTTACTCTCTCCGTGCCCGTTGGCTTGCCCAAACCCCAAGAGATGTTGAAACCGTAAAAAAGATAGACGCTTAAATATGATAGCAGGGTAGACGCTTAAATATGGTAGCAATATAATTGAATACATTTCAACAAAGAGTAATTATAACCAATGACGTTTTTCGATTAACGCGCACAAGATTGAATATTCAACAAAAAAGTATATATATTGGTGAAAGCAACCGAAAGCAAATCATTCGGTTACATTAGCATCACGACGATGATGATGGAAAAAGAGAGGAAAGTGAACGGCACCGCTTCGCCACGGAGCAACTGTGACGAAGGTTCGCTCGCATTTCTGACAAACGCCGTGAGGTGGCGTGGCATGAAAGGGGCCCATGAGCGCCTATCGAGGAGCCGTCCTTATTCACAAACACGTTTTCAAGGCCGAGCGGCACGCTACTGCGCATGCGCCAATATCCCAAACGGACAGTGCTCCTGCCGGAAGACGCGCGCAGCCCAAGCGAACATTTACCGTCTTGGCTGGCCTCGTTCGGACAGCGCGCTGTCTTTTTCCAGCGTGATCCAGATTGTTGCTAACCTATCGCGATACACTATTCTTCGGAGGCTGCTATTTCCTCTCCGTAGAAAAGAAATTCCTCTAAAATTTTATACTAAAGTACGTTGCAAAACATTACTAAAATGATCAACAATGTTTTGAAACGCATATTGTACCGTAATTTCGAAATGTTTTTAAGTTACGTACCCTAGCCAGGTTGTCCTTGATGTGCTTTTTAGGGTCTTCCACTATGTCACTCTCGAGCAGCGCTGCGAAGAGATACGAGCGGGCGTGTTAGCCTCTGCGCGGGTCCTCTACCACAAAAATTTTCGAAACAAATCGAAAGACTGCCGTAATCTTGGTGTTTTTGTGCGCCTCCATCTCTATCATAGCCTTGACTTGCTCATCTTCGGACCCCGGTCCCCTCCTTTACACCCTCGCAATAGCCTAAGAAAAAAAAAAAGAAAAACGACAGCAGTACCTGAGGATAGTTCAATTAATTCAAAGGTGCGTACGTTTTCAGCTAATACTACTTTTGATAGAACCATATGCCACTGAACAAAAAAAAAAAAGGAAAGACGTTTACGATTTCTTGTAATGCCGAATTAGAGCGCAGCTCTTGCGGAGGAGGAGGGAAGGGACGGAGAGGAGGCTATCCTCTCCTCTTTCTCCGTACCCTCTCCTCTCCTCTCCTCCTCCTCCTCCCCTTATCCTCCCCCTCCCTCCCTCCTCCCTCGTGACGTCACTCGTGAAGGTCACTATGAAGGTCGTGATTTTCGTAGGGACCTTCACGAGTGACCTTCGTGACGTCACGAATTTCACTCGTGAAGGTCGTGACCTTCTGACCCTCGTGACGTCACTAGTGACCCTCATGATGTCATTGTGGGAAACGTCCCATAACGCAACGCGTGATTACTGTGACGGCGACGCCACTCAAGCCGGAAACACCTAAGAGCCTAAGAGCTGCGCTCTAAAAAAAAAAAAAACTGGATTAAATTCGTAAAGATCGTGCAGGTAATGTTGAAGTCCAGAAGATGAAGCCAGCAGTCCGGATCAAGCCAATGCGGCCTAGAAGACGAGGTCGGCTCATGACGTCACAGTTCGTGGATTCCCGACCCGTGCGGCGGCAAACAAAAGCTGAAGCTCAACGGGAGTCGCCGCGCTCATCGTGAGACGCTTGGATTGGATTATGTTGGCTCTTCCCTTTATATCGCAAGATGCGCTGGTGTCGATGCTCACGCAATTTAGGCGGCGCTGCGCGGATCCACTAGCGATGACGTCTAGGGGGTAAGGCCTTGTCTTTTAGGTGGTTTTTATACAGCCGTTTGGCTAGATTCAGCCCTCTGGCTTGATCCGGCCTCCTGGTTAGGTCCAGCCCCTTGACTATAGATCAAGCCCGCTGGCTAGATCCGGCCAGCCGGATTGAGTTGGCCCCCCTGGCTATGATCCAGCCCGCTGGCTTCATCCGGTATCCCTGGCTAGATACGACTCGCTGGCTTGATCCGGACCCCTGGCTAGATCGGACCCGTTGGCTTGATCGGGCACCATACCCCTGATTAGATTCGGGCCATTGACTGAATCCGGCCCTCTGGCTGGATCCGGTCCGCTAGCTTGATCCGGCCCACTGGCTTCATCCCCCCCCCCTTCTCTAGCTAGATCTGGCCCGCTGGCTTGATCGGGCACCATACCCCTGGTTAGAATCGGGCCATTGACTGAATCCGGCCCTCTGGCTGGATCCGGTCCGCTAGCTTGATCCGGCCCGCTGGCTTGATCGGGCACCATACCCCTGATTAGAATCGGGCAATTGACTGTATCCGGCCCTCTGGCTGGATCCGGTCCGCTAGCTTGATCCGGCCCGCTGGCTTCATCCCCTCCCCCCACCTTTCTAGTTAGATCTGGCCGCTGGCTTAATCAGGCACCATAACCCTAATTAGAATCGAGCCATTGACTGAATCTGGCCCTCTGGCTGGATCCGGTCTAGCTTGATCCGGCCCGCTGGCTTCATCCCCCCCCCCCCCCCCCTTTCTAGCTAGATCTGGCCCGCTGGCTTGATCGGGCACCATACCCCTAGTTAGAACCGGGCCATGGGCTGAAATCGGCCCTCTGGCTTGATTCGGCCTCCTGGTTAGGTCCAGCCCCTTGACTATATCGAGACCGATGGCTAGATCCGGCCAACTGGATTGAGTTGACCCCCTGGCTATGATCCGGCCCGTTGGCTTCATCCGGCATCCCTGGCTAGATACGGCTCGCTGGCTTCATCTGGCCCCCTGGCTAGATCTGACCCGTTGGCTTGATCGCGGGCATCATACCCCTGATTAGAACCGGGCCATTGGTTGAATCCGGCCCTCTGGCTGGATCCGGTCCGCTAGCTTGATCCGGTCCGCCGGCTTCATCCCCCCCCCCCTCCCCTTCCTAGCTACATCCGGCTTGCTGTCTTGATTCGGCCCGCTGGCTTGATCCGACACCATACCCCTGCCTATATCCGGCCCGCTGGTTAGATTTGATTGGCTGGCTTGATCCGGACCCGTGGCTTAACACGGTTCGTTGGCTTGATCCGGTCCCTGGCTGATTGATTCAGTGCGCAGGTAACACAGGTAGCCAATTCTCTGGCAAAGGCCACGAGCAGTTTTAACAGGCACTCGAGAACAACTTTGTGGCCTAGCTCCATGACGTAGTGAGAGGACAGGAATGGCAAGACAGGCGTCGCACCTTGAGGAACCCCGGACGGGGCGACGACTGACGTGAAGAAGCCCGATAGGGCGTAGAGGTTCTCCAGGCCATGGGGATCGGGATGTGGTGACGACTCGAATTCAAAGACGAGGTAATGCGGAGAACTGAAGCTGATATTAACCCTTTCCTCGCATTCTGCGTGGCGGAAAGCAAGAGGAGCATCGCATAAATATCGGGGCATTAAGGGGCCAAGCGCTTTAGAACTACTTATTTTATCTAGAGGTGAAGAGTTTAGGGGTAGCCCCTGCCAACTCTTTCCACTTTGGCAGAGCGAACGCGGGGTGTGAACTCGCCTCTTCACCAGCGTTCGCTTTGCTAAAGTGGAAAGAGGTAGAAGAAGCTTGTTCTAAGCAACCTGTCACCGATTAAAATGGCTAGAACAGAAAGTTGTGACTGCAGATTCTCCCGGGCAAATTAGGGTTGGGCGTCGATTAAAATATTTAACCCGATTAATCGCCACCTTTTAATCGATCAATTAATCGATTAATCGGCCCTTCTGATCTTCACAGAAAATTTTAAAAAAGTGTCAAAACTACCCGTTTTTCTTCTTACTATTTCGTTTTATGGCGGAATGTACAGCCTCGTTTGAAACTTGACGACGCAGTACCATAAGAAAACACGAAAGAACGGAAAAACATAAAAAAAAAAAAACTTTTAAATTCGTATTTAACCTCTTATTCGCTCTGGATGACAATCACGGGGAACGCTAAAGTGCTTTACCGTAGAATACAACTGTGCACCCTGTTAAAATAGGTAAATTAGTCCCAAGTAGAAAAGCAGGCATTTTTACTAACTTATGAAAAGCTTTTGAGCTTGAAACTGAACCGATTAACATATCAAAACAAATTAACCGCGATTAAGGCATTGGTCGATTGATCTGAAAGTTCATCGATCAACTGCTCAGACCTAGTGCCACTAAATAAGCTACGCTTCAGAGTAACGACACTTGGCCATATTGTGTCGTAAAATCATGGTTGCCAGTTATCTGAAGCTTTATCTGAAATCACAGGAAACGCTTTTCCGCCCTCCACAAATGTTTAAATAGTTCGTGACAGAGCAAAGCAATATTGCGTGACCTTTCCACAACCGAATCTAATGCTGACGAAGTCGCACTTTTGAATCATGACGATCGGCAGTTGCGTCTGCTCTGCATACGAGCCAAAATGGCGGCGCCCACAACAATGCCGGGGAACGGAGTGCCGATACTCTAAGCGCAACTCATTTAGTGGCTCTACTCAGACCTACATCAGATATTCACATCGGCTGGGGGTCCAGAAACGAAGCCGTGAAAATAGGTTCGAAAACACGCGATAAAGATCGCCAACAGTGAGGGAACACCCACTTTCGCTAGCGAGAGCCAATGGAGGGAGAAGAAAAAGCAGGCAGCTTGAGGTGAGCATGGTGGGGGCCATGATGACCACCAGGATCACCGCGGGTCCCCCCACCACGCTGACCACGGCGTGGCGTGCGACGGACAAACGGCCGGGGTCGCGACGCCGCCGGCAATTTGACACCGACATGGCAGCTGGTGTCCGACGTCCCCTTGGATGGTTCGATCTGCGGAGACACCACGACAAGAAGCATACTTGGGAAGTAATCCGTTATTTATTTATTTTTATCAAGTAATTTTGTAATGCCAAGTTACATTTTGGCGGCAGTAATTTGTATTGTAATTTTGTGACAAAAATTATTGGCAATGGAATACTTTAATTACTCGCTACTTTTTTTTTAATAAATATGAACGTAATACAGAAACTGGGGCAATATGTGCAGGCAATTCAGCAGCATAGAAATAGCAAGTTCAACAAAATAGAGTGCATCGTGAAGGGGAGAATAACCGAAAAGAAAACACGATTTTCTGTATGGCCGGTCACTAGAACAATTAGCAAAACGTGCAAGGCATATGCACATCAGAGAAGGGCTCTGATACACATACGGGAAAAAAAAATCAAAAAGACAACGCGTGGAGCCCATGCACTTTTCCCCGTTCGTGCATAAGCTGGCAGGGCATCAAAGCTACAGGCACTAAGGCACCCTAACAGGCACGAGACCGCAGCTTTCATACGTTGCGCTCACTCTTCAAAGGCCTGTTTCAAAAGTGAGCTTTCGTAGATCGTTTTCTTTTTTACCTCCCAATCTCCCAGCAGAGGTAAAAAGCTGCCACTGGGCATGCGCACCACTAGCTTTGTCTGCAGAATTCCAAAGACCATTGCCGGGTCGCCGTAAGCTGGTGGGCGTGGTTACAGCTTCCGCAGCCTTGTCAGCTAACAGGAGAACGCAGTGCGCCTACCTGTAAAATATCTTTCAACCAGGGAGAAAGTCCTCCTCGCCACCTTTCCCATTTGCCCCAGTGGAACTGCTTTTGTGGCTGCATCTTGGAGCCGGATAAGCACGGAGCTTATCCCGGCTCATCCAGACCCCGAGATGCAGCAACAAAAGGAGTCTCACCGCCCTCAAGTTAAAAGTGGGAGAGAGGAAAATCGGAAGGGTGGCGAGAAGGACCCTGGTTGAAAAATATTTTGCAGGTCCGAACAGAATATTTTATTTTCACCACGACAACCATAATGCGAGCGTATGAAAAATGAATAGCGTTGCATAACATTTTGAAAACATCACAATTGTTTCTATTGCTTTTTTGATAAGCGTACGGGAAAGGTAACGTGGAAGTAATCTGTAACGTATCAAGTAAAGTAATCCGTTACTTTTCACCTAAAGTAATTTGTAATGTATCAAGTAAAGTAATTCGTTACTTTTCAGCGAAAGTAATCTGTAACGGTAATCCGTGTTGCGTGTTGTGAGGCTCGGTAATTCGTAATTGTAGCCAATTACATTTTTCAAGTAACGGGCACAAGTCAAGAAGCATGACATACGCTGGTGGCTGTTTACCAGGGCCACAGGCAGATGTTTGTGCCGCCGACAAAATGAACCCAGCTTGCTTTTTTGGCGGCCTTGATCTCGCGTTTTCAACCGCACTATACCATCTTTTTTCTCAGAATGTCACCCAGCGGAAAATACATGGAGAGAGAAGAGAGCGGCGCCGGAGAAAGAGTCCAAACTCAGACACGAAAAAATAAAATAACGGACAAGTCAATTGTTCCATGTTATTTTATTTTTTCCGTGTCTCAGGGTTTATATTGTGATGACACGCCTTCCCTCCCTTTAGCGTCTTCTGACACAGTCATCTGTGATTACATCTTATACACTTCTGCAACATTGATCTTTACACCAGATGTCGCTTCTGCTTTTTTTTCTTTTTTTTTGCTAGGGCACGAAGACTGTTCGAGCTCGCCCGGTATAAAGGGAAAAGCCGCATCATCATCATCATCATCATCATCATCATCATCATCATACTTTTGCTTGCGGAGGAGAAAAAAATGCGGTACTGCGAAATGTATGTTGAAGAAGGTACGCACTCGGCAGCCAGAGCACCACAATGGCCGCTCATGTGACGTCACCCCTAGCCATCGAGCCGAGCAGATATCAAAACGATTTTTTTTTTCTAGCACACTGTAATTCGGTCGTGGGCAGTGTCCTCTTGAAAACCGACATTAATAACCCTCGTTTAGTTTTCTTTTCTTTTTTCATTTTGAATGTTGCTTTAGGGAATCGCTACAGCCTTGACAGCACGTGTGTTCCCGCGGACGTCCCCAGGATATCTAACGTCCCATATATGTCTTAGGCAAGACCATTAGATCATGTGTCGTCTGGGCGTGAGCTGATTTGCCATCAGTGCCGATTTCGTCATTGCCAATCGCAATATCTGTGCATTTCGGTGCAACACAGGACGAGCCATAACCTATCTTTAAACGTTTTAGTTGCCGCGGTAATAACCTATCCACCCGAATAATACCAAGGTATGCTTGGGAGAAGAGCGTGTTGGTTGATGAAGAAAGTGGATGAAGGTGGATGAAGAAACAATAAAACAATTAAAACAGGCGCAACACAACCACATCTTTCAATACCAGGGTGTCCGTGGATGAAAAAGACGTCAAATATACGCACCTGGGTAAGGGTTTTTCCTTTGGGGGCGAAGAAACTTCAGTCCAAGGACAAGATGAAGCTTGGGATGAACGTATTGTTCGCTCGCACGCTCGTCGAATAAGACTCGGCGTTCGTCTTCGTCTTCATCGCCTCCTCCGTGCACTGGCGCGCGTCTGGTTGAGCCATAGCCGATATCGAGGAAGGTAAGCTAAGAGCTTAATTTATTTTATTTTTATTCTGCTCTTTACTTTTGCCGCGTATAAATATCTCCATCTTTCAAGGGTGCAAAAAGGCATGGAAAAGGGTATTACGGAAAGTGAAGCGAACCCCTGCCTTTTTGAAGGGTGTTCGCCCAACATCACCTCCACCATGGATGCCATTTTGCTTCATTCTTGAAGGTGTATAACTTCTTTCTATGTATTCTACAGTCATAAAGTTAATGTTAAAGTAAATGACTGCTTTCCGACCATTAATGTCTCGATATTGCGTTTATTCTTAGTTCATAGTTTATTATATAACTTGTAATAGACCACAGTCGCTGATATTAAAGAATTTTTTTCGCCACTTTTCTCGCAACGTCCCAATGTCCATTACAATTTAAGTAACCAGTGTGTTATACAGGGTGCTTCACAAAAGGTGGACAAAGTCGATATTGCGAAAACTACTCACCATACACAAAAATAAAAGGCTTGTGCGGTTTGGTCCTAGGCCAAGGGCCTATTTATGAAAATTATTAAAGTTCGGGATAATTAAATTGTTAATTATTTTGGCGTAATTAATTTTTTTAGATATTGAATTTAAGGGCGCGGTTTGAATTAGAATCTTGCTGAGCATCATCGAAAAACACTAAATCAACAAATTTCAAGACAATAGAAGGCATGCGCTGTATTTTGCGGCTTTCTAAAAAAACCGCACAAATTCGACGGGTTTTTAAGTTTCGTTTTGGAATCGGAGCGCTTCTCGGCACCGACGGCGCCGCACCCCGTGGAGAAATAGTGCAACCAACTTCTGCTGCGCTGTCCTCGCGCAACGCGGCAGAGGCTGGTTGCACTATTTCTCCACAGGGTGCGGTGCCGAGAAGCGCTCCGATTCCAAACCGAAACTTAAAAACCCGTCAAAGTTGTGCGGTTTTTCAGAAAGCCGTAAATTACCGCGGATGCCTTAAATGTCATATCGTTGTGCAATTTGTTGATTTAGCGTTTTTCGATGATGCTCAGCAAGATTCTACTTGAAACCATAATAAACTTCATATTTAAAAAAAATTAATTACGCGAAAATAATTAACAACTTAATTACCCCGAACCTTAATAATTTCCCTTTATAATTCCCTTGGCCTAAGACCAAAACGACACAAGCCTTTTTTGGTGCGATGCGTACTTCTCGCAATATCGAATTTGTCCACGTAATGAACTGTACAATATAAACATTTCTAAATAAAAAATGAAGTCTAAAATAGTGTTACTTCCTCGTGCTATAAAAACGAAATCACGTCAACTAACGATAACAACGAGTACATAAAATTAGCGCAATGGATGAACATCCGGGATGAACGAATAGAGGGGACAGAGCGCTTTGTCCTGTCTCCTCGTTCCTCTGTTCGTCCTTTGCGCTAATTTTGTGTACTATGATTTAACCAACTATGCCATCAAATGATTTTGTGAAAATAACTAGACATTAAGTTACAAAGCATCTTTTGATATTAATTTTCCAGAAGCTACACATCAATAGATGTGTAGCTTCTGGAATCTGCAGTTTTGTATTAGCAAATACAGATAGCCACACGTGTTAAAGAATAGCTTGATTTGCATTTGTCGTCAAGTGCCGCTTGGAGCACCACGCGCGAGACAAAAAGGGCGCCAGATGGGCGAGTTTTAGATGCCTGGATGCCCGCAGTCAGTGAGCCAGAGATGTAAAAACAAGCGCGAGGCTGCGAGTGGAACACAGCTGCTCTTGAGCGCGTTCCAACAATTGACGCCGTGAAAGGGTTTCCGGATGTTGAAATTCCATTATGTTTGCAAATTCAACTGTTTTTTGTTGCGAGAGCATTAACTATCCCAAGGAGCGCAGCCAACAACGTCTGTAACTGCGAAAAAAAAAAAAAATTGCGGTGGCTTAGCACGGTATCAATTCGACACCTCTTGATTAAAAAAAAGGAGAAAAAAGGAGACGCAATTCAAGTAAATATGAAGACGGGACAAACCAGTTCAACGAGAAAACCTTTTATTGGTTTACCAACCGAGAAACCATTAACATGTTTCCCACAAGCTTGTGCCAAACAGGACATTTTTCTTCTCAATCGAAGTATCACCATTTTTTTGCATCCCTCGATCGTTGAACATCGCTAAATTTCGGCGTCATTTCGGCATCAACGAACTCGCTGTACACCTTAAGGACTACTTGGGGTGTAGCGCTACACACACTAGACTCGCCAGACCACCGGCATTGAAGGAAAAACATTAAAAACGTGAAATCCCAGGCTACGGTGCCTGGCTTAGACACCCACTAACCTATTGGAACTCGATAGTCACAACTAAGAGCGCTGCAACAGGAGGATACAACACTGTAACTGCCGTCTTTGTCAACAAAGGTACCACCAACACACATTGAGACATGGTCCAAAATAAAGCAGTCGGTCCTGGGCCTTTTTTGTGCGTTCCCGGCAAATGCCTGCGGATGGTCACCGTCCCGCCATTACTAAAATAACGAGCTCCTTTCAACTCTATTAGTCATATATAGCTTGTCATAAAGATCTGTTGAAAGGCACTTGGTCTGGGTTGGAATTGCGGCAACCTTATTTTCTGGGTCCTTGGAACCTCTGCAATCGCTAGATCGCCTCTGTTGCTAAGTCGTTGGATGCACTTTTTACCTCGAACACTTTGCAAACGAGATTTTGGCACGTAAACGTTGTTCCTGTGCTCGGCCCGTTGAACCGTCGGCATTCCTACACTACGGCGCATCGAGCATTGTCGTTGGGTGCTTCAACGCTCGGGCAGTTTGACGGCGGGTTACACAGGGGAGGAAAACTAATGAGCAATGAAGTTACGGTAAGATACATACGTGACTAACAAATTACAACCTCGGTGTTAAACAACACCAAACGGACAACGTTTCGACTCATGCGCGTCTTCCGCAGGCTACGCTAAGAAGAGATGCGGAGCATGGTGTCGAGCGACGAAGAAACCGCTTCAATGCGGCGCACCATCTCTACAACGTGCACATCTCCTTGCGGCGACGTTTAACAAGCTTCGACCCGAAACCCACGGCCGTTAGTGCTATACCATAACGAGTGTTAAAATTGCGAGGTCTCCCCCCCGACCCACAACGCAAAACTGGCCCACGAAACGTTAAATGAGCTTGCACCAGACAGAAACCTTTGGTGAAGAGATTAAAAAGAAAACACATAAAAATCAACACTAAGAAACACTGACACGCACAGCAAGAAAACTCGGCACTTTGTGGAGACCCAGATTTCACACGAAACGGGTCCCCTCCCCCCCCCCCCCCCACCCCCCAAAAAATAATAAAAAACCGAAACCGATTGCACCGCAAAGTCCGGTTGTCGGAATCCCCGGTCCCAGCTAAGGTTCAAACCCTCTATCTGGCAACCAATGTCACTCCACTGCGCGGACGTCCAACACTGGGTAACCCGTGCAAATGTGAGACGCGCGAAACTGTTACGCATCCTGCAGACAGCGTGAAACAGATGGCAGCAACAGAAGCCTCCTTAAACACTTGTCGCCACACGTCCAAGGTCTGAACGTTCGCGTAAAACTGCTTCCGCCCGGCTTCGGTGGCGGCAAAGTGAGTTCAAATCGAGTAAATCGTTGTTGACCTCCGAAAATCGCTAGGTTGGCAACACTAGTCTTTCGAAGCAACGCACGGTGCTGTCTGTCGCACGTGCATCAATGCCACTGAGAAAATGTCTGGTGGTGGTTCTGTAGAACCGGGAGAACAATGAGGGTATTGGTAGAGCACAAAGCTTTCGTGGCAGTAATGCGTGCTCCGTGACAAAACGCACAACCCGATGTATACTAGAACAAACTAAACAGAGTCTTTAGAACACATTACCATCCCTTCGCCCAAGGGTACCTGCCCTTCCATTACACATGAACATAACTTATACAGAAAGAAAATCTGTTTCACCGCAATGCACTACACAGATTCAAGCCCCGCTAGACACCGTGTTTAAAATCATAAATTAGCAAATCAATATGTTCCATAGATGGCTGCGAAGCGAATTTGAGGAAACATCTAACTGGGAGCGTCCTCTAACACAGACGCAAGTGAACTGACGATAGTACGGTAGAAGATGCCGTAGACGAAGAACACAAAAAATAATGAAGATCTTAGACATTTGTCTACGGCAATTAACAATTCTCGCTGCGTCAGAATGTACAGAACGGCTTTCGAGTTGCGACGTTCCATGGCCACGCTTGTAGCAGAAATAAAAAAAGTCGTCTGCAATGTGACAAAACAGACACCCCTGGACTTCAAGGTTGTTCGACGCCTCTTCGGGTCCACGATTTTTGGAAGCGGCCGCGAAAGTAGTGCGGAAATCAATGTGAGGCACCGAGCTCCGCTGGTAAAGCACCCACCAGTCGCTCTGAAATCGAGCTGTGCATTGGCAGTTCAAAGAAATCTGGAGTCACTATGTGGACTGGGAAACGTCCCACAAAAGGAGCTTCCGTTGGGGCCGCTGTCTGGTGGCCGCCCACATGAAAACGCCGCCTGCTTCGCGACTATGTTTCCTCAAAATATATGCACGCCAGCAAATGGCAAACATGATGGCAGGAACGCTTCCTCATGTCCGTGGGTACCTGCAAACTTACGACATGACAGAAAGTGAGCCACGCAATCTCGTGCTGGAAATGTGATGTTTGAGCACCACCATCAAACCCTCACACATACTATATATGAAATTGTGTTGATCATGAAGCTGGTAAAATAGACTATTATTGGTAGCAGGATTTTTTTTCTACAGACTCCAGGATAAGCCCATAAACCTTTGCACGCCTGACTAGGCGGATTATACATTAGCAAGAGAGGATCAAATTTTTGTTCGTTCTCAGAAGCGGCGCGACCGTCCGTTCGAGGGGAAAACTAGGAAGTCGAGAAGGTAAAGATATACATACGAATCTCATTAATGCCCTTTCCCACAAGAGACGACGTGAGAAAAACTGTTATTTTTCCCGCGCTTTGCAAACGTCAAGACAATTCTGAGCACTACCGAGGTGAAAAACAAAAGAAAAGCTCTCCCCGGACCTTTCGAAGCGGATTTTTAACGACAAAGTAGAATCTTATGCTGGGAAATGGTCCCATGACATCAGTATTCTCGCCTGTGCTGGCATTACAAGCATACTCTAGCCTTCCTTCACTACATCAGTCTTTACTACAGCGATCCTGCCGCAGAACTTTCCCTCACAAGGGCTCGATTTTGCTGCGATTGCTAGCGCAGCTACAGGCGCGATATCTCGTCTGCCATGGGCACCAAAGAACATGATGAACCGAAGGCCCAAAAGATCGCCCTTCGATTGAGTTTGTTGCAGGCAAAGAAAAGCAGGACAATCTCTTCCCGTAAAAGCTCTCCGCTCGCTACGACTGTTGGAAGGATGGATGGATGTTAACGGCTGTACCTTCTATAATGGGCGGTAGCTTGCTCCACCTATACTGAAAACTAAAAACTCACGATTCCTCCCCTGCCCAATGAGCCAATTTCCTTTCCCTCTTCATTCTTGTAACTGGTCTTTCCTCTCTAGCGTTTCCTCCAATAAAGTGGAAACTGGAGGGCTTTGTGAGAGAAGCTTTTCCTGCTTTTATTAACCTGCCTATGGTTTCTATTTCTCCTTTCCTAAAAAAAAAAAGATGTAACAAATAAAGCCAACGGAAAAAGTTGTTTCAATATGACAGATGCCCGAAAGACCACCCCACGCTAGTAAATTTCCCTTCTCCTCAAAAAATAAATAAAAATAAAGTCATTATAAAAGGCCCCTTTCAATATGACACATGCCCATAAAGCAACCTTTTGCTAGTCAATTTCCCCTTTTGTTGAGCACACACACACACACACACAAAAAAAATAAAAAAATAAAGCCATCCTACGAGGTCGTCTCGCTGCGACGTCCGCCACGAGACCGCACTGCGAACGCGTGCCCGTACGACGCGGCGAAACGTCCTCACGTCCTTGGCGTGCGCGCGAGCTCCCTCCTGCTCACGCTCCGGGGTAGTAATACGGCGGCGGCTTGGCACCGAACTGTCCCGACGCGTCCCACTCCCCGCTCGGCACCCGCTGCGACAGGGCCGGTGGCATCGGCTGGTACCCTTTCCCGTACAGGGGTAGACCCGGGTCCCGCGAGTACTGGTACGTCGGGGCCGGGACGTAAGCGACGCCGGGGGACGCCACGCCCGCCACGGTGCGGTGCGGGGGCTGCTGATGCGCGGAGTGGTCGCGGTACTCAGGGCTGACGTCGTGGAGGTAGCCATCGCGGTTGTCGTAGACTCCCCTGCCCGCGCCGACGCCACCTCCGCCGCCACCGCCGCCGCCACCGCCCTGACGCCGCTTGCGGTTTACACTGTGTGGAAAGAGAGAGAGAGACATTTAGATGCTCCGTAAAGTTCAACGATCGGTTCGCAAAAGTATGATTAGATCCATTGAAACGAGGGATCGGTGGCCGAGCAAGTCGATGCACCGCGGCTCGGAGCACGTGGGACGAAAGCTCACGCCCCAGAACCCAAGATTCTTGGGCTCAATCCCCATCCCTGCCCGTCTCAATCTGGATGAGCACCGTTTGGCGCGCAATCGGGTATCGTTACTGCGCGATTAGCCGTCGTACTGCACTGGCTAAATTTCTCGTCCGCAGTGAAGACATTAACTGCCCATTGGGGCCGATTAACTTCCTCTTCTCTTATATGCACACAGCCGAATTCTTGAAAAAAAAAAGACAAAAGAAAAACATTTATTGAATGCTTTTAGGTATCAAAATTCTACAGCTAGTTTCAGAATCGTGTCACGGCGGTACAATCAATGGCCTCAAAACGGTGGTTCCGCACAATTAAATCGATTTGTTCCTTTTTGTTTGTTTGTTTCCACAGACCGAGGTTAGCGAGGCGGTATAACGGTACGTTAGAAGCAAACAATCGTAAATTAATAAAACTTTTATGAAGACTATAAGTCAAAACAGGCAAAGCTTGCAGACTTTGTTTGCCACGTCTGTAGCTGGGAGAGCTAGTACATGCTTTGTGAATAAAACGGCGCAAAAAAACACAGAGATATAGTCTCTGCTGTTACTGTGCATTTCTTCCACTTCTCCCTGTGCCCTTTTTGCACCAATTTATTTCCCCGTCTGCCAGCAAGCAAGCAAGTCAGCATTCTCCTTTTTTGGATACAAGGACTTACGGTTTGTGATGGATTATCGGCTATAGACCTCTTCTATGTGGGCATTGCCATCTTCAATCGGGGAGCTTGAAGTATGCGGGAAAACACTGTTTTGCTCTCGCCACTCATTCCCGTTCTTTTTTTTTTGCTTTTCTATGTTTCTTTACTTGTTACAGTTTGTAATGTCTTGCCTTTTCTTCGTCCTGCATACCGGATATGTGAACTATGTGGCTAAGGATGAGGGTAAACAAATAGGTCTAGTACACTGGACGTAGGAAGTCCTAGCGAAAACTAACATGTCTACTACCTTTGGTTATTAATTCAGCAATTGCTCACGACTCCTGCAAAAACGCATAATGCATGTTTTTCACCTTTCTTTTTTTTCATTGCTCGGCTTTGAGGTTGGGATCGTCAACCAATCAGAAAGCTCCACTGCCTCTATTCTGCAGTTCAAGTGCACACCGAGGAGTGCAGTGCTCTGAAGACATCTAGCAGTTCTAGATAGGACAACCTGATTTGCTCCACGGGTGCAGGCCTGTGGCCGACTTTTAGCGCCAATATCCAAAATGATGAACTTACTTACCAGCACGAGGCCTTTAAAATACTGTAAGTTGCTCCTCATGCCACGTCATTAGGCCTACTTTTTGCCATATGCCACCGCAAGTTGCACCAACGTCTCTTTCGACACGAAGAAAGAAGAAGGAAAGGCTTCCAGGCCTTAAAAATAAAGACTTTCTCAAATTTGTCACCGACATCCCACTGTCCCTTTGACGCGTGTTTAGTGTATTTGCACGTGAAAGTATTACTGGAACATAACTTGGAATAGAATGAGTAGAAAGGAGGAAAAAGTAACAAACTAACAGTAATGAGCGGTTCATGGTGCCGAGAGCAACATTTCAGGCATCATGGAAGAAGTTGATCAAAAGTACATTTCAAATTAGTTTACAGCCCATGCTGCAGCAACATCAAAGCACTGCAGGGCTAAGCAGCGGTTTCCAACAGCAGAAACATATCACTGCGACAGACTGATGATGATGATGGTGCACACGACAGCGAGTTGGTTGATCTCCAGAACATGCAAGCATACGGACAATGAAGCAACTTGCGGCGTGGCACATGGCAGCATTGCAACGGAGAGGAACGGAAATCGAAGGAAGAGGAGATCAAGCTTTGAAGTGTGCCCGACAGCAGAACCACAGCAGGGGGGGCGCTGGACTGGTCAAACGCAGAGTTGGGGACGAAGTTTACGGAGCGCACCGATCGGCTTCTCGCCAACCCCCCTATCGCAGACCGAGTTTGGTGGTGCTGACTTTGGCGTCGCCATCGCCACCAACACTTGGGCGGTGGGGGCTCTCATTAATTTAAAAATAAAGAGATTAAACTTTCTTTGCTAACAATAATTTCAATAAAACGTCTTCACCGCGTCATGAAAATAAAATGTAATTGATCCGATATCTTCGTTTCCATTTCTTTCATTTTCGGTCTGAAACTAAAACCCGAACCCGACCAGGCGGCGGTTGCATGAGCTGTCAACTCGCCGGCGCCCGGGGCCTCGGCGCCGCAGCTCCCCTCTCCCAAAATTTGTAATGGTTGTATCGCTGCATGCAGTTTTGTTTACCCAAAGATTGTGCGAGCGTGGCTCTGGTCTTTGACGTTCCGCGCACCTGTCAAGCTCGCCGAATATTTTTGGTGCAAACCTTCACGGAGACTTTGTTGAGGGATGCATTTGACGCGGCCATGCCCCAATGATGCACAAACAGAGCAAAGGCCAAGACCTACAAGTTTTTTTTTCCCAACACACGACATGTGAGTTCGTACTTCCCCGTACTCAATTTTATTTGCTCGACGAATTTACCATTGAACTTTCACTGCCCATAGCTATTAGTCCGTGGGTAGGCCATACTAGAGTGCCTGGTATGTAAAGACACTGCCACTATACTGTCTGTACATAGTGCTCTACTGGATCCTAGGCTGGATCTGACTGCAGCATAACATAGCCGTACGACTTTTTCCGTTCCATTTGAGAAGCTAATGTGTGGAAATTGAAGGGAAAACTGACTGCTCCAGAAAGAAACTAGGCTTAAGAGTGCTCAAAAAGTTGCTTAGGTCGAAAACTGCGCCCGCTCTTCTATGCTGCGTTCCTCGTGAGCAAGACAAGCTTCTGGCATATTTATTTCCCTACCAAAACTACAGTAAAAAGAAAAATGCAAAAGCAGAGAATTGAAGCACGCCTGAAACTTACCAAACAAAAAACAATTCAACGTTACAACAAATGTAATGCGACGGCAAGAAAGAGTCGAAGGGCCCAGAAGACACGGGACACTTGCACAAAGACGCACAAACACAGACGCCACAGTTCACGCGGCCCCCAACAAAAGCGTGTTCCAGAACCCCGCGAAGACACGGACGGCGACAAAAAGACTCGAACAATTCACACGACGACGACAAAACGGACGCAGACAGAGGTATTCGCCGACGCACGCAACAAAAAACACGACGATAAAAACGAAAAAAAAAGCGACGCCGAAACAAACCCACAGTGATGACTGCTATAATCTGGGTTGTTGACTGGATAAACCCGCACTCCGTTATGTCCCGGATGTTTCGAAAGCCTGCAGAGACAGAGGCGGGCTTCAGGCAAAGGGTGCAGTCGAAAACGTGCTCGGTTCACGGCCCGCAGTGGAGGGACGAAGGAAGATACGGGGAAGCACGGTCCTTGAAACGCGTCTTTGATTGGTTGGTTTACCGCATCCCAAAAAGCAACGCCTCCATTTCCACCCGTGTTTAGAAGCCACACTTTCTCGTACAAACATTCGGGGCTAACAACGTAAAAAAAAATTAATGTACTCTCGCAATTGCATGCCGTGGTCCAGCGTGCCTTATTTCGGTCTCGATTGTCATAACCTGCGGCGTCCTCGGCGCTCGGGTCAAGCAAGCGCCGACGGTAGCCAGAGTTGTTCTTTCGAGCTGTTCGACGAACGCCTTTTCAGGGTTTGCGTTCGCCATTTATTTTGCAGAATTTCACCCCGACGTCCCTTTCGATGGCGACGTCGAGTGGCTGCGGCATACCGACGAGCTATCCTCGAACCACACGCTCTGTCCGGCACCGTACGCGCATCTTCTCGACTCCGTATTTGCAACCCGCCCCACATCCTCCGCGCTCCGAGGCACAGGCGACAGCTCGAAAGCACTAGCCCACTGCCCTTCGGTTACGGAGCACGCATAGACCAACTTAGCGGAAAAAAAACTTTCGCTTGGCCCAACTGGCCCGTACGGCCACGTTCGGAAATGTGTGGCTCTTCACGCGCGGGTGGCGTAAGACGCCGAATACACCAGTCGAAGAAGTGCTTCAACAACCGGGCCAGAGAGTGAGGGTTTAGTAGATGCCGGAGAGAGGGTTTAGTGTCGCCGGTCTCGGCCGAAGAGCAAAGAGAGTCGGATGCAAAACGAACCGCGACGCACGCGGGGGCAAAGACGGAGTTGACGGACTTACCGTGCAAGCGGGATGGTGTCGCTGTCCATGTAGCTACCGCCCGAGACGTGGTCCCTGCGTATCGATTCGAACGGCCCCGGTCAAAACGGCGGGAACGGTAGACGCGGCAGGAGCAGAAAATGTTAGTGGGTGATGCAAGGCGCGAGAAAGCGGGGATGCGAATGGGAAATCCTTAAACGTCGGGGATGCAAATTAAAAGTGCGCGAAACGTTTCGAGCGTTAGTGGGCATGTCCCAACCGGCCAGACAGACAGACAGAGGCAGCACCGAAAACGTGAAAATAAATCAAGAGAAGTTTGTTTCGCGACGACGAAGTACAAAATACTATATTAACACTCAGAAAAATGAGCGGAGTCCATTTAGAGTACGAACGGAAAGTTGGGTCCTTGAGACAATTCTACAACCAAGTCGCAACGCAAGCGACGCGACAACGGCAATAAATGTGGCTATAAGTGGCAATGAATGTTGCAACCCAAAATGGCTTCAGTTGGTGCGATGCAACGCAGCGACTTTAGAATAATGTAAAATTAAAATAAAAGGTACGAAGAAACGCCAACCGAGTCTGAAAAAATAAATGCGACCGTAAGTGTCAGTAAATAATAATAACACCGCAAGTGTCAGTAAAAAATAATAATAATAATATTCATGTTTATTTTGGTTCAGGAGAACCGCGGCGCCGCAGAAAGGCCAAGTGGCCTAAACCACGAAAACCTACGGCGCCGCATCTAATGACGACGTGATGACATTGCGTACAGATGACAGAGCGGTGCTGACGATGTTGAAATGAAGCTTGCGGGTGAGGGTGGCTGGATGATGTTACGGGTGATGTGGGTTCAGTGTTGTTTAGTGAGCTGCTCGCTAGGACGGTTTTCTTCCAGCCGGTCACGTGTCGTTGCGACCATAAGTCTATTGAGTCAGCGTCTCGCCGAGCAACGAAAAATGCGGCGCACGAACCAAGGAAAACGCCGAGGGAAGTCGACTTACGAATCTCCACGGCTCAGGGACTCGAGGATGGCCAACGAGGGATCCACCCTGTGGTACAGCGACGCCAGGCACAGCGCCAGGATGAGTGCCGGCACGCCGATGACCATGAATGCCCCGACGCTGAACCAGTATCCATTCTGCAAGATCCAATGCCGCAGAGCCCACACTTCAACGGCCGCAAACAGTCTATAATGCTTTCGCCGAATGTTTGTCTCGGTAGCATTCCTAAAAAATCATTACTAGTAAGCGCTGGCTTTATCTAAATGAAATGAGCAAAAATTAGCATTGTAAGGAACTTGCATTATAGGAATGTTAAAAACTACCCTTACTATGAAAAACTTTCTCTCACAAAAGAAAACACTGCCAAGCATATTGAAAAACAGTTTGAAAAATTAATTTGATTTCGCAACAAAATGCTCATGTAAGGGACAATCTGCAGCCAAGCCGACATGCTTTTTTTTAACCCTTCGACTTTCGTCACCGCACATATATGGTGGCGATTACGCATTTGGAAGTGTCCGCTCAAACGCGAAACCACGCAAGGTGTTGCTACTTGGTATGTCTATGACGAAGTATACACATTATATTCACACGGTGTTTCACTTTCCTGTGGCTATTCATCGTTATGAAATTAGACACTCCACGCATGCGATAAAAGCGAGAGATGACCGCTTCGCGTGTCAGGTGCTGTGGCGGGAGTGGCAATCGGAGCGCCTGCTTTTCCGATCGAGACTTTTAACATTTCTCAGAATTCAGAGGATGGGAGCTGACCATCTGACTGAGAAACTCCGTAAAGTTCCTCCGGTTCGGAATCCGAAACTACCGGAATGTCACGGATGTGGACGCATCGAAACGAAACCGAATGGATGTCAGTTGACTACCACTTTTGGCCTTCGATATTTCCGCTTGATACTTCTTAAACCTGCTCCTGCTAGATAATTACAGAAAAACCTCGTTATAACAAAGTTGAAGGAGCGGTTGTAATTATTTCGTTATAACCATTAGTTTGTTATAGCCAATGTCCATTTCTTCCAACTATTAGCAAGGAAGGGGAATTATGATTGTTTTGTTATATCCATTAGTTTGTTATATCCCATTTTGTTATAACGGGTTTTACTGTAGGAGAAAAACCCCGCGCATCAACCCGGCCTTCATTTTATTACTTTGGAATCTCAACACGACCAAGGGGAAAATCTCTCGGAAAAAAAAGCTCGATCGTCGGAGAGTTAATAAGGTACTCTGCGCCCTTCGTTGCGACACCATCACCCATCTCCCAATTTATGCCCAATGTTATCGAAGGCACGGGCGAAAAACGATGTAGCTCCATGAAATGCCTCATTTGTACAGACAGCTCGCGCAATGACACCGCTTTCAAAACCCGCGGGCTCGCTTCCGTACGATCCCACAACACTGCACGACGCTTCCCAAGACAGAAGGAAACAGAGACTCACGAAAGGCAGCAGAACATTGCTGCAGACGGCATTGACGGACGCCTGGTACACGGCGTACGCAGGCCTACAATCCCCGACGTGCTCCTTCACCTGAAGAACAAATGGCAAATTTATAACAGGTGCGCACATACAAAATTATTTGACTGCCAATCAAATACAATTATTGAAATTCAACTGCAAATTGAATTTGGATATTTTTCTTTTTTTTTTACAAATATTTTATGCCATTTGAGCATGTACCTATGTGTCAAGAAACCGCAGCTCGAAATCTTTTCTAGAAACATACCTACGGAAAAGAAGTTTTATTATGTGAAAAGATTCTACATGTACTTGTATTCAAGGGGAACGCTAAGAGGGAACAAACTTTTAAAAATCTTCTCAGATTTCAATTACATTTACAGTGTGCTAATATTCCTGCTGGAAACATATGCGCCAAATTTCGTTAACCTGCGTTAATTACGAAAGGAGCTATGGATGTCAGAAGATGAAAGTGCATGTGCATGCTTAGTTAGGGAAAGCTATTGTTCCAAAATTAAATAAGCAGTTGGCATTTCTATGTCATATGTACTGTAAAACCCTTTATTTTCGCGGCCCCTATTTTTCGCGAATCGGTCACAGATGACATAATCGCGACCACTAAATTTCGCGAATTCCAGACGCCTGCATTGAAAATCTTAAGGACCGAAATTTCCGCGCGCCCTTAAATTTCGCAAATTCTTCAATTCGTGAAATTCGCGAAAATTGAGGGCTCGCGAACATTAAGGGCTTTACAGTATGCTGCTTTAGGTAAGTCCATATTACGCAACTGTGAAGCTATTTTACTTTACTTTGTTTTTTTTAAAAGAACCGATATAAACATCACTAACATTTTCATTTTATTGCCATCCTTTGTCAAAATTAATATTTTCAGTATGAAGAATGATACAAATTAAAATAAAAAATAACGAGCCTACGATAAAATATTTTAATCCAGAAAACCGCCTCAAAGCAAACCTGCGTTACTATGCAACACAGAAACAACAGTTTGTTTTAAAATACCTTTGGCACACGAGAAATTTTCACAAAGCACCACCAAAACAAATCGGAGCCGCAGAATGGGAAGCTTATTTTTTGCAAATTTGTGTGAAGTGGGTCAGCTCTACCTGGCCCACACTGTATGCACATTTCTCCATGCACCACATCATGCTCTCCCAAGTTATATACAAAGGTTCATCTTGTCACCACCATGTGGCACCATCGAGAGAGACATATTTTACTTTTTGTCTGTCCGCAACTGTACGTCTCGGGTGCGGACGGCGGCGAACCTCACCTGACCCCTGGTGTGATTGACGTAGACGTTCGCAAACTCCACAAACTTGTCCTTGTACAACTCGGCCTTGTTCGTGACGTTGAGCGTGATCTCATCCAGTGTCGTCTTGATCTGGTCGATCTTCTCTTTGGCGAACACCTGCAGTTTTTTAATGCACGCAAACAAACCACTACTTAGCACTGGGAGCCTCCGGATGAACCGCAGATGCCGCAAACAGACTGCTCGTCTCATTTAAATAAGAAACCTTTTTAAATCGGGTGCAATGTTTTGTCTGAAGTACAAGCGACTGGCGTGCAGTAATTAGCAACAACTATTAAGAACTGCAATAGCTAGAATTAAGAAAAAAAAAAAAAGCATGGCACTACTATGGGATGGCACGGAGAAGACAAAACAACACTTGCATTGAATGGCTTTCCATCCATTCTGAGAAGGGTTTCCAGAGAGGTCAGGGCATCTTTTAAGTTTGGCTGAAAAGAATAAAAAGATATTGGTCAATCAATTCTGTTAATTAAGGAGGGACATGGGCCTAAGTTTCAAAATTAAAAAAAAAAAAAATTAACTTTTCAATTTTGAGGTTTTTGGTTTTAGGAACTAATTATACACCCTTACACTAAATTTCATAATCATGCGCCACATAGTTATGCTGATATAAAATATTTTCAACACATTGTGAGGCAGTAACAAAGTAAAGGAGTTCAATGTTTGAATGCATTTTTCTCAGTTCCACTTTTTACTGCAAATTTCATACGAAGGAATCTTTTGTTCAAAGGTAAAATTATTCTGATACCACAATCAAGATGTGCCTGAACTGAAATTTACTTGGGAATCGGGCTATCTACTTTATTTTGTTTTATGTTAAAGTCCTCACTGAGAAAAGACTATGTTTTCAAAAATTTACATAGGACAGATGTGCATCTCATATTTCGAGGTAATCACACTTCCTGAAATAGTATTTACATTAGAGTTTAAAACTAGATAGCCCGAAGTCCCACATCCCCCACTTTATATTCAAGCAGTTAAAATGATGCTTAATAGCTTCATTTGCATATCATAGATTTCTTAACAAAAAGTGACACATCTTATTCAGGTATGTAAAGTTGTCCTAGAGAGCTGAAAGTTTGCACAGTACACCTACATCTGAAGCTAAATCTCCCCTGCAAATTTCATTCCGATCACATGAGTAGTTCAGAAGTTCAACATATAGCCAGTGCCCCTCCTTAACATATGCTGGTTGCAAAATCACAAAGCATGAGGATACACACATACTTGTAATAGACGAGCACAAAACTGTGGTGTGCCTATATACATAAAATAGTAGCGTTGCAAAAATTTTTGTTGTACATAAAAAAAAAAAAGAAGTTAAATTTATGATTACAAAAAACAACTTCCAGCAAGTTTTGTAGACACAAGAAAAACTCTTCAACGAAACAGCCCTCCTCACAGAAAATGACGGAAGTAGTAAAGTACAAAATACCGAGTCTTCGAAGAGTAAAAATAAAGAATTATTAAACCAAACTTCAAACACGACATAGAAGTACAAACTTGACACTTTTCTTTCGAGCAGGCCACCTCGAATATATATACCCCAGCACATAGACCGCCAAGTCCAAACATTAATCCAGCAAGGGTCAAATGCGAATGACAAATGGTAAACAGCTAAACGTGCATTTATGTTAACTATATTAGTACTATGGTGCCTGGGACGTATCTCCAACTGGCCTGTTTAATTAACGCGCCTCAAAAAGTAGTCCCTTGATCTCTGCCCGACGACATCTTGGAGGGGTGGTGTCGTCGCAGCAGCAGTGACAGATGTGGCAGACGGAAATTCAGCTGCAGGTCGCTCTCCAGCTTGACAGTCAGCAGAAGCTGTCTTGCAGCCAGGAGTCTAGATGCCGCGACGAAGGTGGCACTCCCATTCGCTCCAACTTTTACAGCGAAGCTGTTTATGGCTAGGGTTCCGTGGATCTTTCGTGTGCAGAGACTAAAAACCCTACGCTCGCATCGCCGCACGCGCACGCCTTCCCCGTATAAAAGATTCGAAGTAAACAACCGAAATAAAGCGTTGACAAACACGCGTGCAAGATGCCATTCGTTTTAGGTTTCTGCTTCAGAACAGTTACTGCTGCAGACGCCGGCCATGTGGCGTGTAGAACACCATTCCCTGCATTCTCCTTGATGTTTGGGTAATTTAACAATAGGTCTATTCGGTAGATCAGTTATCAATAGGCACCATTTTCAAGATCAGTAGACTTTCGGGCAGATAATAAAGGTTTCTCACAGATTTGCCGCTGTGCGACCCGCGTCGGCCACGTCTACGCTCGCACCGCCCTCTCTTTGTCGTCGTTGCGACCGCTTGCGTGCGCTTGGGCTAGTTGGTGATCCATGTATGTGAGGTTAAAAGCGCTAAAAATAACGGACAAGTGAAAGAAACACCCTGTGTTGTACGTTTCTTTCACTTGTCCGTTGTTCTTAGCGCTTTTAACCTCACTTGCATGACTAGTTTCCTTTCCTTTTGCTCTCCCGGGGTGGCGGTCCCGTCGCGCGTGTCTAGTGTCCTCCGGCTCTTCGGGGTAGGTGTGTGTTGTGTGCTAAACAGTTTCACTGGTCATTCACCTTCACAGAGTGGAATGGCTGATGATATTTTAGGGGCGAAGCTCCTTAGAATCTAGCCTTGTATGTCCGGCGTCCCTGCTCACATCAATCTTGCTGGTGCTCGTGATCGTGCTCGTGAGCTCACATGCTCGTGTAGGGCAAAAAAAAAAAAAAAAAGATTAAAAAAAAAAATGTTTCCGCAGTCAACAGGATTTGAACCTGTGCGGGGAGACCCAATAGATTTCTAGTGCATCGCCTTAACCACTCGGCCACGACTGCGGGACGACTAGGGGGCTCTGAGATGTGGTAGTAACTCAAGAGCTGGGGATGTCATGGATGAAACGTCTATACAGGAGGGGGCGCTGCGGTCAAATGCGTATATAATCACGTTAAACTTTGCATGCATTGGCTCAACGCTAATAGACGAGAGGGCGCTGCGGTCAAATGCTTAAATGCGTACATAACCACATTCCATACCACACGTTCTCTTTCTGACATGGATGAAAACGAACGAAAGGCTCGGCATGCTGCGGCTCAGCGTCTACGCAGACAAGCACCACCAGAGCTTTGCCCCAATCAACATCATTCACCACGTAGAGATGCGGTCAATTTTTTTTTTTTGCTGAGAGTTTTAGCATATTGCAATGATTGCGACATCCGACAACACAACACGCCAGCTTCTGCGATGTTGATCGTTCCAGGCACTGCAATCTACACTACGGATTCGCTGACCAACGTAAGCCCACTACTAACTCGTAAATGATGTGCACACAAAAAAAAAAGAAATGGCTAACAGTCAGTTCTGGCTAGCCAGAAAGAAACGCCTGGTAACGGCCTGTTTTAGGGCTCGTGACTCGAGCCTCTCGAGGATGAATGGCTGTCGAACTCAACTCACTTTGGAATCTTCAATTTCAGCAATGTTGTCCTTGATCCTGTCAAGCTGTCGAATGACGTCGTCCAACATGCCTGCCACCTGTACCGAGAGGAGAGGGCAAGAACCGAGAACAAACTCGTTGGTAATTTTGTTTCGATGCCTGGGGTTATCAGACACTGCGGAGCTCTGTGTGCAACGGCAGGGGTACGAAAATGTCACGATTACGCAATGTGAATGAAATGCAAATGGTGAAAAAACACAAATGAATACAAAATCGGGTAGGGAAATTAACGACTGAGTACGTGCACGATGAAGGAGGTAGCCAGAAACAATCCTCAAAACAAACAAAAACCAGATTTCTAGCTTATAAAACAATTTTTTGGCTAATGCTGAAATGTGCCGACATTATTTCAAACCCTTTTTGCAAAATCAAAAACTAGAAAGTCGGGCAGGGTTCAACACAAAGCCGTTAAGTTCATAGTTAACATGTATGGGAGGACATCAGTTACGGATCTAGTCCAGCGGGGTGGCCTTCTATCACTGGTAGAAAGAAATCGAGTATACAGAGTAAACTTTTTACATTAAATTATTCATAGTGATATAATTACCTAATCATGATAATTATATAACATTTCCCAAGGACTATTCTTCGAGACAATAGCATAGGTAATACATAGTCCCATTTAAGTATCCCAACAATTGTTTTAAATTTTCAGGAAATTGGTGTTTTTTTTATTAAAATAAGAACACCGACTTCACATAACAGGAAAAACAACTTCATTAAACGTTTTGCCTCCCATGCGGGAGGCATCATCAGTACATACACAGGAATGAGAGAGCTTCGGTCAACGCAGTCCTATTTATCGGGAAGGTCCATATAAGCTTCCGGGAGGGGGCCACGGTTCTTGTTGCACGCCGTCTTATCTCCGCGGATGAACCATGACTCAAGTAGTTTGCGCGGGCCCCACCTATCCTCCTTCGCCAAGGTCGTCGCGGCTGTGAAGTCAAAGGTGTGTCCCGTGGTCCACGCGTGGTCGACCAGCTCCGTCTTGAGACGGGTGGCATTCGTGGAATACTTGACGTCACGTCGGTGTTCTTTCATCCTGGTTATCTTCTTGCGTCCGGTCTCCCCAATGTACGAAGAGCCGCAGTCCTGGCAGGGGATCTTGTACACAATGCCTTTCTCCGTATCCGCAGGGGTGGGGTCTTTTGGCTTAGACACAATGCTTGCTATAGTTCGGTACGGTTTATACACAATTCGAATACCTGCAGGTTTTAGGGGACGGCTTAGCGACTCAGACACTCCCTTAACGTACGAAATGCACAAGACATTACGTTCTTTGTCGGCTGGATTGGAGTGCGTTTTTCGTTTCGTCTGGTTGATTACCTCATCTACAAAGCGCCTGGGGTAGTTTCGCTTTTGCAGAGACTTTTGCACACGTGCGAGCTCATTAGCGCAATAGGTCGCGTTAGAGGGCAGAGTGTTTGACCTGTGAAAAAAAGTTCGTACAACAGACTTCTTATGCTGTACAGGGTGGTGCGAAAGAAAATCTAGAAAATTACCACTGTCACATGGTTTACGATACACCTTGGTTTCCATCCTGTTGTTCGGCTCGTCAGTTCTGATCACACAGACATCTAAGAAGGACAACATGTTATTTTGTTCAGGCTCGTAGCTAAACTTAATCGCAGGGTGGACGCTGTTTAAGGATTAGTGAAAATCATCAACAAAATTCTTGTCTGGGATAACGAAAGTATCATCAACATACCTACGATAAAACTTTACAGGAAATACAATCTCACCGAACACTTTCTCTTCGATATACTCCATTACAAGGTTAGCGGCAGTGACATTGGAGAGACTGGACGCAAGAAGATAACCAGGATGAAAGAACACCGATGTGACGTCAAGTGTTCCACGAACGCCACCCGTCTCAAGACGGAGCTGGTCGACCACGCGTGGACCACGGGACACACCTTTGACTTCACAGCCGCGACGACCTTGGCGAAGGAGGATAGGTGGGGCCCACGCAAACTACTTGAGTCATGGTTCATCCGCGGAGATAAGACAGCGTGCAACAAGAACCGTGGCCCCCTCCCGGAAGCTTATATGGACCTTCCCGATAAATAGGACTGCGTTGACCGAAGCTCTCTCATTCCTGTGTATGTACTGATGATGCCTCCCGCTTGGGAGGCGAAACGTTTAATGAAGTTGTTTTTCTTGTTATGTGAAGTCGGTGTTCTTATTTTAATCATGACATCTCCCGGCTTTTGGACTATTTTTGGTGTTTTTTGTGTGACATGGTTGAATAGACTCGACATGTTTAGTGCACGTCTCGTTTAACTATTGGCCAATTCGTCTGGGCCTGCACTGTACCCGTCCAGTGCAGTAAACTTTTTCCACTTTATACACGAAAGGCTGGTGAGGAGAGAAGGATGCTTCCCTCTCTTCCGTGCACCACGAACCTCACTGCACCGGTGCGGTGCGGGCCCAGACGAATAGGCCATATGTACCTAATTTTTTTCCCAATTTTGTTCAGAGCTCTTTTTTTTTTTTTTTTTTTTGTCTGGTATCGTTTTGTGTGATTTTATGCTATCTCTATGTTGTATACCTACTTCCTAGAATCTTCTTGCGAGATTGGTAGTATATTATTAAGTATAACTAAATAAAAAATTATCATCTTTCAAAATTTATGAGGGTGGCAGCCAAGAAATATAAATAATGTTCTGCAGGACCCAACGGTCGGTTTAAAACAAGGTGCACAGGGACTTTACTCACAGTTGTTGACTTGCCAGTCTTCATTTTTTCCAGTCTCTCTTTCATGCTTGGAATGCTGCCAGATGGGACGACGCTTTTGTCAAGCTAAAATGCGTTAAAAAAAGAAAGAAAAAAAAGTGCATTTTAAGGGGTGATAACAGGCAACGGGCCTTTCCTAAAAGCGCCAAAAGGAGGCACTTCTGCACGTTTACGTCACTACGAACTTCCGGCAAAGCGAGAGGACAAACGATCCCTCCCGTGGCACCGCTTTCCGCAACATTCGTGAAATATTTTATGACCCGATCTCCAGGTGGTTAGCTAAAGGATCGGCTAGCGAGATTTTTCGGAGATACTTTAATGCCCCTGCAAGACGACCAGTCTTATTTAACCGAAAGACCGCTTCAAAAGAATGTTTTTCACCTTTGCCTTGTAGTCCACGATCTTGTTCAGCACCGCCTCGAGGTCAATCTTCTCGACGTCCGCGAGCTTCGCGTCCAGCTCCTTCGAGACGACGTCCCGGAAGTCCAGCTTCCGCACCTCGTCCATGAAGGCCTTCGTCTCCGCGTCGAAGTCCAGTCTCTTCCCGTCGTCCAACAGCAGCTCGAACGAGATTTCTCCGCCCCCGCCTCCGTTCTTCGTCGCGGACCGCGTCACGTTCGCCACCAACTCCTCTCCGAGCAGGCCGTAGAGCCCGCGCGGAGTGTCGTGGCACTCCGCGAACCTCCGCACGACGCCGACCACGACGTCCGCGTTGACGTACTCGACTCCGCTGTGCTTTGGCCCGTCCTTCTCCGGAAGTGCGCGCTCGTACGCGAACCGGATCAACGACTCCGCCTCCGGAGATCCGAGGTCGAGCGCGAGGTCGCACGTCGACCGCTGTCCGACGATCCCGACGGCGAAGAGCACCGTCGACACGAGCATCGGGATGAAGAAGGCGAGGATGAAGATGGTTCCGCCGGCGGAGAGCCAGGATCCGCCGGAGCCGCGGCTGCACGACCCGTCGCGCGATCCGCAGCCGCCCCACGTGAGGCCCAGCACATAGGCGAGGAGGACGAACGCTAGGACGGCTGCGATGGCCAACGTGGCGTAGTTGTAGTAGGCCACGTAGGGTTTTGCAGTGGCGATCGTGTTGCGGACCCCCGACGCCTCGCGGTTGAACATCGACGGAGTCAGGTGTGCGGTTGGATCAATTTTGGCGCTGATGTCGGTCAACTTCGCTCCGGTGTCGGTGAGCTTTCTCTTGAGGGCTGTGTTGGGAGGGGGAGAAGCGACGGCGGGTGAAGTGCGGGTTGTCCCCAAAAGCAAATTTGCGTCTTTTCCGCCGCAAAAATAAACTATACATCTCTGAACTCTCAGCCTCCGCTCAGATGTAGCGTAGCTCATTGACAAAGTGAGGATGGCACGGTGGAAGGCAAAGTACAGTGGAAGGCAAAGCATAATGGAAGGCATAAAGCACGTGCTGGAGGCCGGACAATCGAAAGACGCGCCCTGCCGTTCTTATTCTCTCGGCGACTACTGCGGTGTAAACCAGGGGCTAGAATGGGGGGATGTGAAAATCAACTTGCAGAAAGTGTACAAAAAAACATTCTTACAGTTATGACTCTTTCCTTTGTAATCTGCAACTTCTTTTTGCTGAAGACTATTCTTAAGTTTTGTAAATAATATCTTGCAGCCCGGCTAGTGAAATATCACTTTAGATGGCATTTCTCAGAACCGCAATTTTTGCATACTGTTTTGCTTGTGCACTGATGGAAGCGGCATTTGACATTTTGTAGCAGGTTCTGTAGTGGGCAAAACATTGGTTTGGATCAGTTACTGAGTCTCTTGGAGCAGATGCCAACATCTGTTAGCACATCTTTCGAAAATAAAAAAAGTGATTGTACAGGTAAATGAGTTCATCTTTGATAATTACTGAGGGTTCCTCCTTAATACTGGAGCATATTACTTATTACCTTTTGTAATAAAAATAGATAGGGTGCCAAAGGAACACGGAGAATCATTTTTAAAAATAAGGCTCTAGTCAGAGAAAGTTTCATTTACAATGGGTACTGAAATATTAATAAAAAAATTAATCATAGAGCGACACTTCAGTAGGGTTAAAGCTTTTTTTTTTCTCCTCACACTTTTACAGCAGGTAGCTTATTTAGCCTGTACATATAAGTCACCAAAACTTCCCCCCCAAAAAACAACTTGTCTATGAACACAAATGCATCCCTTAAGTTTTATGAACCCAACCGACTCGAGACTTTAATATTATGAACTGCCAAAACAGCCACCCCAAAATATTATGAAAACCTACACTCGTGCAAGTGACACTGCTCCTTAGCGGCTTTGAAACCAGAGCAAAGTGAAAGTTTGTTGTTCTTCTGACCGGTAGCTGCATGGGAACAACCTTGAGTTAACAGCTATTTATTCAAATAGACACCCAATTATTTTTTTTCTCGGCTCAGTTGTTTAAAGGTAAAGATCAATCTGTTACCAAGACAAAAAAAAAGTAGACCCAAAATAGTCCTGAGCAGAATTACTGAGCCTATCGCGCAAACCCAAGCGCTCACCCACGTCAGCCGCTGCACCTAGCACTCCGGTGCGAAGCGGTGAAGCTCGACATGTGCGTGCTGGCGAGAGGCGGCACATGCAGCAGACACGATCCTCATCGGGAGTGCAAGACCCTGGATCGGTCTGATCCCAGTAGCCGCCATCCTACAATTTGGCTATGTTTTCTCGCAATTTTTACCTCCTCACATCCCCGACATCGCCTGGAAATTTAGACGATGTCGGCAATCGATTTGCCAGCGCATCAACCGACCGGCATGGTTGACGAGCAATCTCGATACTTGATTTCACCTTAAACTTTAAGCGCAGCCACTGCTACGAGCCAATGGGACTGACCAGCGTGAAAGCGCGACATTGTGGCATTCGTCTATCTTCCTGTGCGTAGTCTTTCATTGACTAAATGAATCAGGCGCAGCGAACGTCCCGTGACTCGCGCTTTTAGTATCTGTTCGTGGTTGTATGTTTTCGAGCCTTCGACCGAGCTCTGACCAAAGACGAAACTAACTATACAGTGAGTAGAGATGCTCTGAAATACATATCTGCTCCCCTAAATAAGAAAATCAACCAATAATAATTTTCTTTTTTGCTTTGCCCATTTTGGCCCAGGTGTGGTGCAAGTCTTAGCAAAAATGGCACTTTGGTGCAAGATGTGGCGGACTTTCGTTCATGGCGCGATTTGGCACAAGTGGTATAGCACTTCCATCACTGCACGTGAAGCCAATATCTTGACAACCGGTGCGACTTCTTTCATTCCGTTCGTTCGATTATACCCTCCGAGTTACGGTACAATTTGTGACATTTTTATTTTTCTTCAAATAAATTTATTTTTCAATTTATAGTGTGGTCATTCACCCGCACGCCATTTGTGCCCCTCTACATAAGGTCACAAAGAATGAAATCTGAAAACAATTAAGCGAAAAATTAAAGAATCCAAGAACGCCAGATTGTATGGCGTTCTTGTACATTGTACAAGAACGCCATACAATATGTTGTACATTTAAGAATACTGCCAGAGTCTAAAAAGACTTCCGACATATTTTCTAAACCCTCCAGGCTCTCCGTTAGATTCAAAGTGGAGAGACGTTGTACATGAAACAGTAACCGAGGTATGACGGCGATATTTCACTTGCTTCACCATACAAGCATTACTAACATTTGCGCAAATTTTGATCGGGATCCCCCTAAAGCTGAAGAAGTTCTTGTCTATCACCATGTCCTCCCTCAAGACCCGAGCCAAGACAGTCTCAGCAAGCTGAGTCACTCGCTTTAAACAAAAGAAGACTGATTTTTCAACCCGTCTCAAATCCCGAGACACCCTCTGAACTGGCTCGCATGGTCTTTCACGATATATACTCTTTTGTTCCCCTGTACATTGTTTCTCAAACTGTAACATGCATAGCCCAAGCATCGTTTCGCAACAAAGGTTTAGCGAGACCGAACTTGGGGGATGTATGCCAGAGTTGTACTCTCCTCAAAAAGTACTAAAAAAATGAAGTAAAGTATAAGTACTGCACACGTCAGGAATGTACATCAAGTACAAATAATCGAAGCCCAATTGTCGTTAAGTTACGACAAAGCGTTAAACAAAGGTCAAGGTACGACAAATGACACTGCGACGTGATTTGCTGAGGTAACCGTCAAACAAGTTGCTTTAACCTGTAAAACTTTGAGGAAAAAAAAAAAATACTGACAGCCCCATGACACATTGCCATGCAGTGCCATATTAGACCCTTTTCGAAAGTGAATCGAGCAACACTGGTGGTCATCATTTTACGGGTACAAAGCGTGCGATTGGACGCGAGTTCTGGCCACGCCCAAACACGGCACTCGTTTTCAATACGAGCAGAGTTCACGCCGAACAACGACACAGCCCCCGTGTCCATTACACTCTCCGAGTACGTCTCCAAACTCGAATGATTGACCGAGCAGCTACTAGATGGCGTGCACTTTTGAAAAGGGCCTACCGAGGGAAATTCATAGAGCGGCCCCATATCTTTCATTACCATCTAACCAAAGCAAAAGGTAATATAAGCTCCGTTCACGCGATACCGCATTTCAACCCAATCAAATCCAAGAAACCAAAGTCCAGGCAATCCACACGCACCTTCGACTTTCTCGCCGACATCTCTGAGAAAAGCCTCTTTCCTTGCAGTGGGGTCAAGGGCCTACAAAATAAAGAAAAAAAAAAAAAGAAACACGATTTAGTAATTCAGTTGGAGAGGGTAAAAACAGCAAGATTGTTTTTTTCCTTCACCCAATTCGAGCAATAGCTCAACATAGGCCAGATGCAAACAAATGTCTGCATCCAGGTGGCTAACCAACTTCGAACAAACGTACAACGCAGCAACATTTCTGTCTGCTAGAATAGCGAGCACTTCGGGAACAGTTCACGAGACAACCATACCCTCAATTTAGCCGCAAATCTGTGACGGGTGCTAATGCCAGGTCACAGTGCGATCGGCGGCAATAGAAAACGGCCACGGTGCTACAAGGCGAAAAAAATGGAGGGGATACAGATGTGCCGTCACTTTTTTGGCTTAAATATAATTGAAACTCCTAAATCTGTGATTATTTATTCTTCAAATCTTCTCATTATAAATAGAATCACACAAGTTCAATTGCAATTAAAAAAAAAGTAGCCTAGAAGTACTTTTTGTCGCGGAGGGCTTTGTTGCCGTGGCAATAACAAGGCTCCGGTGGCCTCGACCATTGAGTGTTATCACGTGCCTTGCTCCGGCGCCCTTATTGGGTCGCGGGGGCCGCAGCCTCCACAGTTCGCCAAGTTATTGTGAAAGGGAGTACAGCTACGCTTCTAGACCTCAAGAACTGCAAAACACTCTTCTGGTCCGGCAACAATATTTTATAACAATTCGATTCGGCATTCGAAATCATTCGATTTGACGCCCGAGATATTCCTGACAAATGACTGTTTGGCCCATACAAGGTTCAAAATTTGAAACAATTAAAAAGGAGCAACTAGTTTTTTTTCATTCAACCCAACCTTCAAAGTTATGTAAACAAAATAACCATTTAATCTGTATTCGGAGAGGCATACAACAGAATTTGAATCAAAATCCTGGCAATTAGAATAAAGCAACCATTCAGCAAAAACTAAATATCTAAAGTTATTTTCATATTCATATATTCAATCTGCCATTACTTATTCGAATGGAATGACAACAAGCTATTTGATTTGTGTCCAATCTGATAGAAAATATACTATTACTAATATTTGGGAGTGAGAGGGCGATTAACGATATAAAAACTCAAGATTGGCCCAGACCAATTTTCCTGGAAAACTACCACCATCTACGGAGTTTTCACATATTCAAGTCGTGAAGTTTACAACATACCTGAGAAACTTGCTTGGCGAGTTCGTCCGGTTTAAGGTCCTCGACGGATTTCTTCAACTTGTTGAATTCCGTGAGGTCCACCTGTAGCAAAGAGGCAATTTCTCAGCTACCGCTTCAGAGTCATTTATTCGATAATTTCCCTCGTTACAAAGTTTAAGCTGTTCTTTGACCACTCCAAACTGCCATAACTGTTCAAACGCCTCAAAGAACTACCCTAGTCAAAACCAGATGACACGACTAGGCTGGGTGTATGAGGATGCTGAGGAGAATGTTTGCAACTCAAAGCTTGACTTGGACTTGTGTTAACCGATTTACAACTAAAAAACTTAACAAGCGTATCTCAATCGTATACGATAGGCTCGGACATTCCCAGAATGGGTTGCGAATCAGCTGGGCCCATGCTGCGTATGTCCGATGTCACGCTACAATGCAAGTTCTCGTGACTGACGTCACATGACCTCAGTGTTTCGTGACATCCGGACAAGATCATATAAGCAATATAGACCCTATTATTGCCTATAGTTGCAAAACCTCATTAAATCCTGACGCAGTCCTCCTGCACCTTGCAGTAAACCTGCGATAAGCTTCTGACGATCAAGTGTGGCTTTCTAGGCGGCGCGTTGAAGCAGCTGGCGTGGCTCCGTAGTAGCACACTCTTCGCAATCGGCGGACCCGGGATCGAATCCCAAGAAAGCCGCGGCGCGCCTTCTTTGTTTGGTCATTTGGCGACATCGACGACGGATGCCTCACATCGTTTCAAGCGGGGGAGAAAAGCCCGTAACGGCTTTTGCTCTAAAATGGCGGAGCAGAGTTGTCCGAAGGCGTACCTCCTTGATCTCGAAGACCTGTTCGGCCGCCTTGGAGATGTCGCCGCAACCCTGAGAGGATCCGTCTTTATTGCACTCGTCCGCAGCGCTCTGCAGCTTCCGCTTGATCTCGGGAACTGTCTGACCCATTTGCTGAATGATTCCATTCAGCTTCCTCACCGAGTCCTGGATGGTACCCATCTTTGCGTCGATCGTCTGCAAGTCTGGAGACGAATTCGACGTCACCTCTTTGTGAAGGCGGCCCTGACGAAAAGTCAAATCTGGCAGTCTCACGTGCCACACCGACGACGGGCAACTTTCACGCCAAAGCGAAAGAATGGAGATTAATTTAGGGCGCCTGAAATTCGAACTCGCCAGCTCGACCGGGATTCAAACCTGGAATCTCAGCAGATTCAAACCCGCCATCTCGGCCGAGCTTCGAACCCGAAACCTCGGCAGAGATTCGAACCCGCCACCTCGGCCGGGATTCAAACCCAGAACCTCGGCAGAGATTCAAACTCGCCACCTCGGCCAATATTCAAACCCACTATTTGGTACTAATCCGTCGGCCAGAGATTTGCCACAAAACCGCCCGACGCGGCTCAGTAACCTTTACGCTTCTGAGGCTTCTCCGAGCGGTAAACAGGCTTGGTGCAAACTTTAACCAAAGGTTAGAAGATGGAACTGTGACATTAGAAAGCTCGGGCAATTACTCGAACCGACTTACGACTATGGTTTGCTATTTTCGAGGCTAATATTTACTTAAATTCGGAGGGGGTTTGTTTCGGGGTTTACTTTTCCCCTCTATTTAGTGTTCTTCAATGCTGGTTTCCAGTGTCAGAAAGAAAACTGGCGTTTATCGGGGTTTACATTGAAGAAAACGGGGCACGGGTATAGTGTTCCCAAACCTCCAGGGAAAATGCACACGACTCAAATACTTAAGGAACTTCTCAATAAGGCAAGGAAATGAAAAGAGGGGTTTGGGCCCCAATGAAAGCAGCAGCCTCGCAAGCTGTCAAACTCTGCCCACGTGAAAGCTGCTGCATTCAAACTCGAGCGCACCAAAAACATTCGTTCACTCAAGAATATCAATCTTGAAATGTTAACTTCTAGAGCCACACTATAAAGAGGGATAAAATAATGTTACGACTAACTTTAGAAAAAAAACTCTATTCCTTCGAAAGGTTGTTATACAAACTTTGAAGAACACCAAGCAACAAAGAAGGGCCTTACTCTCGGTGATGTTCTTGACGTCGCTGAACGGAGGGCCGCTGATGAGGCCGGAAAAGTCGTCCCCAACACTCTTCGTGCAGGCTTGGCAAAGGTAGGAAAAAGAAAGCGGAGGTTCAATGTGTAGTTGCCGCAAAAACAAGCATCAAGGAAATATCAGACCTTTCGCTAAATTACTAGGCGCGTGCAAATAGTGATAACACCCGCAAAAGCAACCTCCACCGGTTCTTGAACTTAACGGAGCTAACCCACCGCAATCAACACTTCGAAAAATATGAATATGGCAGTTTATCTTGCAAGCAAATATTGAATGGTGTCTTACTCTAAATTTCTATAGGAAAAGTTTGAATTCACACCATCCTATCAATTACCGAATCTCTAAGGAGCATGCCACGAGTGTAGTTACCACGTGCTGGCTTCTGCAGCAGTAACCGTTCTAAAGCGAAAATCTAAAACAAACGACAACTTGCACGTGCGTTCGTCAAACACCCCATCTTGATTATTTACTTCGCACCCTTTATATAAACAAGGCAAGCATGCACGTCGCAGATACCTACGTTACCAGCATTCTCCTTGGTGCTTGGGTACAAAAGGTGAATTACACTATATTAAAACTAACATCTCCACAACTACAGTTCAAAAAGTAGCTTGTAAACTAGAACTCGAACTCTGTTTAACGATTATTTTAAATTGACATTTTTTTGGTTCCAACCAATTTTTGTTGTTGATATCGTGAATTGTTTGTCTGCATGCGTTTACAAAACCAAAGCGGCTGCACTCCTTGCTGCGGTTTACAGGGTTGCACTTTTGAATGAGCGTTTAGTACCAACAACAGTTTCAACAAAGAGCCACCTACGGCAGTTATGCAAAAGTGGGAATGCATAACATGAAGGTCGGCATAGTGAAGCACTGTTTGAGTTTCGTACAGCCTGTCATGCTCGACCGCGGCCCCACTTGCCTACACTTTACGAAACGATGCCATCTATGAGCATGAACACTAATTGGTTCCATTACAGCAGTACACATTCCATCACAGTGGTCAACATTCCCCGAGTGGTAACACAAATTGGCTTCATTACAGTGGTCAACCTTCAATGAGCATTAACACCAACTGGTTCTGTTACGACGGTCAATGTTCCATTAATGTTAACCCTATTTCGTTCCATGAAAGCAATCAACATTCCATAGGCAAGCACTCATTTCCTATTTTGACATCTTTTTACAAACTTACTGTCAAGCATTTTTACTGTCTAGCATCTGGAATGTAAAATCTGGGTTTGGGGCGTAAATATTCAAATTTTCTAATAGTACCGTAGTTTTGAATAATATGCCATTCGATGTTTGCTTAAGATGAACTGCGATAATCACTTATCTCATCAAAGTGTTTCATGTTTCATTCAGAGTGCGCTGCTTGCCGAGCATCCGTCTACTACAGAGAAGCAATCCTTGCAGAGCTGACCCCCCATTCCTGCAAACTTCGCTTGGTCGCGCGCTTAGGAGAAAAGCGCACCTTCAAAACGGGATGGTACTATCGGGGAAAAATGAAATGCGAACAGAGGAGCGCGTGGCTCGCGGTACAGGCTGCGCCGCCTGGAAGTGAACCTAGGGGCGAGGGTGCGTGGCCTACTTCGATGTGTTCACGCCCCTCTATTGGCGCTCCCGCAGCTTCGGCAGTGCGCCTCTCAGTGCGCTGAAAGCTGCCACCGCTATCTTTGCCTACTCGGCGAGTGCGGCGAGCTTCTTTGCACCGCACGCGCTGAGCCAGCAAAGATAGCGGTGATAGCTTTCAGCGCACTAAGAGGCGCACTGCCGAAGCTTGGGGAGCGCAGAGGGACAGGCGTGAACATGTCGGAGTAGGCCACGCAACCTCGCTTCTAGGCTCACTTCCAGGTGGCGCAGCCTGTACCGCGAGCCACGCGCTCCTCTGTTCGCATTTCATTTTTCCCCGATAGTACACGTGGTCACCTGGTGTATTTAACGTAACGCTATTCGCTTCGAATTTGCTTTAAACCCACTATTTGCGCATGCCAAGTAAAATCGGCAGGTTCCAATTTTCTTTCTTCGACATCTTTTTCACAAACTTACTGCCTAGCCTCTTTTCCAGGTTCCCTTGGAACTCTCTGTAGTTTGTCACCAAAAGGGTATCCAGCTCCTAGAGAAGAAAGAAAAAAAAAAAAAAAAAAAAAACGTTAAGCATAACACGTTTCTAGAAACACACCAGTGCTAAAAAAAATTCTAAATTACTGTAAAACCTTTATTGTTCGCAAGCCCTTAATTTTCGCAAATTTCGCAAAATTTAAAAGTTCACGAAATTCAGGGGCACGCAAAATTTTTGGTCCTTAAGAGTTTCAATATAGGCGTCTGGAATCCGCAAAATTTAGTAGCCGCAATTATGTCCTCTGACACCGATTCGCGAAAATAAGGACCGAGAAAATAAAGGGTTCTGCAGCATTCCAGCGCCCCCTAATCCTTTGATGGATGCATTTTTTCCCCAAAAGATGTTTCCCAGTGGTCGGGGTTTTGTATCCAAAGAAAAGGTGTGAAGAAAGAATCAATGCGCAGGATTTTTCTTAATTATCTAGCTGCAAGCGGTTTAGGTTTAGAAGCGTCAAATGAAAATAATGAAGGTGAAAAGCCGTCGCCTTTCTTCCATTCGGTTTCCTTTTGGCGTATACACTTCCGCGACATTCCGGCGGCTTCGGATTCCTAACCGGAGGTACTTTGCGGAGCTTTTTCGTAGGACGACGAGCCCTCATCCTCTGAATTCAATTCTGAGAAGAGCCCCAATTCTGAATCCGGGAACCCGGTGCATCCCACTGGCCCTACCGCCAGAGCGGCCGGTATGCGAAGCGAGCGTCACGTGCGCAGAGTGTCTAATTTGAGAGCTATAAATAGCCTGGCAAAATGAAACACCGCATGAATACAATGTTTATAGTTCACGTTTGGGTGGGCACTTTGAACCATCAAAAGGTTAAAACTCGCACTGTGGCAGAAAGAGTACCCCATTTCCTACAGTTCAAAACGAAGCCAGCAAGGCAATGCCCCCAGTTTGAAAAGTATATACGCAGTAATAATAATAATAATAATAATAATGTGTTTTATTCCCTTTACAAATACATACAAATAATGCTGGCCTACAAAAGCAGTATTCTGCTTGTGCGTAGGACCAGACAATCCAGCGAAATACATATTAATACATCATGATAAAAAAAAAAAATCGAACGAGTGCAATGTGGCCATTGATACCAACATTAATACAAAACAAAGCCGCAATTCGGCACAAAACAAAATGAACACAACTATCGAAATCATCAATAGGCAAGTATACAGTGATGGGAGTAAAGCAGTGTTTATGGAGGTAATGAGAGGCACCAGTTTTTTATTTCTTTTTTTAGTACTTTTATCAAATTTATTTTCATTAAAGGCTCAGTGAGCTCATTAAATAAGGTGGGAATAAAGTGAGTTCTGCATCTTTTTCCGTATCGCGTGTAAATTCTGGGGATTATAAACCTTTCTTTGCGCCTTAGGTCCCTAGGCTTGTCCACTGGAACCTTGAACGTTGCATCGTAGAAATAATTTATAAACGTAACGTATCTATGAAAATTTTTAAAGAATAAAATTTGGAGCTTCTTTGCTTTATCTTCCATATCTAATGTTCCGTATGTAGTTCCGTATGTGATGTTTTTAACCATATGTTTTAAAATTCTGTTTATTGCATTTGTCTTGTATTGAGAACAGTGACCATATAAAGTGATTCCATATCGTAGAATTGATTCAGCTAACGACCTGTACACCAGTAGTCTTATCTTTACGCTGCACAAGCTTCTTATTCTGTACAAATATGCTGAAACGGCACGTAGTCTTTTAGTCACAAATTCCACATGTTGATTCCATGATAAATGTTCGTCGACGTATAATCCTAGATATTTTACACAATTATCGTATGGCAAAGGTTTACAAGTACAATTATTACACGGTGTCGAATGAAGTAAAATTCTAGGTGACATATCAATACGTTTATGAGAATTTCGGAAACACAGTAACTTAGTTTTGGCAAAATTAACGGAAATGGCATTTGAGTTAAACCAACCTATTAGTTCATTTATATCTCTTTGGAAGACATAAAAAGCATCATCATAGTTGTCACAAGGTAAAACTAGCACCGTATCGTCAGCATACTGAAATAGCTTAGATCGTAGAGGTAGAATACCCAAATCATTTATGTAAACGTTAAATAAAATTGGTCCCAGAGTGCTACCTTGTGGTACACCACATTCGACTTTAACTGTAAAATGCGTCGAAAGATTATCTCTGAATGAAATTTCTACTATACTCTGCATAAATATCGAGCTTCAGAAACAACCCCATTGCTTTTGTTTCCCATGTAAAAGAACATTTGTTTCTAGTTTTTCATTGTTGTCAATGCTCTTTATTACGCGACATATCTCCAAAACCTCATTGAATGAAAAATAAAGAAAAGAATTTGATCATAACTCAAGTAATATAAATCTACGAGCCAAAATTTTACATTGACGTTCCCTCTACCATAAATATGTCCGGATGAAAAATCCCACCAAGTAGCATCGAGATTTTATTTATGCGGTTTCATGAACCGACAGGCGATTTGATACCAGCAAACACTGGACTGCGCACAGAATACCGACGACAACGGGTCAAACTACCGCAACCGTGAAGGTTTGTCACTAGTGTACTGTCCCCCATATCAGGGAAACACTCACCCCTTTGGTTTTGTTGATCAGCTGTGACACGTCGCTGATGGTGTGATCGGCCTGGACGGAAATGCCGTCGATCCCGCCGGGGATGTAAGAGTTTGTGACGAATGCACACACAATGGCAAACCTGCAGACAGAGGCATCATACCACCGTAAGGCAACGGCATCACTTATACAAAGCATGCACCTAAATAGGGCCCCAGGAGCCGGGGGCTTCCCCCAAGTGTTACACATGGCAAAAAGCCTGCAACTCACAACAGTCGAAAAATAACATAATGTTAAAAATTTCTGCAGGAACATGTTGATAAAAGTAAGCGTTGACAGGAAACAATAACCCAAAAAAGATTTACTGTTTCTTATTTCAATTTGATGCATCGAGTTCTACTACAGTCAATTTTTATGTTTTCAATTTCGAAATATTTAATAACATATTTGGCATAAAAAATATATCACTGGGAGTGAAAATTATTTGAGCTTAATATCTACGATACAATTAGCAGGTGTGTAAACAGCACAGGATAGTATATGTGTAAACAGAGCCTCAGTTCGTGGTGTGTGTGTTAATAAATTTACTCTACCCCGCCCCGCCCCGCCCCGCCCCGCCCCGCCCCGCCCCGCCCCGCCCCGCCCCGCCCCGCCCGCGCCTGCACCCACCCCCACCCCCCCTCTCCCCCAACCTGCCCCACCTCTCCTGCATTTGGCTAGCAGGAAGGTGATCACCTTAAATGAGAGAGTCTCCAAAAACCATCTACCACAACGGAATGCAGTGCCTCACAAGAACATCAACTGCTACACTGATGCAGACGAGTCCTTAAAAAAACACTGACACCCCAAAGGTCATATTTTATTTGTTGTCTAAAGCGATGCAAGTTGTAGTCATAGGCACGCAGAAAAAATACCACAACGCAAAAAATAAAATTTCCCCGCGAGCGTGCATTTTTATCTTTGGCGCTTTTCCTTCTATCTTTTCACCTCCTCGCTTCTTTTTATTTGTGACATTAATCGATTATGAAATTTAGAAGCTTTGTAAGCGATATTCCCAAAATATTTAATAAACAGAATTGATAAAACAAGTTTTTTTTACCAAAACTGCAAATGCACTACAGTCCTTTTTTTTTTTTTTTATACAAAAAATTGGAGTTTGTCGCCTCTAGAAAATATCTCGGCGCGGTGGCGCTCAGCACATGTAGCACTGAGGATGACCGGTGAGTCGGGGAATCGGACGAAGTTCTCTTTTTTAGGTGCCCAACGACCTCCCAGACTTCGAAAATTAAATCGTCATACAGTTGAAACAATTGAGTATGGTGTCTGTGTATTGTAATTTCAATTTTGACTCCGCTGAGGCAGCCTTTCATGCAGAATCGGCGCGACATGGCCCCTCAAGTCGCTCCCAAAAATCCACTCCGCGTTCTCTTCGACCTCACACAGCTTCAAAGAATTTGAGAATGCTGAAAGGGCCCTAAAAGAACTTCAAACTCTAAAGTGAAGCATCGTCTGCTCACACCGACAGGCGACATGCACAGAGAAGAGCTGTTGACCACGGAACGCGGGCCGACACGACGCTTCAGGTGGGGACGGTTCGGAGGTATGAGAGAAACTCCAGTTGCAGGACGACTCCATCTTTGACATTACTGGACTGGTGCGGATCGCACGGGAACTTTCAATTCGGCTTTCGAAAATTGTTTTTTTACTTCACAAATACCGAGTTTTCAAGTTTAGAATTTTGAGGATAATGTCCAGGCATCATTTTCGATTGTTTCGGATAATAAAAAAAATAAGTTTGACCTGTCAGTGCCCCTTTATGAAATGCACCAAGTGGGGGAAGCTTGTACCACAAGGAACCTGCCCTCCAGAGAATAATTTTGGTTACGTTTGTGCCCCCCCCCCCCCCCCCCCCCCCCGTACGTAACGCAACAGCTACCTGTCAATCGGCCTTTTTAAAAGCTCCTTCAAGCAACACTGCCAGTTGCCATTTCTTGGGCACGAAGTGCGAGATTGAACCTGCGTCCTCACGTAAAGCGAAAGCAGCATTCATTCTCGACACGAACTGAGTCGAGTTTGCACCGAACGCCGACGCAGCCCTCGTGTTCGACACACCGTCGGAGTGTGCGCACGAACAATCATGGAATCGAATAATTGGTGCAGCAGCTGCTAGGTGGAACACACTTCTGAAAAGGATCCATTGCTTTGAACTCCAGGTATGCAAGCCACAAAGTAATTGGAGAAAGACGAGTAAACAAAAAGTGCCAACAGCTAAACGGATAAACCGAGAGTTCTTGCTTCAATAAAGAAACTCGGAACGATAAGTGATGAAAGAAACAAAATACGTACAACATGGCGACGACGGCGAAGAAGAGGAACAGTCCCAGGAAGCCGCGCCACTTGGTGTCCCCCTTCTTCTCCGCCACGTTCTTGGCGCCGCCGCACCGCCGGCAGCAACGGCAACACAGCACGATGACGCCGACAAGGGGCACCACCAGCGCCAGGAAGAGGCCAATCGCAACCAAAGCGAGCAGGCCCTTGAACTCTCCGAGTATCTGCGGAACACGCGACCGCGTCAACGTCAACACAGAACACCCCTTCAATCCGTTCGAAAGTTGTAAGCTTGTCTCGATCGTTTCTGATAAACTTGGGGAGAGACTAAACATTTCATTTGCACTCAAAAATATGTCGCAGGATATGTCGCGAATGACGTCATGACTTCAGATGAGTATTTCTCGTGACGTCACGTGATATCAAAGTCATGATCTCATGAAGTCACATGACATTAGAGTTGTGATGTCACGGTGTAACATCACATCATGGTGTCCATGACATGATGTCACGTGATATGACGCCACACGACACCTGCACTTGACATTACAGTGTTGTGCGATATTATGACCTCGTGATGTCACAAGACACCCAAACTTGACAAGTCATACGATGCCACGAGTTCGTGTGACTTGTTCCTCATGTCATGCGACATCACAGTCATGATCTCGTGAAGCCACGTGACATCAGAATTGTGAGATGTCATGGTGTCCGATGACGTCACATCATGCGATACGACAACACGACACCAACACTTGATGTCATGCCACGGTGTCACATGACAGCGCAGTGTGGCATAATATCACGACCCCATGTGACGCCGACACCCGAACTTGACAAGCCACGTGACGTCAGAGTCACATGACATCATCAGGTCATGTGACCTGACCGGTCAAGCATGTCACTTTTTTCCTGAAACCCAGCCCTACTACACATTCTGTGTGAAAACAGGAATTCCAGGGATTGCTGGACTCACCATCTTGTGGTCTCTCCCAATCACGGCAATGGGGTCCTTGAGCATCTTCTCATCTAGGAGAACTGCAGAGAGGGGCGAACACTCGAAATGAGAACGCAAGCGCAAGAGAAACTGGCGAAAGTCGAGAGGGTACGAATGTAACCACTTCCAACAACCGGAGAGCTCATGTCATCGGGTTGATGACAGCCTGCGGAAGCGACAGAAGATAACTTCTGATGCGCTCTATCCCAGCTGTTTTGGCGCACCTCCAGAACTGGTCAGCACACGACATGCGAAGATGCGTGTTTGCAATACATTCTGCTCACGTCAAGAGGTACTCCAACACCTCCAAAATCCACATTTTTAAAGGTGTCAAATGCTCAAAAAGAGTGTCATATCTAAAAAAAAAAAAAAGAGCAGTCCGGCATGAATCTACGGTACCTTGTTGGTCCCTGATGCGTCAATATGTATATTGCGCCTTACCGGGAGGAACAATCCCCAACGTTTGCTCGAAGAGCGACACTCGCATTTATTTTATACACACAGACGCCTTCCAACAGATGCGATGTGAGACTCGATCGCGACGTCTCTGCAACTGAGGTCATCTAGAGGGCGCAGCGTGAGATTCATATGCGCAGCTGTCCTCAACACGTGCAGTTCAAAGCAGCTGCGGCAGGGCTCCGTGGTAGCACTCTTGCTCTACAATTGGCGGACCCAGGGTAGAACCCTGAGAAGACTGGCGTGTTTTGGGGATGTGTTAACAAATAATAGTAAATTACCCTTTCCCCCTCTATTATGTCCCCCTGGCCGTATGACACCTGATCACATGAATGAAGCTTTCGCCACTTTTTTTAGAAAAATTTGTGAAGGCCGCAAAAGAAACATCTTGTATACCAGTCCTCACTATAAAAAGGTTTTACTGCATTCCAATACAGTGAAGCCTCTTACAGGAAAGTCTAATGTCTGAGCAGTTTTCCCAAGGGTTCTGAAAACTTCTGATCTCGAGAAATGCATACACTTCTCGATCGAGAGCCGAGGAGCCCCTTTTGGTCTAGGCATTAATGCAATATAGCAGTACAGAAGCCTACAGACCTTGCAAACATTATTGCATGTACAAGGGAGTGTCTGCCACGTAGCCGTGCCTCATTGAGTGGCTTTGATATACTAAAACAATGCTTAAACTGGAACAATGCTTCGCCCAGGGTCAGGGATAGCTGAGAAAATTTAAGGGCTTGAGGAACCTTTGAGGGTACTCAGAGGAACCTCCGAAGGACTCTGAAGAACCCCCGAGGGTACTCAGGGGAACCTCTGAGGGACTCTGGAGAACCCCTGAGGGTATCCTAGGGAACCCTTGAGAGTACACGGGGGAATTGTGACAGTATTTAAGAGAACTCCCGAAAGTACTCGAGGAAATCCCTGAGGGTACTGGGGAAAACCCTGAGGGTACTTTGGGAAACCCATGATGGTATCCTAGGAAACCCCTAAGGGTAGTTGGAAAAACCCTGACGGTACTCTGGGAAACTACTGAGGGTATTTTAGGGAACCCCTGAGAGTAGCTGAGGGAATCCCTCAAGGTACTTGGGGAACCCCTGTGGGTACTCTGGGAAACCCATGATGGTACTCTAGGGAGCCCCTGACAGTACTCTGGGGAGCCCCTCAGAGTATTTTAGGGAACCTCTGAGATTATTCAAGGGAATTCCTGAAAGTATTCTAGGGAACCCCTGGGAGTACTTGAGGAAATCCCTGAGGGTACTTGGGGAACCCCTAAGGGTACTTCGGGAAACCCATGACGGTACTCTAGGGAGCCCCTGACAGTACTCTGGGGAACTACTGAGGGTACTTTAGGGAACCCCTGAGAGTAGCTAAGTGAGTCCCTGAAGGTACTGGGAACCCCTGAGAGTAGCTAAGTGAATCCCTGAAGGTACTGGAAAACCCCTAAGGGTACTCTGGGAAACCCATGATGGTACTCTAGCGAGCCCCTGACAGTACTCTGGGGAACCCCTGGGGGTATTTTTAGGGAACCTCTGAGATTATTCGAGGGAATCCCTGAGGGTATTCTTGGGAGCCCCTGAGAGTACTTAAGGGATTCCTTGAAGGTGCTTGGGGAACCCATGACAGTACTCTAGGGAACCCCGAGGGTATTTTAGGAACCCCTAAGAGTACTCAAAGTAATTTCTGAAGGTACTTGGGGAACCCCTGAAGGTACTCTAAAGAACCCTGAGGGTACTTTAGGGAAGCCCTGAAGGTACTTGGGGAACCCCCGAGGATACTCTGGGGAACCACTGAGGGAACTTTGTGGAGCCGCCGGGTTTCAAGGAAACCGGCTTGAGAAGTCTATGCGTAACGTTGTGGATAGTGAGGAGCAGCTGCTATAGTAGCCCACCTTTCGGTACGCCTGGCTTTGCGATGACGAGTGAGATGAAGTAGTTTGTGATGCTGTACAGGTGATTCATGCTAACGACCTCCGACGATGGCGACGCTTCGAACTCAAACTTGACTGGAGGGGGAGGTGAGAAGGTGATGTTGACTGCATCCAGGCAAGCTGCTGATGGGGAGAGGGGGAAAGAAAGAGAGAAAGGAGATTTTTAAATTCTCAAATGCTGAGAGTACCGGTCTCCACATTTTATATATGTATAAAAAGGGTGCCTACATTCTTCTTACTGGCGACACACAGGTGCTGCCCCATCCCCAATGACACGTTTACAGCTTCTTTATAATTGTTAAAAGAGGGACTTGGACCTGTTTTGTCCCCTCGTAACATTTAGAAAGTGCCAGTTGGCATCTTTATAACATGTCTTTGGTTTACCCTGCCTTAGTATATTGTTTTAAATTTTTAAAGCTGTTTTTGTTAGTTTTGTATAATGCACACTTTTAAGGTCAAGAGCTGTTTGTGTCTACAGATAACAAAACAATAAATTGGGTGCCGGAAACCGGTCCCTCTCTACTAAGTATGCCGTAATTCCACAAAGAAAAATTATATAATTCAGAAATGATGTCTTGAACACGATTTAAACTTTTCTTTCTTCTAGTGATTGTGCAATTATTTTTTTGTGATCTGTTTCTTAAACATGCAAAACAGCTACAATAGATTTTTCATTAAGTATGTTTTAAGTTGTTTTTTTTCTTGGAGTTGTGTTCATATTTGGTATGCATGAATGTATCGGAGGTTTTCTTTTATCCCATAGATCTGCATTTTTCTTATAACTGTGTGAACTTGCTGTAAGCTCTGGAGAACAGCGGCCTCAGTCAGGCAGAAATGCCTTTTGCCTCCACCCCATGGTCTATGGACACCCAAATAAAGTTCAAATTTCAAACAACAATTCTGCAATTTTTTTCTTTATATTTCAGCACACAATTACTTATGTAGTAACATAGAAAAAAAAAAACAGGATTTTACATTCCCCCTCCTCCCTTCTTTCCCCAAGAGGGCACCGCCCGCACTCGGGGCTGCGTGTAACGGCGATGTGTCGATTGACACACAGCAGACCCCCGCTTCCGCCATGCATGCTTAGCTGCAAAGCAGGGCCACATGGCTCAAGCTTCTCTCACCCACCATCCTTCCTCTCTACCTCCCCAACGGCCCCCCACCCCGTCAAGCTTCAGAAGGTGAAGTCGAGCCAGTAAACGTTTTGTTGAAAGTCGAAAGCCTGTCTTGTCTGTCTGTCTTAAATGTCCCTCTTTCCTTATTGCAAATTAATAACCAGCCCGCTCAACCATCTACATGAAACTGTCTTTTTAGATTTCTCGAGAAAAAAGGCTTGCAAGCATGGACGAGTTTATTGCATGGACGAATTTATTGCACAGTTCCCCTTAGAGTTGTGCAATATATTTTGTAGTCACGCAGTTATCAGTTGCTAGAACATAGTAGAGATGTTCTTCATACATAGTACAGATAAAATCTTTTTGCCAAATGTTCAGTTTCTCAGAAAAAAGATTTGCAAGCATGGAAAGAACTTGTGCACAATAAATTTCATAGTCTTACAGTTATCAGCACCCCGAGATAGAGTAGACCCCCTGAGGCATAGCAAAGATAAAGTGTATTTACAGAAGGCAGGTATCAATGCGCAGCTAGGTCACATATTCTTGGAAGCATCCTGGAAACTATGCCCAGACACAGGCCATAAGCAACCTTATCCGAGCAGCCCCTTATCTACGACAAGGTCACCCTTGCTGGCTGACCCCTCCAATAAGTTGCCATGTTGCAGCTCTTTCTCCATTATCTCCAATGTTTAGGCACATGATCAATGGCAACCAGAGTCTGTGCGGCACTTAATATCTCGCACTAATAGCTTTTAAAGCGGTGGCTTAATGGGGCCAAACAACCTTGGGTGTCGTGTAAGCACAAAATGTGTGGGTCGATGAGTCCATTACCACTAAACGATCTTGAAAAAAATGGCAACCGGTGCCAGAGATCGAACCCCGGTCACCGGCGTGGAAGCCGAATGCGCAGCTAACTAAGCTACGAACCCAGCATACAGGAACAGGAACAGAATCAGGCGGTGCGAGAAATCGTGCAGAGCGAAGATGGGTGTAAAGGGCAAGAAAGAGAGGAGCAGAGACAGGTGGTGTTGAAATAGTGCACGGATTAAGGAGTGCAAAGGGCAGAAAAGCGCACTTCCCCTGTCCTGCTGACCCAGAAAATTCACTGCAAAGGCTCTGTATCCAGGTGGTGCTGAAGGGAAGTGCACGCAGGGTCACAGAGACAATGGTGTGACGTAATCTCTTTCTATAAAAAACCCTGCTCTAGGCACCACAGTTGATCATTGTTAATGATCAACTGTGCACGCAGGGTCGCAAAAAGACAATGGTGTGACGTAATCTGTTTCCATACAAAACCCTGCTCTCGGCACCACAGTTGATCACTGTTAATGATCAACTGTTTAAAAGTGTTTTTAACTGCTTCGAACTTCCATGAACCAGGTGTGAAATTACTCTCGTTTTTAATTGTCACCTTTTGCTTTTCTCACTCCACTCTGTAATGCCGATGGCCCTGAAGGTATCTAAATAAACAAACTGAATAAATAAATACAATTTCCCAAACCTTTGCCACATTTTCCTAAATTTACCGGCTTTTACCTTATTTCTTCCAAAATCGCAAGACGCGCCGACAATGCCGGGTTTCCCCGAGGGCAGATGACCCTCGGTTGCGCAGCGTGTATATTTCCCTCGAAGCGTGTGGCTTATCTATACCCTGTTGCAGGTTATGAAAAGCAGGGCAAGCTTCTCCCACAAAGCCCTGCACTCTTTCCACTTTGGCAGAGCGAACGTTGGAGAGAAGGTAAGTGGAGAGGAGAAAACCACCAATCATGGCGAGCAGAAAGCTCCACGAGAGAAACTCGTCCCGTTTTTCCTAACCAGCAACAGACTATAGTGGATATAACTCTACGCTTGGCATTGTGTACCTGTCTGAGCGCAATGGCAGGTTTGCTCGCTACGCATAGCCACCGGGTAGACAAAGAGTGCCGTCTTACCGTCAGTGGCCTCGTTGGCGTCGGCGAAGGCCGACGGGACGAGCAGCATGGCCACCAGCAGGCAGCTCCAAGTGAGCATCTTGGGTGTCGTGGCGACGGGGCGAGCGATGACTAAGCGTCTCTGACGGCAACCGATGTCCAATGTGCGGGAACCCGACTGCAACCCCATCACCGGGAGCTTGCCTTCCTCGTGAGGACGAGTCTGGAGAAAAGAAAAATCAGACATAAATATTATTAAACGGTCCCAAAAAGGGACGCCGCAGACCTGCCGACACTCAAGTTCGACCAGGTCAGACTCTTTAACGCTTTTTAATGCAAAGTTCGACAAAACCTTAAATGAGGTTAGAGTATTACGCACGTGAGCGGAAATCGAGAACGAGATGACTTGACCTGGCGGAGGGGAGTAAGAAACTAACTAAATCGTCATAAAATTATGTGTTTGCTTTCATATTGCGTAAGCAGCGAGAATCATTTTCTAGATTTTAAATAAACTATTGTAGAGGTAGCAGACTGGAAGATAACTTTTTCGTCACCACACAGTGTAGAGATAGCAATGAAGAACCAATCTTCTTTATCGCTAGCGTATTTGGACATCAAGAGAGCATACAATAGTGCGAGCCAGGAAAAACTCTGGGGTCAGCTGAAGAAGCACAACTTCGATGCAAATTTGGTTAGGTTTCTTCTGCAGTTTTTTCAGCAGGTGCACACAGACAACAAGGTAGTTATATAACATGGGAAGCAGAAACTACACAGCCCACAGCAATAAAAAGAGGGCTCAGGCAGGGCTGTCCACTGTCACCTCAACTCTTCATGATATATCTTAGTGAAATGGAAAAGAAATTACAGCACAGCAACTTAGGTTTTGATGCAAGTTATATGGAAGGAGGGAGAAATGTTGGCCGGGGCCCTGGATTTTCCTGGCGACAATGGAAGGACGGAAGAGAAAAGGATTACAATCACAAAGATGCGGTAGGAAGATTGGTGGAAATGATCTAGGGAAAATCGAATGATGCACAACTAACTAGCACAGCACAGGCAAAAATTGGGACTCCCTCCCATGTGGTTTCAGCCCAGTCTCAACTCTGTCCACCAGTGGGTCCAGTGCTGGGGTAAGGCCAACAAGGTTTGACCAGAGGAAAATTGGCGACTCCCTCACCGGGGATCTGCCATGTCATCCTGGTGATATCCCACACTGCCTGGTGATAGTTAGGGGTAGAAAAGTGGCTTAGAAGGGCTGGAGGAATCAAATGTTTGTCTTTTTAGTCTTAGGCTAGGTGGCGCAAGCTACTGCCTTTTACAAAGGGTATAGCTATAAACATCCATCCATCTATTGGTCGAATTTTGCCAAAAGTCTGAAGGTTCGGCGAACTTGTTGATCCTAGAGTCACTGCATGTTGCCAGGGTATCACATTCAATGGCATCCGCGGTTACTGTTCAATTTTGGATTTGATCGGCCATTTTGGCACCGAAACATAGTGGAAGGGGTTTCAGGACTGTTGACCCCCGTCTCCCCAGCGAAAGCACCGTAATCAACCACCGAGTTAGGACGTGCACAGGTCGGGACGTGCTTTCCGAGATCACTGGTGAGTCACGGTTATATAAAACAATATTAATTGTGCCGCAAAACCTTGTAAACTAAAATTTTTTGAAAACATCACGCTCCTGTCATTCTGTATCAATTTTTCTACAAAAAAAGTTGTTCCGTTTGTTTTTCTGCAAAAACATCTTTCTAAAAGCTCATGGTGACCACAGTAAAGAAAAAAGATTGAGCCACCATCTTGGCACTTCATACCTGGGAGTTTCGGTACTCTGGGAACATTCAGTGACTTTAGTCAAACCTTGAGTGTCAACACCGCACCTCAAGTTCAACACAAGTCCAAGGCATTCCTAGTCCTAAACTCCTTTTATGCCGACTCACTTTAGGATTCCCTTTGGAATGCCATGGTCGTCGTATGTGTGCTATCTGCTTTTTAGAGCGCAACTCTTCGGCGCCCGTTTCCGGCTTGAGCGGCACCGCCGTAATTGCAGGGTGCCTCATGGGATATTTCCCATAATGCACCGAACGGAGAGGAAGGCAAGGGGAGGAGGGGGAAGGGGGGAGGGGATAGGGAGGACGAGGGGGAGGAAGAGGAAGTGGAGAAGTAAAGAGGAGAGGAGGGAGGAGAGGAGGGAGAAGGAGAGGAAGAGCTTCAAGAACGGGGAGGAGGAGGAGGAAGAGGAGGAGTAGCAGGTAGGATGAGGAGGTGAGGAGGAGGGGGGTATACCCTCCCCCCAGTACCCTTCCCTCCTCCTGCTGAAGAGCTGAGCTCGAATTCGGCGTTACAAAGTGTTGTAAACGGCTTTCATTTTTTTTTTTTATACCCACGCATCTCTCCATTTGTCACCTTAGTCAATATAGATCTTGCGCATTACACCACTATAAAAATACTGGGCATGCACCCACGCTGGTGCAAGCATCTATGCTCCTTTGTTCGTAATCCTCAGAATCGGCTAGAGTGTACAGTGTAAAATATGTACAAATAGGACTTTGGCAAACGTCCATCTTGCAAGTTTGGACAGGATACTTGTCCGGAATTCTACAGCAGTGCCCTTGGCTTGCTAACCTGAATTGCCAAAATGATGCATGCATGCATTTGATGCATTTTGTGCACAAAATGCATCAAATTGGGATGTCAGTGGAGCCACCTATGAATGACAGCTGCAAATGTGGCCATCCCTTGTCTGTGTCTAACCACAAATTAACCCTTTGACAGTCGAGGTTTTTCTCCCAAAATATGTTTCCCAGTGGTAGGGCCTTGTTCCCAAAGGAATAGTATAAAGAAAAGTTGAATGTGCAGGTTCTTTTCTTAATTATCTGGCAGAAGCACATGCAGTGCTTGCAGGTTGTGTAGGTTTAGAAGCATCACATGAAAATATTGAAGGCAAAAGGTTGTCACCTTTTTTTCATTCGGTTTTATTTTGGCGCATCCGCTTCCGCAACATTCCAGCGACTTCAGACTCCTAACTGGAGGCACTACACAGAGCTTCTCCGTTGGATTTAATTCCGAAAAGCGTTGAAGTTTGAATCGGAAGAGCCAGTGCTCCCATTGGCACTACCGCCAAAGTGGTCGGTATACGAAGTGAGCATTACACGTGTGAACCGTCCAATTTGAAAATTATAAATAGCCCAGAAAAGCAAAACATTGTGCAAGTATAACATTTTTAGTTCACCAAAGACATAAGTAGCATCAACTCTTGCAGAGCGTGCAGTTTTGAATTTAGGTGGGCACTGTCAAAATGTGTAATCACGACAGTACATGTACGGCACCGACTCTCAAGAGGTTAACAATCCTAGCAATGCCCACATTTTGTTTTACACGGTTTAAATTCTATGAGGCAAAAACGTCAAAAGGAAAGCCACTCCCTAGGTGGTGCTGCTGATCTCATACTCGCCCCATTTGGCACGCTCATTGGTCGTGCCGTCGATTATTTTAAGCGTCAAACATTTCGTCCCTTTTTGACACGTTTCGACGCCTTTCTCTCTTCAAGTCAGTTCAAAGGAACAAACTCCAGTTTGCTGCTTTTGGATCCACTTCAGAACTGCATCTGGCAACTCTGGGAACTCCGAAACGAGGCCAGGACTAAATGGTCGTGGATAAGAACCAAAAATGGTGGTGCCTTATCTCCCTCAAAACCCAGAGTTGACAACAATAGGAATATATCTAGGAATCTAGGCCAAGCACAAGTACCTGGGAGTATGGATTGATGAGGTAAAAAAATAGCTAAAGGAGCATGAGAGGCATGTAATCGAGAAAGGCAAAAGGAATTCAGCCATTATAAAACATAAGGCACACTGTGGAACTTTAATCAATACAAAGTGGTGAGAGGGGTATGGAAAGGAGTGATGGTACCGGGTTTGACTTTCAACAATGCAGTCTTGCACATAAAGTCAGAGATTCAGTCAAGCTTAGAAGTAAGGCAAAGGGGTTTAGGCAGACTAGCTTAGGGGCATGTGGGAACATGCCAAACGAAAGGGTACAGGGAGATATGGGCTGGTCATCTTTCGAAAGCAGAGAGGCAAGAAGTAAATTCAATTTTGATCAGAGACTAACTGATATGAAACACACGAGGTGGGCGGCAAAGGTATACAAGTTTCTGTACACGAGAAGCCTGAACACAAAATGGACGAAAAAAAACTCGGAAGCTGGTAATTATGTTCTTGCAGACAGGCAGTGAAAAAGGGAATTAAGGAGGTAGAAAGAGAGATGTGGGAGGGGGGAAATGCAGGGCAAATCAATTTTAACCATGTATAGATTGCATAAGCAAAAAATAAGGAAAGAAACTTTGTTTGATAATTTGCAGGAAAGTTCCTTACTATTTGAAGTTAGGACGGGAGTACTGAGAACAAAGACATATAGGGCTGAATTTGAAGATGTAGATACAATATGTAACATATGTAAAATGAGGAATGAAACGATGGAACATCTGATTTTAACGTCAAGGGGCTTAGTCCTGCCCTTCCTTCTGGGCCAACAGATGTTGCAAGGGGCATTGGGCTTTGGTGGAGACGATGGAAAGGTGGATTATAAGCGAGTGAAGGTGACGAAGAGGGGGTTAGACAACTGGTGGCAGCAGACCAGGGAAAACTGAGATAGGTTAAAGAAACTAGCACAACTGGGGACAGGGAGGACAGAGGAAAATTGGGACTCCCTCCCGCGTGGCTCCAGCCCCAAAACTCCAACCTGTCTCTCAGTGGGTCTGGTTTTGGGAGTACTGCCAAATAGGTTGACCAGAGGAAAATTGGCGACTTCCTCGCCAAGGGGTGAAGGCGGGAGTGTGTTTTCTATTTTTCTTATTCCTTTGTTTCGCCCAATCCCCCGAAGGTCATCCTGGTGGTTACTTCCACTGGCCCGGTGATAGTTGCAGAAATATGGAGGGAAAGAAATTGAGGGGAAGAGGGGAGGTGATATAAAAATTGATTAGGCTAGGTGGCGCAAGCTACCACCCATTACAAAGGGTACAGCCGCTAACATCCCTCCATCCATCCATCCAATTGCTATATAAATACCAACAATGTTGCTTTCACACCCATCAGCCTTTATATTGACACGTGTCTATCTTACGGATTGCTCGACGATTACTCATGCCTGCCCGACAAAACCCCTCAATGCACTTCCGACAGCTTTCGTAGCGTTATCTCGGGCACTTGGGTCTCTGAATCGCAGACTAGTGACTTCTAACAAGGCAACCCTTATCACCGCGCTGTTACTCGAAATATCGTGCAAGCAGAACATGAATATTCGTTAACCCTCCACCATATCTCCCGTAACAATGACGGTTTCCATGGCAACTTGCACAATAACCAGGCAATGTGAATGAACTTATGATGTCAGTTTACAACTGGAAAGGCACACTGGCATTCCGAATCTCACAAAACGCCTTGTCAAACGACGAGATAGGAGAGGCCGGCAGCCGGATCTCAGTCACAGTGTCGACGGTCGAAACTCTGCGACAAGTTTCCAGGATTGCCAACGTCGCCACAGTCCCTACTTGAAAAGATCATTTTCTGAAGGGGAAAAAAACTTCTCAAAATCTAAAATGAACGGCCAAAAGACGTCCACGTTAAAACAACACGATCACGATAAGAATCTTGGGAGATGCATTTCCAAAGTGACTGCTAATATGCGAGCACGATGCCAAGTGTCTCCAAGCGCCAAGTTACGGCCACTCCGAAGCCGCACAACCACAGAGTAACGGAATGAATACATTTTAAGTGCACGGGCAACTGCGCCAAGTTGAGGTTGTGCAACTCCCCCATGTCCAGTGCATGGATTTGAGCAAGCACTCAACCTCCGTGACCACAAACGCAGAAAATACAATCCCGCAAACATCCACAAGACAGTTCTGTCAGAGATCAAAAGTAACCAAAAAGTACCGCATAATCCAAAGCTTTCAAAGTAGGAGATAAAAGGGGGAAAAAAGGATGACGTCACGACTTTACATTCCTAGTAGTAACGTGGGATGCGGTTACACCGGAAGTTAGTAACTCATTACCTTTAGTAAACGCTCCCTCCAACGACGCGCACCTGTCCGTTTCACCGACGAAACTAGCGTTGCTGCCGTGCTGCGCTCGTTAGAGCTCGTAGTGGCTTTGTTCAGAAGAGCTGCGCGCGCGTTTATCTTATCGCTCCATTCCCCGGCGCTTGTTCCGTCGATATAGCTTATCGCACCGAATCAAACCCCACAACGACGAGAAAAGAAAGTAATATCAAAATGTCAAGAGAAAAAAAGAAAAAAAAGAATGAGCCAGCACCAAATGTTTAGCTCTCCAGAATCGATATTTCAGCCCTAGAAACGGAGCGCAACCGAGGGGGGTGTATTTCCTCCCGTGTATCGGGGATTTGTTTCTTTATCGCGAGAAGAAGCGGGCAGGACGACGACACTTTCTCGATGATAAGTTGTATACGCGAAGCAGCGTATATAACAGATAAGCTGTTATATAAGGCAGTACATAAGGAATGAAAATAAATCAAGAGTACCTTAGTGGGCGACGGACGCTGGAGACGGCACTACATGCTCCTGCTCGAAGTCGCGGGATTGCGGAGAAGCGAGTCACGACTTGCAAGGCGAGCTTTCATCCGTTCCGACGCGCCGACGATCCCATCCTGTGTGTCGCAGCCCGCGCTCTCGTCGAGCCAGCGATGCGTCACACCGAGAATCAGCCGTTTTTCTTCAGGATATGGACGAGCTCGTCGGCGCCGCCCGCCGCTGCCGCCGCCGCCTTCGGATGTGCAAAGTAGCAGCAGTAGCAGCGATCGCGCCCGAAGAGCCCCCGGCGCCACAAACACACAGGTGTCGGTTGCGCAAGAAGTCAGAGGCCGACGCGATGCGCCAGGTTCGTAGACTGATGACGGCTTCAAAACGTTGACTCCTTTTTTGTTTTTCTTTCACGACCCCATAACAACAGGCGGCGACGACGATGTCATCTCTGGATACGGTTTGATGAGGAAGCGGACGGACTCGAATATGACGTCACACGCGGAAGTTTCAGCGGGTCGTCCCGAGCCGGCGCAGTTTTTCTGGCGCTCCGAATTAAACGGCGCGGCGGTGAACTTGGAGGCGTCACACAACGCGTCCTGCCGACGTAAAGCTGCTCCGGAGGTCACGAACGGCCAGCCACCGAGATCAGCCGAGGAGGAGAAACATAAACACGCAGGGCGCCGCCATCTTGTGGAATGTGGTCACAGTGTTGCCGGATCAGGGAGAGCGTGGGCAGCGCGGGTCCCCAGTAGCGATCGTAAAAAAGGTATGGTCAAAATCGACGTTGCGGTTTAGAACCAGTACGGGTGGTGGTAGGCTTGTTCTTTCGGTGGATATGGATCAGTAGAAGATTGTCTTCAAGTCGTTAGAAACACTTCGTTTCGCTCAATGGAGCTTTGAAGAGACAAGTTGCATAAAATGCAAGTTTCGGTTTCGATAATGGCGTGAAAAGAAAATGCTGTGTCATCGCGCCTCCGTGCGATGACACATGCGTGCATACGCGATGACACGTGCGTGCATTAATGAAGCCGGTTTTCTTTCACTTGATACATTGAATGATATATTGATGATTCAAGACTCAACGTGCAATAAAACAAATTTGAGGAGACGTGGTCTGTGTTATGTTCGATGGAATTACTTTTCAGATTTCCACTTGTTTGCCATGGTATTTTTGTATCGGTGGGACAAAGAAATCACAAATGTTGTGAGGCTTGTCCAATTTAATTGGTTTGACTTTTCTCCTTTTTTTATTGAATGTGCAATTTTTAGCGTTGGGAATTCGACGATGCACTTTCAGCGGCTGTACAGATTTCGTTCTGGCCAGGCATGGACCGCTCGGGAACACCTAAGCATTTCTTATGGGTTGTGAATGCGATAGCATAGAAGCCGCTCGTCCGCTCCCTTTGTCGTCTGCTCGTCCGCTCCTTTTGTCGTCTGCTAAGTACTAGCGACCGCGCGCTTCGGGATCTCATAGGCCATGGCGCAGCGGCCAATGGGTGGCCCGTCGACGTGCGCCAGCCAATGGAACCGAAGGCGAAATCGCGGAAACTAGGAGCCGTTTTCGCGCTTCAAACTGATGACGCCAGCCCGCTCCATGAGACAGTTAATGCTTTCGCATTAATCTGTTCTCTCAAAATAAAGTGCCTCTGGTGGTTTCAAATGTGCTTAGCACTGCCGCATAAACCGCATTTACGAATGGATCTTTGATATATTGGTTCAGACTGACAATTCGGTTTGTATGAGGGTGTCACGTAATCTTTACCTTAGCAACGAAAAAGAAGTTGAGGTTTAAAGTTAATCACTTAGCGAAGACTTCGGCTGTTCCCGTTCTCTTCTGTGCCCTCTACCCCTCAAGTATACCTTTTATTATGCTAACAAAACCTTGCGTGCTTTTTAATACGTCATGGGCTTCCTTACTTTTAAACCTACATTTTAATTTCAATTGTAACAAACAGTAAATTAATAAATTTCCGTTAGCACACCGCCAAGATTATCGGGCATTCAACTCTTAGCAAAACGTTTTAAAAAAGAAATATTTCAGCCGAACAATGGCAGACATCTTCATATTCCCCGGAAGCGTTATGAACATCAATAAGAACCGCTGGAACATGTTCATTTCCATTCCTAGGCACAACATCTTTTTAACGTTCAGCGTTCACTCTGCTAAAGTGGAAACAGGTGGGAGAAGCTTCCACTTTCCTCTTAACCTGCTTTCGACGCTGGTTGATTCGTCCCACAAGCTCTTAGCGTTGGTTGAGTCTGTACTTATAAGCCGAAACCAAGTATAGGACCTTTTTCAGTACCTTGAATGTCTGCTCAAGATTATGAAGAGCTATAACATTCCCGAGAATACTGTAATAGCGTCGAACTCGACAGCACGCATCTAAAGGAATATTTCGCAATCTTACGACACCTTCCGATAACAAAGCCGTAGGGCTCAATTTTCGGTGTCAGCCATAGAAAATCGACATGGAGCGCTGATTGGACACGAGTTCTGCGTCATCGATCGGCGGGAACTCGTGTTCTCGGTGATTGGACACGAGCTTCAGCCGAACGGTGATGCAGCATTCGTGTACAATTTAATTTTTTAAACGTTAATTACGTTAATTTTTTTTTTTTTTTTTTTTTTTTTTTTTGACGTTGAAAATTATGTAGGGGGTGTTAATTCAATGTTGTCCGACTCCCCCGACACATTCCAACTTTTGGGGAAAGAATCGCAGCTCGACCATTTGGTTTACCGGCCGCGGTACGTGTCGTCACACGTCTGCAATTCCCGGCCTATCCTCTATCAGGCGTCAAATCCAAAAACACACAAAAAAGCAGCACACGCCCTTGCGTCAGCGATCTGTATATGGAATGGACGTCAAAGTATGTGCACGGCGATTTCACGAACAAAGGCTCGTATATCAAGCGAGGAATGCGCCTCGCCCGCGTCAGAGCAGCAAAAAACACGTCGTCCAGCAAACCGCAATTCTGCAAGAGCAACGGGAGCAGAAACGTGGATGCATGCTGGACTTTGTTGCCTACTCTATTCAGAGAACGATGTTGTTTAGTGCGGTGTGCGCGTCTGGCGTACACTGTCCCGCTAAATTTGGAGAGGAAATTGATGTCACGTCACCTGGCGTCATGGGATGATATATCACCAGTGTTGAGTAAAGTGCATCTAAAATGGACTTAATGTAAAGTACAAAGTAAATGAGAGCGTATGTACTTCAAGTAGTAAGTACATAGAGTGCAATGGTACTTGAAGTAAAGTACTTACTATAGATGCAATGTAGTTTCAAAGTAAAGTACAAGTACTCTTTTAAGATAATCTTTCAAGGCGTCATTTCATTCCCCTAATGTCCTCTCTTTTTTTCTTTTTTTTCTTTTTAACTGGTATGCGTTGCCTTAGGGGCAATGCATCAGTTATTTCCGGAAATAGCGGCAGAGCTTGGATGAAGTCAAGTGGTCACATAGTAATTGTTTTACTCTCGCTGATGAACTATTTAACACAATCAATTTACAAGGAGGATTTCGTGTTTTCGAATAAATCCTAAAAAAAACTCCTAAAACACCCGCCGGTAAAATTTTTCTCAATGCGAATTTACCCGAGAAACTCTGAATTTCGAGGTCACGATGGCAAAATAATACACAAAAAAGACGATGTTTTGCGAATAAAGTTTGTCAGTGCACACATATAGACCACATCAGTTTCTTTGTGGGTATTTTTTTTTTCTCTCTTTTAGTCTAGGATTACTGACAAGAGGGCCGGACTCTCGCCAGGGTTCGTTCAGTACAACGTTCGGTGTACAACGGGTCACTGTTCCGGTTTCCAGTTTCGACCATGCTGTTGTGTTTCTTAGATAGAGGAAGGCCTGTGTTCTTATAACAGTGATAGATATAAACCCGTACACTCTAAAAAAAGGGGGATGTAGAAGTTGACCCCTTTTCCCATATACGACACCCCAAAACTTCAGTTCGACGTACAGCGCGCTGAAGTCGAACTCACTGCCCCAACTTTTGCGAGAGGGTTGATGACGGTGCGGTATAACTTATTAAAAAGCTAAAGTACGTATCAAAGTCTACAGGAAAAAAAAAACACACAGGGTTTGCAGTTGAGCCTAGAAAACCCCGATAACCTGTACAGCTCAACGTGAGTGAGCTGTACATCCAACTGAAGTTTTGGGGTGTCGTATATCTGACAAAGGGTGTAGCGTCTACACCCCCCTTTTTTAGAGTTTAGGATTCATACCCAGGTGAAAAAAATCAGTCCACTTCCAGCTGGATTATGGAACTGGAAATGAGACAGTCCAGCTGGATTACACTCTCAGGAAAAAAGGTGTATTCTTACACCCTTTTGTCCCATATAATACACCCCAAAACTTCAGTTGGACGTACAGCGCACTGACGTCGATCTGACGGTACTAACTTTCACGAGAGGCTTGATTAGCGTGTGGAATAGTTAGTGTACGTGTTACTAACTGAACAAAAAAAATTGTGTTTTTTTTTTTTTTTTTTTTGGGGGGGGGGGGGGGGTTCTATTGCAAAAACACAGTGTTTTCTTTCTGTGGGCTGTGATACGTGCTTTAACTATTTAATAAGTTATATCGGACCGCTATCAAGCCCCCC